TGGCTATCTATCACATTGCTGTCATGGTGCTATTCCACAAGTTACAGCTACAGGCTCTATAACAAAATGCTACCACCACAGCAAACATTCTGCCATCAGAAGAACTGTGGGGTTTTTGTCCACTGAGACTATCACTTTTGGTTATGGTTATTCAAAGAGCAAAACATCTTACTGCTGCCTCACTCTCTTAGTGTCTAATTCTCAGCTGAGTGGATGACTTGTTAAGCAGGGATATAAGTAGTCATCGTGTTTAAAAATAGATCTAAATTATTCCAGATGGCTCCAAATTCCATTTAATGTTATTCTCAACTTCCTCACAACTGAGGCTCATTCTTCTTTAAACAAGCAAACAGGTAGGGCAATACTTATTTTCTTTGAATGCACAGGAATATGATTGCTGGAGACTATGTGAGAGCATAGGTAACAACAGATGTGGCTCGTTAGGCAGGTCCACAACAGCAAGGTCTGATTCCTGCATCAAAACCAGCATTGGCAAGAACCACACAGTTTTTATGGTGGTCCTGATCTCAGACTGACTGGTTAAGAAGGTCTCCGCACCATCAAAGCATTTAAGCATTGAATGGGAGTCCGGGTGCCAAGTGGAATCACCCTCAGAGATGAGGTGTCTTGCCTTCCTTAGAAATAAGTACAACATAGAAGTAAAAATACACCCAATGTAGAATGGATGTCTGTTACATAGAGAGAGGTGACTTCAAACAACTTTGCTATTTATTCAAGTACAGTAAGGTTAAAAATGTTTTGTTCATTCTCTTTCATTCATTGTCCAGGAGTTTCCATCTGAGCTTGGAAAGGATCCTTCTAGTCAGTCCTACTGCCTAAACCAAGCAACTCCGGGCTCATCACACCCTCTCAGAAACACCCATTTGCTCAGACTGGGCACACAGAAACGTTGTGAATACAGTAGAAATATTTTTCTCACTATAAATCTTTCTCAGTAGCCTGGACAAAACCATACTTTACTCACCAAGTCATTATCAGCATTTCGCTTCTGTAAAGAGAAAAACAGGAAATATCATTACTAAGGTAGGAAAGCTACATTTAGAAATAAATCACTTAGCACCTATGTAGTTGTCTTCTGCTTCCAACTCAAAGAGTTGTCCAGGAGAAGGAAGGCTTGAGAAAGGTCCTCATTAGTAAACTGAAGTAAATTTGAGGGAAGAGCAAGGCAGCTGAGGCAGGTATAAATATTTTGCTTATAACATTCCTAGTTCTGGTGACTCTTTTAGTTTTAATTTGATATCAGTACACCTTAAATACTGTGGGTCTGAAAGAGAAAGTTTAAACGTTGCTGATTCTGTATTTTGCTCAAGTAACACAAGAAGTTGTTTTCTTTCAGCTAAAAACCAGTAATGGGCAGCCTGAGAGATGAGGCGAGAGTGAGAAGAAAAGGCTTGAGTGCTCAGTGCCACGTTTAAATGTCATTGAGACTAAAGATCACACTGGTATCTGCTCAATAGGGCTTCCATAAGTATAGGTTGTCTGTGGGGTGACATCAAATAAAACCAACCTGTCGTTCTAATGTGAGCAGGTAAGATGGTAATACAGCAGGCTTAGAGAGAGGAGAGGCAGTCACTGTGAAAGGTTGCATGGAGCTAAAATAAAAAGCTGCTAGAACATTTTTTTGGCATATTTGCCCCTAGAGTAGGTGCAAATATCAGAACTACAATGTACTCTTCTGGAAGAGCAAACAGGCTTCAAACGCACTGCATCACGTTACAGTAATGCCTTGTGTAACTCAATTCCCATAAGCTCAGTTGCACAAACCTTATCTTTTTTGGCTCTGAGCACCTCATGGGTGACATTTTGTGCAAGCATGTTTACTTGCTCCACTAAACAAGGGGGTAAAGACACAGCATGGTATCAAGTCAGGTACACACAATTGGGTACATTAAAAGCTTTTGGTATCTTTCACGGTTAGGAATTTTACAGGTTGGAAGCTGAAGCACAGAGGGTGATTTTCTGTTGATTCTGGAGTTTTTCAATCTACTGTAGCGCAAGGTTTTGGGGAGGAGGCTTCTTAACTTCTGTAAGACTGGCCAGAACATGTGTACATTTCTCTAGGTTCATCTTTCAAACTGCTGTTGCCATGCAGGTGATTTCTGTGTGCACACCCCTCATGTTTCACAACCTATGTGGGCTTTCTTGCGGTCTCTGTAGAGTTTGCATCACTTCAAATCCATCCTTTGAAAAATGGTATCGTCTTTTCTGTATGTATACTGTAATTGTGGCTAATCATTTCCCCTTACAAAACATGAACTGAGGTATGGACCCTGGGAAATGAAAAGCTGGAAACAACTGAGATGTTGATCTGTTTTGTACAAACTTTTCATTCAAGTGGAATTACCAAGCAGTTTAAGAATACAAAAACCTACAAAAATGTGTTATTTAGTTACAAATAATGCAATTCTGAATACTACCTCCTAAATCAAAAGACATTTTACCTGCATTTAATTAATTTTACAGAATCATTGTTGTGCATTTTCTTTATCAGAATTCTGGGTTCTATAGTGGTTTTGAAAGAGTTCTGTTCTGACATTTTGGGGGGTACTCTGCCATTCTCATTGCTCTAGTTGACGCTGATCTGCACAGAGGAGTGGATTAGGTGATTTTTTTCATTCTTAATGATTCACTTGGATGTAGCTAGAGACCTCACTAACATCATGGTCATTTTAAGCCATGTTGACAGAAAGTTATAGTGTCCCATTCAAAAATGTTATGCAATTCTAGACCAAACCAAGATTTTCATGTGCTCTGTTTTGTGTAATTATAGTTACTCGATAAAATGTTTCTATGGTATTTTCACATATTTGCCAGTTGCACTGATTTTTTTTTTTTTTTTAAGCTGCACAACAGTAACAAAATCTGGGTTTGTTTAAGACTCTTTTGCTGTCAGCAAAACAGCAAAGAATATAGGTGCAAAAAGTCCATAGAAATTAGAGAGGAAGAGCAGAGGAAAAGAGAAATTTGAACCCCCAAGAAAACAGGGAGGCAAACGAGGGCTCCTAAAACAGTACTTGCTGAAAGAAGCTCTGATTTTACAGCTTGGGAAACGAAAACACAGCATGACTAAAAGACTCAGCAGATACCCTACAGTTAACTTGAAGTGACCTCTGGGAATTCACAAGACTAAATTAGGTATTTGTGCATATTCCTCAGTACTATATAGGAAAAATAGTGGACGTATTTATCTGGATATTACATCTCTGTTTTCTGCTTCTTGGAGGCATCTTTTCACTGGTATTTTACATTGCTTCACAGGTGCTAAAGTCAGCTCCTTGGACGCATTTAAAAATAAGACCACCACAACATTCTACCATGATGTGGTGATGGCAGGGAAAAATAGAGGAAAGCCATGGTCTTAAAAAGAGATACAGGGGAGCTTCAGAGCTGATTGAAAATTGAAGCTGATTAGAGGTAAACGAGTCCTGAGTCCCAAGTCTGATGTGCTCGCTGGTAACAGAGAACACAAACCTCCTGGTGGCAGCACTGTATGCTCTGAGAAATGCAGCTGAAGGGCAGGAAGTTAACTCACGAAGAGCAGGAGCCCCATACCTGGTTGATCACTTACCTTGATGTTTCTGCCACGTGTTATAAAAAAATCTGATGATGCAAAAGCGGGAATCAGTAATAAAATATAAAGCAATAGATGGTTTTCCATTTTGTAAGACAAGTAAGGTTCTAATTTGAACGATGTGTATAAATATATAATGCTTTGTTTATTGAGTGTTAATAAATAACCTGGTGTGAAAAGTGGGATTAAACATTAGGCATCCGGGGAAGATCAAATACCGAACTTTGAATTTGCTGTAACAGGATTTACACAGTATTTCAGCAACATCTCTTCTATGTAATATCTCCAAACAGAAATTCAGCTGCCATTTCTGTATGGGCATCTGAGATTGATCTCTGCTCCAGACTCCCTTCTTTTCTCAATGAAAACCATCATTTTTTCTGTCCCAGGCTGTCCCTGGCTCAAATTTATTATAACCATGAACAGAGCTTGCAGCCTCTTAAACCCATTTATGCTCCTCTTCAAATCTACCTCCTGCAACCCTGCGTATCACTCAGGTGATATGATTAGCTAGCAGTATTTGACACGTGTTTGGGCTAGTCCAGAACCTTTCCACGTGCTTTCCCATTCATCTTCATGGCTGAAAAACCCAGGCTCAATTGCACCGTCAATGCCCGTTCACCCTGCTGCTGCTCCCGGCTGGCATTACGATACTGGTACAGGGTTAACCCATGTACAGGGGGGGTGTACAAGGGGGTTAGGGGAATTCACTTGCTGAAACAAAAGTATTGCCTGTACCTATCACGCCTACTAAGCAGAACAAAGGCACTAACCACTGATAAGGAAAAGCAGACACCTGATTCGATTGACAAGGAAAAGCAGACTGATTCTACTGATAAGCAGATATTGATATGGAAAAGCAGACCCCTGAAGGGGGAGAAGCAGATGGTTTATGGCTGGGACATCGACCAAACCCACAGGCCATACGTGAAGACTAAAAGGTGAAAAGTTCAAGGAGAGGAAGATTCATTTACTTCATCTTGAAGACCCCTACCCACAGGAGGAAGACTCAGTTACCTCATCTTGAGACCCCTGCCCATGACCAGAGGGGGCACTGCGCAGGCGCAGAGCACCTTCTAACTCATTATAGTACGGGGATAGGACATGAATATGTATATTCGTGTTGTGCAACCTTATGAATATATATAACTTTAGAGAATAAATGTAGAGGGAAACAACACTGAGGTACGCATGACTTTGAGGAATTATCCCCGTGCGCCTCAGCGCTGAATAACTAGCATACCTACTTCACAACTTTTAACGAGTTACGGAGTCTATCCGCGTATCAATACTCTGGGGTGCTGTGGCTCTGCTGCCCACCGGGCTGTCACCCTGACCCCTTCCCCGGGGCTCAACGCACGGGACCCTCATCAGACACTGCTTTCGGGCAGACACTTGCTTCCCGGCCCGTAACAGGCGGCGAAGCCACGGCTAGCTCCCGCCCGCCTCACCCCTCCCGCCAGCTCCCTGCCCGCTCTGAAGATGGCCGCCTCACCCGCTTCCAAAATGGCCGCCGCAGCGCCGCAAAGCGCACCATAGAGACAAGCGGCGTTCCGCTCTGCACGCCGCTGCGGCGCGCTGCCTGTGCCAGCGGGGAGCTGCGGGGATCTCTATGGCAGCAGCGGCCGCGCTGCCGGGCTCTGAGCGGGCCCCGGCGGAGAGAGGATGCCCCTGGCTGCCTATTGCTTCCTGCGAGCCGTGGGCAAGGGCAGCTACGGGGAGGTGAGCCTGGTGCGGCACCGCCAGGACAGCAAGCAGGTAGCGAGGGCCGGGTCGCTGCGGGGCCGGGCTGCGGCCGTGGCGAGGTGTGAGGAGAGCAGCCGCGGCCTGCTGTGGGGGTACAGCCGTGACGGGGACCTGGCGCTGGGGTGAGGGGCTCTTCTCCTCCGTTGTCTGTGGAGGCTTTTATTAAAGGCGTGAAGAAGACTCTTTGTCCCCTTTAAACTCAAAACTCCAAACCCCCCAAATCCGCACTTCCCCCCCCCCGTTTAAATACTACTGTTTGCTCCCCCCCGCCCCCCGTTTAAAAACTGGTTTTGTGGGGGCTTTTGGTTTGTTGCTTTTTTTTTTTTTTTAATGTATAGTTGCTTGTTTTGGGCAGGAAAACCTAGTTTTGGTAGTCCTTCAGGTGACAAAACACAGCCTGCTCCTTTTAGCATGAAGCAGAAAAGGTTGCTCTTGGCTTTTTGCTGCTTGTATAGTCCCTTTATGTTATACACGTGGTGAAGACAAAAATTATAAGGGTGGAAAACCAGCCTCTGATGTTGGCTTTTGCTGGCATTGGCTGTGCTGGGGGGGAGATGGGGTTTGTATTTGCTATATCGACTGTGGCAGAACCCGGCAGAGTTCTGCTTATGGCAGAGTTGAGTGTGGTCGTTTTTGTCTGTGCCTTTTTGTTGGAAATTTGGAATGCTTTGTCTTGCCTGGCCAAAGCAGATGTGTTTGATAGGATAAAGAAAGGGGGATGGCGAATGTCTGCAGAGCGATACCACGGAAACCTTGGGTGAGAGCGCTACACCCAGGATTTAACTAGAGGTGATGGGAGGAGTGTGCCCAGCAGTGATCAGTGGGTGCATCCCATCCAGATGAAGGCAGGGAAGAAGCTGGAATCCCTTTGGATTTGGTTGGATAGCAGTGATGGCAGCACTTGTTGCCTCTGGGCCTGTCACTTCAGTGCATAGTCCAGTGTCAGCAAAGAGTTGCTAACCTTATCATCCTAAAAGTAAACAGCACATTGAGGTGACTTTCAACCTTCTACAGGTCCTTGGATTTCACCTCTTTGTCATGTTACTACTGGTCATTAACATTGGCGAGAGCTTTGCTTCCTTATCATTGTTACTTTACCTTAAATATTTGCTGTGTGTAAATGTGTGTTTTGCCAACTTTAATAAACTTTCTTTTGTAGTGGGATGATCATGGTTGTTTGTTGTGGCTTTGACAACATGCTACACGTTCTGTGAAAGAAACGGTATTTGATTCAAGCCTATTTGCTGTTGGCTGAGTGCTGTTGTTTTTTTTTTGTGGAGGAGGTCAAGTGGCTCTACATGTTTAAAATCATCGAATCACAGAATAGTTAGGGTTGGAAAGGACCTTAAGATCATCCAGTTCCAACCCCCCTGCCATGGGCAGGGACACCTCACACTAAACCGTGTCACCCAAGGCTCTGTCCAACTTGGCCTTGAACTTGTACACAGCTTGGTATGAAATAAGGCAGGAGGTCATTGCAATAGACTTCATGGGAATCTAGTCAGGATAACAGGCTCATTAAATTAAATATAACCAGTGCTAGGTTTAAAGTTAGGCTAAATGTATACTTTTTGCATTTTGGTAGTATATCCTGTAAAGATAGATGCTGATATAAAGCTAAAAGCTTCTGGTTTCCATGCCCAAGGGTACATTTGGAGTTGGCTTGTCACACAGAACATAGTAGTTACAGCATTTCTATTTTATTTTAAGCTTAGATGATGCTTCACACAATTAGTTTTGTTATATTCCTCTTGGGAGCTTTGCATTGTCACAAGTTAGAAGAATTGAGTTTTTCAGAGGTCTGCTGGATACTAGACATACAAAATCACAAGGTAATTTGATTTCTGCAGAATTGGTTCCCTTGGGGCAGTCTTCCCCACCATGTAGTAAATGTGTTGGGCTAAATTAATAGGCCCATCCTGGGAAGTAGACACCATAAGCAATTGGAAGAACACTGAAACTGAGTAAGCAAAAATTGATTTAGACATTTCAATTTAAAAGCTCTCAGGTAGAAGTGGGGTCACATGTATACAGTGGCGTGGTTGTTGTGTAGACAGCTGATGCTCTAAAAGTGATTACCACAAAAATTATGTCAGGAAGGGGCCAAAACAAAAATATTGGTGCTGTACATGATGAATGTGTGTTACAGATTTTATTGTCTTGTCTTCAGCTTCAGTTATATTATTGCTAAACCCTGACATTCCTAAGAAACAGATGTGATGTAACATATACCAGGGAATTAAATAACAGCTTTCACGTGTAGCATAAAAAAAACACAACTTAACCCATCTTAATCCAGGATAAAAGAAATTTAGGACTGACTTTTGGCTTTCAGTATGACCAAGAGTCTCTACTTCCCTGTAATAGCTCATTTCATTTCTTCTTGAATAAGTTTAAGCCTGTGTATGCAGAAACTCGTGAATGCAACAGACGGTTTTAAGGGAAGTTGTTAAAAAAGTAAATGATGTCTGCTTTCAGTATTTTTTCAGTGTGCCCCTGACTGTAGGAGCCCTCCAGCTGCATCTCTACTTGCCACATTTCTTTTCCTAATAGGAGCTTTTCACCTCTTCTCCCATTCTTCACTATGTTGTAGATTTTTTGTACAAAGCAGTTAATCCCAAGTCAGTTTTGTCTTGAAGGGCTTCTGTCAGGTACAAGTGTTTTAAGGAAAGAATGAACTGACCTGAAAAGCTCAGCAGTAGCATTTTGTGCATTCAGAAATTCAGGTTTACCAGGTATTTCTTGTGAATATGACAATTCTAACACCATTTTTTGGTCTTCAGATGCATGATCTACGTTTGCTGAAGTTATGAGATGTTATTTTTTGAGTTTCTCTTTTTTTACAAACGTGCTGCATTTCTGGAGAATCGAAAGGAAAAGTCCACTTTTCCTTAAAATAAAATGAAAGGAATTGGGTTTGGTTTTCTGGCAAAATAAAATGAAAGGAATAGGGTTTGGTTTTCCAGCAGGGAAGAGCAAAATAATCCTAGCCAGATGACTTTTATCCTAGACATCCATTGTCATTTTTTTGCATATGATAGCATACTTTTCTTAATGTTATTATATTTTAAAGTTATTATTGAAATGACCTGTTTTGACAGTAACTGTGATGGACAAACAGGTATTTCAGGCCTAAGAGATGAACAACAGGCACACATTTAAAATGAGAGTGAAAAAAAAAAAGGTAAATGTGAACATGAGTCAAAACAAATCTAAACACTGTGAAATGTCTGTGCAGAGATATATTGAAGTAGATGAACAGAATAGCCAAAGCTCTTCCATTTTTATCGCACAATGGTAGAAATGATGTATAACTGCTAGACAAATTGTAGCCTCCATATAGAATAATGTGTAGAGATTTCAAATACTGTACTTCCTTTAGATTTGGGGAATTCCCTAGGGCTTCTGCATAGTTACTGTCATTTCTTACAATATACCCTGCAATTTCTTTTACAGTACGTCATCAAAAGGTTAAACCTTAAGAATGCTTCCAACCGAGAGAGGAAAGCAGCAGAACAAGAGGCACAGCTGTTATCCCAGTTGAAACACCCAAACATAGTCACCTACAGAGAGTCCTGGCAGGGAGAAGATGGCCTCTTATATATTGTTATGGGCTTCTGCGAGGGAGGAGATCTGTATCACAAACTTAAAGAGCAGAAGGGCCAACTTTTGCCTGAGAATCAGGTGGTGGAGTGGTTTGTGCAGATTGCCATGGCACTGCAGGTAAAATGAAGTGTAACTTTGTCACTTTCAGACAGAAGTTTCTGCATTGAAAAATTCCACAGTTAGGCTGCAGACTTTGAATTCCAGTTTGGCTGGATTAGCATCTACATACCATAGTTATTAGTACATTAGGAATGTACACAGATCACTGCAATCAGATTAACTATTTTAGGTAACAATTGCTACCATATTTCATGCCTATATCTCTTTATCACAATAGATAGTGGTGATATCCTGGGTATTCGCAATTCTAGTCTGAAATGTTTCTCTGGTTTGAAAGTTTAGGCTAAATTTACAAAATGCCATTTCTTAAAAAAAAAAAGAAAAAATAAGGCAGACTGTTTCAGAAGCATTGTGTGTTCTGTGATTTTGCTGGTGTTTTTTCAATGGTAAATCTAGACTACTGAGTTGTCATTTCTGTTAAATCTTATCTCACTCTGTTGAAATTTAATAACTAGAGGTTATCAAACTTCAGGAACAATTGTTAAAGTAATAAAGACCAGATGAGAAATAAGAAATTGGACAGAAAATGCTATTTGAAAGTTGCCTGCTGTGATCAGACACATGCAGGTGTTCAGTACTACCTGTTCTTGTTTGTTATAAGACTAATTTTCTTCTGTTTACACAAAGCTCACATTCTATTTTTGAGTGAAATTTTGTACCTAAGACTAAGAAATGCTAGTCAAGTAATGGATGCAGCATAAAGTTAAAGTCTGCGTCTTAACTTTACATTTTTACTTCCTCTTTTCTGCCGGCTTGTTGAGGCACACAGGGACATTTCACTAAAGTAATGCCGGATTTTGGGTCCATGCCATATCAGGCATTCTTAAGGTTAATTTACTAATGCTGCCTTCAGCAGGGGCACTCCTGACTTTGGTAGTGATGTGTGTTTCTTTTCTATATTTGTGTTTTTCCTCTTTGACTTGTGTAATGTGGTTTTAGTTTTCAGTGTTAAGGACCAATTAGAAGTTATTTAACTCTATTTATATGCTTTCCCCCCCCAGTATTTACATGAAAAGCACATTCTGCACCGAGATCTTAAAACTCAGAATGTTTTTCTGACACGAACAAATATAATCAAAGTGGGTGACCTGGGAATAGCCAGAGTGTTGGAAAACCAGTATGACATGGCCAGCACTCTCATAGGCACACCGTACTACATGAGCCCTGAACTCTTTTCTAACAAACCCTACAACTACAAGGTAGAGTATGTTAATTCGAATGTTGTTTGTTAGGCAATTTATTTTGTCTGTCTGGGAACATTACAGTCTTACTGGTTTTAATTTCTTGTCTACAGTGAGCAAGAGCTGAGGGGAAACAGTTCTACTGAAAAATCACAAGATTTTTATTTGCCAGTTAAAACCAATATTATACTTAAAGGATTCATTGAATCATAGAATAGTTAGGGTTGGAAAGGACCTTAAGATCATCAGGTTCCAACCTCCTGCCATGGGCAGGGACACCTCACACTAAACCATCTCACCCAAGGCCTCGTCCAACCTGGTATTGAACACCGCCAGGGATGGAGCATTCACAACTTCCCTGGGCAACCCATTCCAGTGCCTCAGCACCCTCACAGGAAAGAATTTCCTCCTTATATCCAGTCTAAACTTCCCCTGTTTAAGTTTTAACCCGTTACCCCTTGTTCTATCACTACAGTCCCTAATGAAGAGTCCCTCCCCAGCATCCCTATAGGCCCCCTTCAGGTACTGGAAGGCTGCTCTGAGGTCTCCATGCAGCCTTCTCTTCTCCAGGCTGAACAGCCCCAACTTTCTCAGCCTGTCTTCATACGGGAGGTGCTACAAACAGAAACTTTCCGTACTCTTCAGAAAAATCTGGTGATAGTCAGAAGAAAATGATTCTGTTGATCAAAATGAAAAATAGAGTGAGACTGAAGCTTAAAGCTTGGTCTTCATTAGCTGACTGTCACTAAAGGCTTCTTCTAAAGCAGGTGATTAACTTCTGCAAATAATAAAAAGTTCCCTAAACTTTTTTTTCTCTTTTTTTTTCAGTCTGATGTTTGGGCATTAGGCTGCTGCGTTTATGAAATGGCTACACTGAAACATGCCTTTAATGCCAAAGACATGAACTCTTTGGTGTATCGAATTATTGAAGGAAAGGTAAAAGCTTCTACACTTTTTTTGTCTGTGCTTGGATTTTCTGTCTAGAACTGAGATTATGTTTTCCAATCAGAAATACTGCATGGAGTTAAAAATACCTTGCATGTTACCAGCATCATCACATATGTTGTAGGACTGGTATTTCATCATGGTGTATGATGTAATGTGAGACCCAAGCAGTTACTACTTTGTAGATATTTGGTAAAGTTGTTTTGTTACCCTGTTGTGTAAGTAGTATACGGATTAATTTTCAGGGTTCTGAGCTGACTTTCTTAGTTTGCTCCTGCGTTAACATTGTGCAAAAAGTTAAATCACTTTTCATGTGGTGCCATTTTCCTGTTAGGTGAGAGTAGCTTCCTTAAGTGTCTGTCCTGCTTGGTATATGATAAAGTTAATATGGAATTACTTACATTTTTAAGGCTATTCACAGAAATTTCACTGCTGGTATTAATAAAATTACAAACAGTTCCTAGACAAAATACTTTGAATTTCTATATTCTTCTTAATGCTAAGCACTTGGGAAACTTCAAGCATGTGAACAATAGGACTGTTCTTTATGCAAAGGATGTAGCTGAATGTAACTGTCATGCATAAATAATCTAGCAGTAGCCCCTACTGACAAATATGTTAAATAATACCAGGCTTCCCTTTCTTTTTACAGTTGCCACCCATGCCAAAGGATTACAGCCCACAGTTGGTAGAAATAATAAGAACTATGCTCAGTAAAAGACCTGAGGAAAGGCCTAGTGTGAAAAGCATACTCCGACATCAATATATCAAGCACCAAATTTCTTTGTTTTTGGAAGCCACGAAGGAGTAAGATATTTTCATTTGAGTGATTCTGTGCAAAATATTTGGTTACTGTGGTCTTTGTTTGACAACTTTTCCTATGTCTTTGTAGCTGTATAAATTACATAATCTGCAGTTACAAAGCATATGAACATTTTCTTTAGATGCTTTGAGAAATAGGGGTGAATTAGAATGCAAACTAGTTTCTTGTGTAAATGTTGATTAACAACTGTGCATTGGTTAGGATTGCACAGCTTAGTCATGAGTTAGTAAAACAAGAAGGAAGTGATATGAAATATACACCTTTCCATATGGTTCTTTGAGGCCATTTATCAGCTGAGAGTTGTAGTAGCAAGCTCCTTTTTATATTCACTGATATAATTATTTTTGTCAGGTTTAGTCAATTATTTTACTGCCCCAGATAAGACAGACTTTAGTGCTATGCTGAATAAGCGTACATTGCAGGCAGAGTCTGAATGGTGTTTTTAAGCTCCTTTTGTAGAGTTAAAATGAGTATCTTGTGCATGGTCTGCTGAGAAAGCCCAGTATCTTATACTCCCTGTATGTAAGCTGTTTAGTGTGGTGGTTTTTTTAAAATCAGTATGAGCTAGAGAAATATCTTAAGGTCTTGTTGATGGTGATTGAACGAACAACTTCTGTTTTCTTTACAGGAGGGCAGCCAGAAGTCAAAAGAAAACAGTAAATTCTAAACCTAAAGATCCTTGTTCTCTGGTCACAGTAAAGAACGAATCTCATAGCAGGAATGTTACACACCAAAATCACTCCTTTGAGCAAGCCAGGAAATACAAAGTTGTGAGTTACATACTTTTTCTTTAAGAAAAAAAAAAAAACACTTGTTTTTTTCTAGAGAAAAAACACAGTTTTATAAGAAGTGCCTTAAGCATTTGTGAGAACATAGATCTGATTCCTTGCAACGTGTAAAATGTGTATGAAGGAAGAAATTGTGTTTAGGCAAGAGTAGGAATAAACAAATAGCTGTGGATCAGTAAAACTAATTGCAGTGTCTTAACTGTAAGATGTTAACTAAACAACACCCATTTTCTTCTGTTGTGGGTCAGTGTGAATTACTCATGGGCTTTTTGAGTTCAAATATTTTTAAAGTATTTGATGACAAGTGGTAATCATTTTTAAATATATGGTTTTGACTGAAAAAAAACTAATTATAGTTACAACCAAAAATTGTTTCTTTTTGGAACTCTTTCGTGGTTTGAACAGATCTTTTGTAATGATTAATCTTGTGCATGTTCGTTATTTTCTGTCATGGGTTTGTAATGGTTTAAGCTTTCAGTGCTGAAATACTGAATGTATGTGGTGCAGTACATCTTAGAAACTGTCTGTACTTGCTGGCTCCTCCCTTATGGAAGAGCCAAGGGAGTACAACTTTTCTTTCGTGGTCCTGATGAAAAGTAAGTGTACTGCACGTGTGTAAACCAATGACTGAAATAGGGCATTTTCAAATACAGTCTGTATCTCTTAAAAAATGTGGGTTGTGGCTTTTTTGAGCTCTTAATCCAGAATTGATTGCAATTTTATTGCAGTTTATGTACCTTGATATGTTAATGAATTTTCTTAGGTACTTAGAGTATTCTTTCATATGTCTGTAATACCCTAAAGGTAATTAACTTTTGTTTTCCTTTTAATTCTAGAATGAAGAAGATTACATCATCAAATCTAAAGCCACCAAAATTTGTCCGTCAGAAAAACAAGCTGTCGAGTTGGAAAGCAAACCAAGCAGTAATGATTTGAACAACCTGGGAGACTCCTTAGCTACAGTTAGTGATGTGAATATTGATATCTTACCATCGGCAAGGGTGAAGTATGGAAGTGAGAAGCGTGGCAGTGAGCATATTCCAGAGAGTACTAAAGCAAAGAGAAATGTGAATGTTTCAGGGAATTCTAAACCAACATCCAGTGGCCCACCAATGAAGGAAGATGGACTACAGCAAAAAGCAAAGCAAGTTTTCAAAGCTGAGAATGTTGAGTCTAAGCAGTATTCTGTTGATGCTACAGGAGAAGATGGTGACACTTTGAAACTCCTGCAGCCTGTGTCACAAGACCAAAAGCAAACTGATCTGGTAATGCATTTGTGCTTACTTGAAGTAGGCTTTGAAGTAGATTTAACTAATGGCCAACTCTTAACATTTAGAGAGCTGCTGATGTGTTTTTTTGTCAAAGTAGGGTGCTGCTGATGTCATTAAAGAGTAGTTAGGAGCTGTGGCTTCAGATTTACAAAGGCAACAGGGTGAAGTAGTTTTAGTCTTACGTCTAGATGATAGAAATTCCATTTTTACAGCTAACAGCAATTTTTTTTCCATCTGAGAAGATAGTAAAAATAATTTTATAACTTCTCTGTTCTAAATAGGCCTGGCTGATCTTGTTGGTCCTGATTTGGAGGGGGGGCTAATAGGTTTGTCATTTCATTGCATTATGGTCTACAGTGATATTTTTGTGCACGCTTTTCTGATGAGAATTCATTATCTATTGCAGAGCTTGGATTCTACTGAAAAGCTGCTGGCACCGCTTATCCCTCTTTTAATTCAAGTAAGCGTCCTTCTTTGAAGGTTTAGTAGCTTAAGAATGCTGGTACTGCAGGTATTTCTTTTAACTGTGTATCAAGTAAGAGGTTATTGTGGCTGTACCTGCGCTATGTTAAGGTGAATGCAGTCCGGATAGTAAAGTGGCCTGTGGTGATTTTTTCTTTTAAAGTGTGTATGCATAAATCTGGAAATGGCATGTCTATATTTTATTAAAATAGTTCTACTTCCTAGGATGATGTCTGTCCTGGAGCTTCGGGAGATGCTCAGGAGCAAGTTACCTCCCATTTGCAGCCTCACAGTTCTGTGAGTGAACCCTCTCTCTCACGGCAGCGACGGCAGACAAAAAGAGAGCTTTCCGAAGTCTCTTCAGAGAAGGTGCAAATACTCAAAAAATAATGCTAGTTTTTCATTTGAGGCTCCTGCATTTTGTATCTTTAAAAAAGGTACCTCTTTGGTTAAAAAAGGTGGGTTTTTTTAATGCTATTTCTGTTCCACCTGTTTCTGTATAACTTCATTGGTAACAAAGTGCAGGACGTTCAAGATGTTCAAGGATTTACAGAGATTGCCTGTAAAGGACATCCCAATAGCTCTCACAGGTGTGAGGTGGGTGTGCCAGATGGGTGCAAAGAAACACAGTGAACACTGTGCTGTGCTGCAGTCTTTCCTACCAGTTTCCATCAGGTCTTCTCACTGTTTGTGACTACAAAATACATAGCAGTATGTTTCCTGACTGCTGTTGATAAGGCGACTTGTAGTGGGATAGTAGATTACTAGGACTTTGGGACAAACATGTAATGGCTGCTCTGAGCTTATGAGTGCACACTCCAGAAAGAAGATGTTGACATGCATAGTAGATAAGGGCTGCTGAAGAGGTTACAGAAGAATCCAGAACCTCTGGCATCCAGCCTTACCATGCAAGAAGATCTTCTAGATTGTAGAGTACTTTTAATAAAAAATGCACAAATTCTTGCTCACTTTTTTTTCAAGTTCAGAACAGCTGCTCCCCGGCCTTTGCCTTTGCCTTCTGATGTGAACAGAAAACCAGCACAGAGGTGTGCAGAGCAGCGTGGTGCTGAAGCTTCTGAATCTGTAAATAGCGCCAAAACCAGTCATGTTGTCATTTCAAAGGTTAGTGCTGAATACCACGTCAACTTATTTTTGTCTCTCGTTCCTCCTGAGCAGTTTGTTTTCTGAGTGCCTACGCAGTGAGTAAATAAATGTGTAGTAGCTTCCTACCTAATGGAAGTCCTGTCAAGCACCTGGTCAGTGCAGGATGAGAAGCTGACTTGCTGGGCCATGGAGATCAGAAGCTCCTTTTCCAGCGTCTCATTGACCAAGACTGCTTTGTAATAAGTCATTAACATCTGTTAGGTGGTCAGAAGGTCTACTCTAATAGCTCTGTCTTCCCTCAGTTGAAATGGATTTTTTGCTTTATAGGTGCTTAGATAACAAAAGCCATTGTTACGTTTGCTAATTAATATCAAATGAACTTATTTTGAAGGAGCGGCCCTTGTCAGCAAGAGAACGAAGGAGGCTCAGACAGTCTCGGGAGATGTTTCCCTCTGGTAACTCAGGTTTGCATGTGAACATTTTATCTGTAAGTAGGCTAATAACTTCTTTGTGGAGAAATTATAACTTGTCTGTTCTTCATTACCATCTTCAGAAAGATGCACTAAGGGTAAAATAAATATTTCTATTAACATGTCTTTATTTTTCTGCTGCTTAGTCATGTTCAGCTGTGTTTAGCGGTGGCAACTTGTCTTTGAAATGTACATGAAGCACTGAATATGCACCTTTCATGTACTGTAGTAGCTACAGAATACCTACCTGCCTGTCTTCTGGCAGGTGATAAACTTTTTCTTGAATGAGCATGAAACTGCTTCAAAATATGTGCAGCCAAGTTGTAATTATTGTGAAAATGTCATCTTTACAGTGATTCCAGCAAGAGCAACGTCAAATAGTGCAGTAGTTGAAGCAAAATCACATATGGAGAATCATGTTAAAGTTACTCAGTCTTCTTCAGATCCCAGTATTTCTCAGGTAAACTGGTGTCATCTGCTTTTGAAATATTTAAATGCAGACACAATTTAGGAAGAAAGTTATATTAAATATATATATATTTGGAAGGAACTCTTGAGTTAATAAGAGTTCTCTGTGAATATCGTTTTGTAAGTCCTGGGATAGAGTATGGATCTCTAATCCTCATTTTGTTTGGGCTAGACCAGTTTACAGTTCCAGGCTCACTGTGCATTTTCACTCCGCTTGTCAGAGATGAAAACTAAAGATCTCTTACTGATTGTTGTGGGCTCTCTAAATTGCAGTGTTTATTTTATTTTGAAAAGGAAAAAGTTTATCCTGAACTATGCTTTACTTACAGTTCAGTAGTGTGCTTTGAATTTCTATCAACAGCACGCTACCTTTAGCCTGGTACATCTAATTGTGCTTTAATAGCGGTGTTCTTAATCTGTAGTCATTTTAAGTGCATACATTTATGTACTGGCAATAAGGGATAGTTGCTAGCTGAAAAGTGAATAGTTTCTATGGATACGTTCATCCTTGTCTAATCAGAAAGTCTTTTCTGAGGTCTTAAATATACATTTGACAATCTTCTGCAACATCAGGGGAACATTATTGATCCCAGTAGATGCAGAAGAGTCATAGTGAAGAAATTTCAGTCTGAAACTTAAAGCCCAGCACTTGCATGGAAAGTGTTTTGCATGTTTTACCTAATTGTGTATGTTTATAACGGATATCTAAATGTACAAACTTCATCTGTATGCACAAACTGAGATTAAATTGTATGTACATATGCTAGTGATGGTTTTGCATATTATGCTATGCACTGAACACAACACACGGCTGGGTAAAATCTCTGTATTTTAGGGAATGCTAGGAACTTGCTGACTGATAAAAAATTATTTAAATATTCTTTTAAAATGTGTATTAAAAGACCAATAGATGGACTTTATAATACAATTGGTAAAGAACTGACTCAAGTATAAGATTTGTTTCTAATAGAGGAACTCAGTGAAGCATTTATAGTGGTTAAAACTGCATGACTCAGATGCAGTGTTTGTCACATAAGCATTTCATAATGATGTCCTGTGTATTAGCTTGTTTTTAAAACAAAGGTTGCACCTTTCAAATATTATTAAGCTGTGTCTGTAAAGTATGTTTGTTGAAAATGTTTCTTGCACGTAAGAACGGTAGCTTGTGCCATATTGATAAGTTGCTTTCAGCTATTTGAATTTTTGTCTTCACTTAGAGAAAGAGAGAAACCTATTGCCTATCTGATGATGAGTTAAGCTCTTCCACAAGCTCTACAGATAAGTCTGATGGTGACTCCAAGGAGAGGTAAGTGTTTTGTTTAATACTGTGCAAGAACTTTCAGCGCTGTGTTGGACCTTGACTTGGAATGGAAAAAAATGACAGGAATTGCTTTCACATTTTATCTCTACATAGTGGTTGAAGAAATATGTGCTGCGTAAAGAAAATGAATTCCATTCAGTTGTTGTCTTTCTGTGACTATAAACTTGCTTCAACTTTCTGGGACATTAATTGTGAATTTTTGCTGAGTGAATGGGCTCTGAGCCTTTGTTAGATGAACTACTGGTGATGTTGCTGTTGATAAAACTGCATCACAAGAAATAACAAGGAATACTTAGCAGGGCCTCACTAAACTTTTTGAGAGTCCTCTTGGGTGCAAGATGGAAGTTACATCATTATTAGTGATTGAATCACATCTTACTTCTCCTCTACTAGAAAGAGCAACGTGAATGAAATGAATGACTTGGTGCAACTAATGACATGGACACTGAAAATGGACTCTAAGGAGAACTCTGTAAAATCTGCAACCTCAACTCCAGCCCCAGAGTTTAAACTTCATAGAAAGTATCGAGACACTTTGATTTTGCATGGAAAATCACCTGGTGAATCAGAGGAATTCAAATTTGAAGATATTTCTTCAGGTTGGTTGCTTTGTACTGCTTTAAATGAACGGTTGTCAACTGATGTTAACCAAAGAAGACCTGTTAGTGGGAAACACGTGACAATCCACTCATTTCTTCTCAAATCTCAACAATGCTTACAGAAGTAATCATCATCCTAAATAATTCTGTGTGCAAAACTGCTCCAGTTGTGGCTTACTTGCCAAGGAAAGGAATGGGTGTTTGATCTGTGTAGTTATTAACAAAGAGAGAAAGCTGGTCTGCAACATGATTTTTTCCCCAAGTAACTTATGTTTGGCAGCTTCCAAAATGAACAGTTGGAGTTGAGTATTTTGAAATAAGATTTTGAAGACATTCAAACAATTTGATAGCTGTAGAGCATTGTGAATTGTGGATAAAGCTGAAATTGTACACAAAGCATTAAACACCGGGGAGGTTTGTATGAGTATAGAAGTTCATCTTCATGGCAGAATTTGGGCAAGGTTATTTTTCCAACAGATATAGGCGCAAGAATCGAATCGCTTTTCATATTTAAGATCTGGTTAAGTATATATATGCATTCCAAAAAGCAAGAAAAAAGCGGTATTCGCTGTGACTGCACTTACTGTGCAACAAGAGCAAGTGAAAAAGCTGAGGGTGGGGCTTTGAAGTCTCAGATGTTCTTGTCCTTATTGTTTTAAAGGGTGAGGATTCTACTTGTAACTGGTCTGGTGACAGGCAAAGCAATGGGAGAGCACTGGATTTTACTCTGATAGGTTGATTCTGCATAGCCAAAGTAAAACACATGGAAAGAGTTAATCTCTAAGCAGGTGTCACAGAATGTTGAAAGTACAAATTTCAGTGTTTGGGTTTTTTTTTCTCTGCATTTTTCTGCCTCTCAAGTATTGTGTGGTACGATCATCCAGCTGTTCACTTACTGCCATTTGGGATGACATTGCTGCTGCATTTCTAAGCTGAAACTTTAATTAGATCAGATATTTTATTTTGAGAAAGTGATCCGTCCTATAAAAGGAGTGTCGGTGAGTTCAGTGATTAAAAGAGCAAGCTGGTGTTCTCAGTTCCTAACAGAGGCCTCCCCTTATAAAATGACTGTCTCTTGTTGGCAGCTTCTGCTGAGGAGCAAAAGCTTCAAAGGCTGTTGAGACAAAGAGACAGATGGCAGAAATGATGCCATTAGTGTTTTACAGTGATTAAACTTTTCTTACATTTGCTGTAAGTACAGGTGATTGAGTTATTGAAATGCTTGGCTGATGATGCAGTATTAGAGATTAGTACTTTCCATTCAAATAATACTTGTAATACAGTATGCAGGAAACAGCTGAAATGAAGTTGCAGGGTCCTGTTGTTACAGGGTCCAGTTATGCAAACTTTGCCTTGATTTTGTCTTGCCCAGTGTTGCAAGAGTTAGCAGCTGAGTGCTTTGGATTCTGACATCTGTGATCATCCTAGCCAGCCCTTTCAGATAAACGGTTATTTCCTGCACATGGTGAGCGGGAATTCTGCAGTAATGCATTCAGTCGTTCCATGTTCTGCAGAGAGTATGAAAATTAACTGCACTGAAAGTACTTATTACTGCATTGATTTTAAAAACTTACTTATTTTATTGCATTTTTTAATAGATATGTTACCAGTTCCTAACAAGATTAGGAGAATGGTTGAAATCCTGAGATCTGATGTGGTTCAAGGACTGGGAGTGAAACTTCTTGAGAAGGTGTACAGCATCATGGAAGAAGAAGATGAAGTGAAGAGAGAGGTGAATGTCTTTCATAATAAAATTGTTTGATTTCTTTATAAACGTGGATAAATGAGCAGAGTCTTGCCCCCACCACATCTCCCTTTTAGACCTCATAGCAGCCTTCCAGTATCTAAAGGGAGCTTATAGGGATGCTGGGGAGGGACTCTTCATTAGGGACTGTAGTGATAGGGCAAGGGGTAACGGGTTCAAACTTAAACAGGGGAAGTTTAGATTGGATATGAGGAGGAAATTCTTTCCTGTGAGGGTGGTGAGGCACTGGAATGGGTTGCCCAGGGAGGTTGTGAATGCTCCATCACTGGCAGTGTTCAAGACCAGGTTGGACGAGGCCTTGGGTGAGATGGTTTAGTGTGAGGTGTCCCTGCCCATGGCAGGGGTGTTGGAACCTGAGGATCTTAAGGTCCTTTCCAACCCTAACTATTCTATGATTGATACAGTAATGCAAACCTTGATTGCAAAAAGTATTTATTTTTGCCTAGGCATTACTTCCCTCATGCTCCTCATGTCCAGAGTGACAGATTAATGTCACTGCTGGTGACTCCTGTTTGAGGCAAGTGAGCAATGCCTCCAGCTCATTTGATTCAAAACTTGGTTAAAAATGAATTGCTGCATGGTTAAGTGTAACCTGTGAAGATCCGATTTATGTTTTAAATTGTTGGGTGGGATTTGGAACTCTTGCCTTCGGACAACAGACTCGGCTGTTTTTGTTCCTTCCCATGTGTGTTTCAAACTTCACGTGCCACTTCCAGTTGAGTGCTTTGGTAGTTTGGGGGTTTTTATTAATATTTTAGTAGTTCCTGTTTTTTTCAATGTCAGTAAATTTTGTGGCTTTTCTTTTCTTTTTTTTGTGTGTTCTAAATAGCTGCAGCTGCGGGAGCATATGGGAGACAAGTATGTGAGTTACAGTGCCAAGGCACGACATCTGAAGTTTCTTGAAGAAAATGTGAAGTTCTGACCAGACCCTTTCCCTCAGAGAAAAGGACTGGTTTATAGCCCACTTGATAGACTGGACCAGCTTACAGAGCACCTCCTTTGCTGGAATAAGGAGGTGAACTTGCAAAAAACTTTGTAGTAATATTTTTATGTTAAAATGTGAAGGCTATCACTTTCTCAGAAGAGAAACTGCTTAGTTTAGTTTTTATTCTCTTAATGGAACTTTTTAAGAAGTTGCTTTTTATAAATGAAAAGAGGGACAGATGGAGTTTTGTACAGAAAGGAGTGTCAGAACCAGTTTTGGTTTGAATGTGCAAAAGGTTTTTGGTATGGTCACATAATAATAATAATACAGTAATGCAGTTTATGCCAGGGCTATGGTGTGATAGGCTACAAGCTGTAGTATATCAAATAGCTGGGAAAACTTAGCAGGGAGAAACAATTACTGATTTTTATAGCACCAAAAGCCCTTCATCTTCTGTAAATTGCCAAGTTAAAGTGCTAAAGGGGGTGGCTGTGCTGCTTTTAAGTAGAGCCTTTCCTCTTGTGTTTTATTGCTAAGGCAGTCACTGAGGTAGTGGAAAGTATTTGGTAACTGGATAAAGTAAGTGTGAAAATGTTTGAAAAGAACACAGCCATGGTTACCGTGGTCCCAGCTGGAGAACTCCCTTTGCCTTACAAGCACCAATTTCTTTTAGGAATGGAAGTGCCCAAGACCAGAGTCACTTAGAGAAATAGGCATCGTAACTTTTGCCTTTCCTTGCACCTAGACTGTGTTGCTACACATGCCCAGGCAGTGTCATGTACCATCACTGTAGGAAAAGCTTTATACTTTTTTTAAAGTATAAAGAAATGAAAAGGGAATTGAATTTGTAAAATAAAATTTTAAATGCACAACCTGTCTCTTTCCCTGCCTCTAGTTTAAATATTGTAATCTCCAGCACCTATGAGGGAGACGAACATGACAGTAAAGACGTGCTATACTTTTGGATCCTGCTGCCTCTGGCATATTAGAGGCTCAAGTTAAAAGGTTTCAAGAGCTGCTGTATTCTGCAGAGTCAAGGTGTTACTTTCTCTACCTGGGCAAATTTATTTGAACCAAACCTGCCACTGTAGAATCTCCTATCCCTGGGCTATGTACCCTTTTACAGGACTTGTTACAGCCTGACCATATGGATGGATTGTTTTACACATGGTTAGAGAGATTTTAGCAGAAATCCAGATACAGAATATTATTTTTAGGCTATGGCAACAGCTTAACTACACTTGATTTGATTTGCTGTGTTCCTTTTTAGTAGAATACCCAAGTGAGATGTGACCTCCAGTAGCCTTCGGAGGTTAATCCCTCCCCACCTTTGCCCTCCCAGTGACTTCACTGACACTCCAGCCAAGATTTAGAGTTTTCATGTTCCCTGCAGATCTTGGTGTACTCACAGTAGTATACAAAGCAGTAAGAAAAAAAACGAGACACCAAGCCAGGAAGTGTCATTTAGTGGCAATACACTTCACTAAATTTAAAGTAACAGCATAAAGAACTAGGAGGGGAGGGGGTTTAGCTTTTAGCATGTCTCTTTGGCTTTCTGTCTGCTGGCTTCTTTTCTTCTGTTCCTGACTCTTGGACAGGGAGCCACTTCAGAGGGTTGCGACGGTACATAGGCCACGGAGGGAGCGTTAGCTTAGAGAAAAGGAATGAAGGCAAAACATGTAAGTCAAGATGCTAGAGAAGTGTACCAATTAGTGTTCACAAAGTTCACACAATTTCCTGTTACAAAGATATATATATATTTTACATTGTATTGTGCATAATCATGGGTGACTAAAGGACCCCAGCGAATTGCGAGGAGGAGGAGGAGGACTACACCCAGCCTGAAGTAAAAAGGATACCCCTGGATTACTGAGGTAACACCAGCAACCCAGCCTCCCCAGCGCTTCAGTGAAACCCTCCAGTACCTGGCCTCAGAGCTAAGTAACTGTAGTAAGACCAACTCTGAGGACGTTTAGCTCGAGAAAGCAGTTGGATGGTGATGCCATAGAACTATAGTGGCTTTTCAAAATGGGAGTATGTGTGTGTTAAGTAGTGATTGGCCAAATCATGTTGCATCTGAACACTCAAAAGGTGTAAGAACCACATGCAAACCTGGATTCAGTGTGCTCCGACTGGAATGGGACACCTCACGTGCAGGAATAAGGAATGACTCTTGTAATTCTATGCTTTGTGTTCTCACTGCTCTGCTAAGGTGGCATGGGCCAGCTGCACATTTTTTGTGACAAGCTCCTACTGGACAGAAAGCCTCACTGTCCTTTCTGTTATAAGTGCTATCAGCTTGACTTAAAAGTAACATTTAATTGAAACAATAATTCTAAAGCAGTATCAAATTGCAGTGTTCTCTAAAATCTGACTAGCCTTTGAGAAAAGGCATTTCCTGGCTTGTAAAGCACTTTCTACAAATCAAAGTACGAATATGCATCAACGGTCAGAATTAGATAGGAAACATTTGTCTGTGTTGACAGCCCCTTAATTCAATGATGCATTCAGGTGCACGTATTTTCTGGTTTGGGAGCAAAAAAAATTTACCAAACATGATAAAGCAAATCCAGCCATAACTATGTAGACCGTCCATCCAAACTGCTCAGTGATGTAGCCGTAGATGAAGCCAATTATCTGCAAAACAAAATTTAAAGAAATCACACTTAAAATGAACAATTTGCCATGCCATGATTAAGCGTGTGTCTGGGGAAGCTAAGCAGAAAAGTAGATGTTTTCAAGAGCATGGTTCAGACATCTTTCTAACCTTGTTTTCAAAATTGTAGACCAATAAGGAAAGTAAAAGATTGAAAGAGGGAAAGTCTGAATCCATGAGAACCCCCCTGATTTTGTCATAGGCTTTTAGCGACCCACTTAAGTCAAACAATAAAAAAACCCCAACTTGTTTGTAAGAAAACAAAATCCTGGATGTTATTGCCCATAACTGTGATATACTTACTGCAGAGACAAGAATGATTCCTTGAAAAATCTGCTCTGCTAATTTTTGACCCTTGTAGTCCTGTGGAAAGAGATCTCTTGTCAGTTACCCAAACCACAAACCTGCCGGTTAAAACTCTTTCAGGTGAGCATCTGGGGACAGCCCCATCACACCTTCTCAGCTTTTCTGGTCAACTGTCAAACCAGACTGATGTTACTTTTCTGGATTACAAGGGTAAAAGAGTTAAGTTCTCGATTCAGTTAACCCCTGCAGTCTTCACATCATCTAAAAATAAAAGCAGGCAATGTCTGTTCAGGATAAATAATGCAAGATCAAGATACCATTATAGTTAGATAAATATCACGAGGTAAACGCTGTAACACCCCCCCAGAAGACAGTACGTGCTTCAGAGGATACGAATTTATGTCACCTGTGTTTGCATGAGTGGCTTTAATGAAAACTCTGCCTTCTGGCTCTATACAGCATAGCTATACAAGTACGGAGGGATTTCCCCCCACAGCTGTGTATTACTGTCGTTTTACACCACATTAAAGCTCTAATTTTCAGACCAAAAAATAACTCGTAATGACACTAAGCGCCACCCCGCACCCAGCAGCGGCTGCCAGCACGGCACGGAGGAGGGGAGCGCTGAACCCCGCAGGCAGCGCTGCAAACAGCGGCGACAGGCGAGGAGGGCCCGGGCGCGGCCAGCCCCCCGCGGCGCTGCCCTACCATCTGCGTGGGGATGGAGCGGATGTTCAGCATGGCGGCGGAGAGCCAGAGAGCGGTGCCTCGCGCTCCACGTCCTACTCTTCTTCTTCGTCGTCGTTGTCTTCCCCCTCTCCAAAGCTCTGCGAGCTGCGGCTCGGCGGGTAGCAGGGCTCGGGGCGGTGCCGCTGAAACGGAAGGGTGCTGCTGACCTGGCCGGAAGCAGTCCTGTTCCGCTCCGCCCCGCCCCGTCCCGTCCCGTCCTTCCTCAGTTGGCGGGGGCCGCCCCTGCTTCAGCCGGCGGCTCCGCGGTGCCGTTGTCTCTGCTGCCGCTGCTGCCCCAGGACAGAGCCAGAGCCAGAGCCTGGGCCTCGGCTTCCTTCGCGCCGCGGGACGCTGTCTTCCCGGCAGCGGCGGCTTTGAGCCGGCCTTGGGCTGGCAGGTTTGATGCGCCTCCGTCATCGCCTGTCCGGGATCAACGCTGCCTTGGCAGCTGGCGGCCGGGCGTTTCTCGCGAAGCCGCCGCCGCGCCGTTAGTGCCGCAGAGGGGGCACGGTGCAGCCTTCCTGCCCTGCGGCCGTTAGGTATCGTTGCGGACAGCCGCGCGTTGGGCTGCTGCTGGGAGCGGGTGGGGCGGCCGCGGGGGCCGCTCGCTGCCGAGGTGGCAGTTGGCGGCGGCGGCGGCGGCGCGGGCGGGCGGTGAGGTAAGCTAGGGTCTCGGTAGAGGAGAGCCGGGCCTCTGCAGCCTTACCTGTGCTGTGCCTCCCGCAGGAGGAGAGGCTGAGCGGGACCCTCTAAGAGGAACAGCGCGGTTTGTGTCGCTCGTAGAGGATGCGGTGGAACGGGACGGGAGGAGGGGGGGAACGGACGAGCACTCAGGTGGCCGTGTGCCCCGTGTCAGGGCGGTGGTGGCCTGCGGCAGTGCGGCCATCAGCAGGTATGCCGGGGTTCCGTGTGGGGATTTGTCTTCAGGCTCTGGTAAAGTCGGGCTGAAAGCGGCTTCGGTACCGGCCGCGTGCAGCCGCGTGTCGGCTGGTGCCCCCTCAGCGAGGCCGCGGGGCGCGCCGGTGAACCCCGGCAGCAGCGCTGGGCTGGCACCGGCGGTCGCTCCTGGTGCCCGGCCAATGCGGTGTCCCCTGGCAGCACCGCGACAGCGGGAATACCGCAGTTATGTCTGACACACGTAACGGTCACCACGCAGTTTGCGGTGTTCAATGTGGGCGCTTTGCAAGGGTTTTAATATAGAACTGTAGCGGCTGCTTAAGGTCTGCATGCTGGTAAGTTGTGAATGCTTTCTGTGGGTCGCTGCAGAGCTGCTTCATGCTCCAGGATGGGTAGTTCTTGTTCTGATTTCACAGGCACGTTTACCCTTAATTAACGAGTAAGTGCGTTTGAATTGCATACCAAAATTGCATCGCTGCATGGTGGGTTTTTTGTGGTCTTTAACACGATGGTAATAGCTTCCCTCACATTGTTTTCCGTAGAGAATGAGAGTGTATAGTGCTGTGTGTTAAAATCTTGTAAACGCTGTGTCCTGCCAAAATCTTGCGCTTAGTTAGGTATGGAAAGAAATGTATAATCCTTTGCCTTATTGCTGGGGTGCTTCTAGTTCAGATGGTTAAACGAATCGTTTCAACAGTGAAGAAACCATATGTAATATTCCACGTTCCTTTCAGATCAGTTTTGACTGGCAGAAGGAGGTTTTTTTCTGTCAGTGAAGTACGTGGCAAGATCTGTATGTCTCGCTTTCTATCTCAGAGTTCGTCTTTAGATACATCATTGTAGATATGTCATATGCACTTACCAAGACACCACACTCTGTTATTAAAAGGTGGCATATAGTTTTATCTAAGAGGAGGAGACATTCACTACATTTGGAAACTGTTTCTGACGTTCCTGGTGACTGTGCTATGCCTTGTGTAGGCATGCACTGGAAGCAAAGTGTGACTGCTGTGTTTTTTCCCTTTCAGGTTTGCAGGAATCTGATGCCAGTAAATAAAATAACAAGAGAAAAATGTCATTAAGGAAAGGTATGTGCATATGTGTGTGGTTAAGTTTTTAAAATTCTCTTTTGTGCTTTTCTGAGTTTCCCAGTCTTTCTCTGGTTATATTGATGAACTTTTTTCTTCTAAATTTTCAGTGAACATTTCCATCCTTATAGTGGCTGTTGTCATATTTTTGCTAGTTCTTCATCATAACTTCCTAGGCCTCAGTGACTTCTTGAAACGGGAGTTGACAGGTATGTTGGGGTTTATTTTAGTTTGAAAATGAGTGTTTTTTTCAAGATTGGTGGGAAAGCGCGTGCTCTGGCCAGACAGAAAGCACCACGTTGCTGAAATAATGAGTATGATAATGATCAATTGTTTACATAACAAGGTATGATTTTTGTACTTTTTTTTTTGAGTAGATCCCTGTTCTCGTACCCAAGAAATTTCAGCTTGGTGAGCTTGTCTGTTCTTGCTGTCCTTTGACTTTTCTTGGTCAGGAAGCCAGAAGCGAAAGCAGTAAGGGTTCCTCCTTAATGGCTTTAGAAATCATTAAGTTATGATTCAGTTTATTTCGCAAAGCCTTTTAGTTTTCAGGAGACTACTTTTAGGAACTGCATGTGGTCCCACAGAGCCTCTCCATGTCCCCAGTTTACCATTCCTGGGAGCTGTGATATCTAGGTGGCAGTTGCACAGGTGTTTCCCCACAGCAGTGGAATTGGAGCCTGACAGACCTTAACCAGCAATCTGTTGAAGTCAAAGCTGTTGAGTTCTGTCATCAGGAAATTGCAAAGAGAAGGAGAAGCCCAGCTTTGTGAACAGCAGACTACTGCCCACAAACTGCCAAGTCCCTGTTTGCTATGTTCCTCAAATTACCCCAAATTATCTAATATGTAATAATCTAGATCATTTCTTATAAAAACTGTGGGTATAGGTAATGGCATGTTTTTACAGGTGATGTGGTCTTGTAATAAACTTCAATGCTGATCTCCCATTTTCCTATCTGTATACTATGAGTATAAATTTTTTGAGATTTCAGCTTTGAAAATATAGTGTGATCTGTGATCCCTGGAACAAACATGGAAGCTGCACCTCATGCCTTGATCTGCAGTGGGAAGAAATTTGCAACAGTGACTGTAATTTAGAATTTCTGTGTTCTTCATTGGTTCCTACCTTTGAAGAAAGAAAGTGTAAGAAAAAGAGGGAAGGGTGATGTGGAAAAGACTAGAAGGTGGATTGGGTAAATGGGAGGGAAGTCAAATTATAGGCATGGCAGGGGGGTCCAAAGGCAAGTGCAGCCTGCTGTACTTTAAGCCTCATTTTAGTACCTTGTTGTGCCCTGTGTGAATATGTATGGTTAAATGCGTGTAGCTTATATGTAAGTTTTCCTGTTCATGAACATCTCAATTCTCAAGAGCAGGTGCTATGTTTTAAGTGTTTGATACTGGCTGGCATACTGTAATCCACACCTCATCTGAGATATCCAAATGCTTGCATAGTAGAAACAATTGAAGGTGTTGAAAATTTTAGTGTGGTAATAATGTCTGTTTCATTTGCATAGAACAAGTATGTGATGGCCTTTGTACTCCACAGATGCAAATCCATTAGGACTTCAGCCTATAGATTTCATACCTGCAGTTCCCCAGAGGCTGGCAGATGAAAGGAATGATAAGGAGATTTCTGTGGTCATTGCAGCATCAGATGAGAGGCTTGGGGGTGCAATTGCAGCCATGAACAGTATTTACCATCACACCAGATCCAACGTGGTTTTCCATATTGTTGCTTTGAATGATACAGTGGATCACTTGAGGTAATGCTCTTTTCATTAGATTCCTGCAATACTGTAAAACACATAAGTGTGTCTGAGAAGAGGAAGTACGGGCATTCACTGGAACTGCAATCCTTTAAATTGCAGTCCTGTCTGCTGCTGCTTATTGCAGCTTGTTCACAAGGCTGCTGTGGAGACTCCTACAATCATTCCTTCTGGCAATGTTTCAGAGAAGGAAAAGAGCCATCTTTTCTGGTGGGGTTATATCCAACCGGTGGGGTTATATCCAACCACTGGGGTTGGAATTTGTTGGTGGAGAGGTTGTAAAATTTTTGTATTTCTATATTTCATCTAAGCAATTCAAATGTTGGCAATGAATTTTCTCCATTTTTCTAGATTGTTCTTTGATCCTTTTATTCTTACCCATGTCTGTTCACACCAGTGTTTTTTGTGAAGGACCTGTAATAACAGGATCATATTTTTCTAATAAAATAAGAAGCGACCTCATACGTTTCCCATGTTGCAGCTGTGCAGTATGCTGGTAGCGTACATGCTCCTGCCGTCACAGAGGACACCACTGACATCAGCCCTACATAATATCCTATACGTATGTTTGTTGGGTTAGGGAAGTGAGTGGGCAGATCAAGATCAGTGTCACTGTCAAATCAGATCTCTTGTTTTTCATTTGGTCTTTGTCTCATTTACCAAGATCTGTGCCTTTCTTTCTGTTTGCAGGCTGTGGCTAAGTAACAGTGCTTTGAAAAACCTGAGATACCGCATTTTGGATTTTGACCCTCGTGTCTTAGAAGGGAAAATAGAAGTGGATCCTCAAAAGGCAGACACCTTAAAACCAGTGAGGATGATGTTGATTACTTTTTTCAGTTATTAGGTACACAGCCAGAGATCAAAACCAAATCTCTTGCCATAGAAGCAGTCTTTTGTAATGAAATTCCTAAATTTCAGTAAGAGTAAATTTCCAGATAGTGAGATACAGATTTGAAAGCTACCTGTGCATGCCTCATGTCATTTTTTGCTGCTGGCTGCAGTGAAACACAGCAGCTTGCATGTCAAGCATGCTATCACCTCAGAGATACTACAGATTTATGTGGAGAAATAAGAAATTCTAATATAGACCAGTTTTTAAGTCAGTTTATTAATGCACAAATTCATAGGAAACCAGGAACTGATGGAACGTGTTTATTTTAAATAGCTTCTAGGATATTGCTGCCTATTTTACTTCCTTGGTAGAAGTTGTTTTGGGCATTATTACCATAGATAGGCGCCAGGAGTATCAGTCAATTTCACATTAATTTTGGCAATTTGTCATTTAATCCTTCACTTACCTTGCTTTCGTGTTTTCACAGCTAACCTTTGCCAGATTCTACTTGCCCACTTTGGTACCTCATGCAGAGAAGGCTATCTATGTGGATGATGATGTAATTGTACAAGGTACGGGACTTTTTCGTAGCCTTTTGCCACTGGCCTTATGCTGAGGTCAGTATGCCATCTCTTACAGTAACCAAAAACTTCTATTTTGAGCAAAGATGTAGAAACTGTAAGCATGAGTGAGTTGAATTAAACTGTGTGGTTTTATCTGCTGTAGTAGTGGACTGAACAAAATGTCACGCAGCACTTAGTCAGGATTGCTTTTAATTTTTCTGTGCTTGCTTCCGTTTTGCAGATGATATTCTTGAACTTTACAACACTCCTTTGAAACCTGGACATGCAGCTGCATTTTCAGATGATTGTGACTCAATCACCAATAAAGTTGCTGTCCGTGGGGCCGGCAATCAGGTTTGTTTTCTTCTGAATCAGTGTAGCAATACTATAAAGCTCAGGCTGTGGAAACGGGCACTGGGATTTAATGTTCTTGCAGGATGACTTCCAAATGCAGTGAACTAAGAGATTCCTAGACAAATCAATTACTCTGGTGTTTGATTACAAATGACACCTGCAGTTTCTGTTCAGGCACAGTAAAAGCACTTCATATTTTTGCTGTGCTTTATAATGAGGGCAATTCCCAGTGTAGAACAGCAGATCTTAGAACATCAGAGGGAGAATTTTTCATTTGTGAGTGTTTAAAAAAATACTTTTTCTGGGAGGGGTACCATATTAATAATATGATATTATTAAGACTGTGAAGCATTCCTTAAAATATATGGCTTATAAAATCGTATTTTTTTAATGTTAGACCTCATAAGCTTTCTTTCTCTCAGTTTATAGGAAGGGGTATTTGCTACATGAAGTAACACTTATCTGTTGAGAGTTGTGCAAAATTTCTCTTTGAATAGTAATTTGACCATATTCTAGGCTAATTTCTACTCTCTTTTCCCTCCCTCCAGTATAATTACATTGGGTTTCTAGATTACAAAAAAGAAACCATCCGAAAGCTTGCCATGAAAGCCAACACCTGCTCTTTCAATCCAGGAGTTATTGTTGCCAATTTGACAGAATGGAAATTGCAGAACATCACGAAGCAATTGGAGAAGTGGATGGCACTGAATGTAGCGTAAGTACCCTCAATCTGGGGGCTACAGCACATCAGGGATTGGGATATGGTGACCCATATGTACCTGTGTGTAGCTGTGGATACTTTCCACGCAGCTGCAAGGGAAAAATCAACTGATATGGGGCCACATTAACATCCTTTCCCAACTTCTTTTCATCTTCTCTTCTAGAGAGCAACTTTACAGTAGGACTCTGGCTGGCAGCATTACAACACCTCCATTGCTAATCGTATTTTACAAGCAACATTCCAGTATTGACCCCATGTGGAACGTCCGGCATCTCGGTGTGTATGAAACACTTGTGATACTGCTTCCCTGGTGTGTTTTTCCAAGTCTGTAGCTGCACACCTAGTTGATAATGCAGCAAATGGATCTTTGCCCCTCTCTTTTTTTATACCTTGCTCTTTAAAAACCACTGCTTTGCAGTACCATCTTGGTGCTTGTTGGCCTGATTCCTCATGTTCTTTTATTTAACTGCTAGGGGGATAATTCTTGAATTGACCTACTTTCAAATTACTTCTCATTTCCCTTTCATTTTTCCATGTCTGTATTTCCACGTATCTGAAGTGATCCTAGATGTTCTTCCAAGACTGTTGAGAGGAACAGATACTCCTGTCTATGCTGCTACTGGTCAAAGCCCAGTGCTGGGAAAGCTTCCTTAGGTTTTGTTTCCAGTGAACAATACATAGGCTGCCAAATACATCTTGGTATTAAGGGGGTTTTAAAGAACTTTGAGGTTAAGGCAGTACATTAAAATAGATACTGAGACAGGTCAAAGTGGCATTCAGTTGCACCTGTTTTTCACTTTGTCCTGATTTATGCCTCCCACATCACCTCCTTTTTCCGTAAATGATGGTATTTTCCTTTCTTAAAATTCTTTGGTTTGATGTTGATTGCATATTGGTGTTTCTGCTGCCTTTATTTTAGGCACTAATGCTTCTTTTTCAATAAAAGGCTCTACTGCTGGAAAAAGGTACTCTCCTCAGTTTGTGAAAGCTGCCAAGTTGCTCCATTGGAATGGACATTTCAAGCCATGGGGAAGAACAGCTTCATATGCTGAAGTCTGGGAGAAGTGGTATGTTCCTGACCCTACAGGCAAGTTCAGCCTAATCCGCAGACATTCAGAAGCCTATGAAGCAAAGTAGAGTCCATTTTAATAACTGATGGCATTTTCTCAGGAAACTTCTGGAGCCAAGCAGAACTTTGGTGTTTAGCCAACTTGTATTTCAGAGCAGTGCTTTTGCCTTTTGGAGCACGAGGTGAGGCAATAATTCCGGTGCAGTTCTGAAATGCACAGGTCCAAAGGAGACTCACTTGTGCGACAGAAGATGCTACACCATCAGCGCTACAGAAAGCAAGGGAATATGTCCACGAACTAGGCCTTTTATTAGTTCATTTCTGTCTGTTGTGCATTCTGCTGCTCTTTACTACAAGTCTTCTAGAGGAGAAGCTACAGAAAGAAACATTTCTAAGAACAAGATACATCTTCAACTGGTGCTTGCACCATGCAAATCTTGCACAGCAATGTACTGTAATTAAGAGCTGCTTGAGTTTTGTTTTGGGTTCGTTTGTATGTTTTCTTATCTTGTGAAATCCTTTCCTCAAAGAGTCTTTTCTTGCATGAAACATTCTTCTACCCATTTCTGTGTCTTTCCTGTGGAATTCTGCAGAAACAGATTTATTTCTTGAAATATTAATTTTTCAAGTATTACTACACTATGCAAAGTGAAGACTAAATCCGTTTTTGTAAAGTGGTAGAGAAAACTTTGTTCAAAAATAAAAGCTAATTCTAACATGTTGACTCAAACCTCAGGTAATGGCAATCTGATTTTAGTTTTGATCCATGCAGCACGTTTCCTTTGTACTTAAATGCAATAGAAGTGATTGAAACTAAAATTATCTCATCTTTGCAAAAGCAATCTCATTCTAAAATTGTGCCAAGTGTTTACTGTAGGGATCAGGCTGTGTGAAACATTGTTATGAATTGTTGTGTTATTAAGTTCCTCGTAGTTCTCTCAAGAGAGTATGACTCTGCTACAGAAGTTTTTTCCACCGTGCCTTTCCCAGCCTGACCCTTTCAGCTCATCAAGCCGGATTCCTGTGCCCTTTTGCAGTCAGCTGCCCACCACCTTTTCTACAGGTAGGCTGGTTTTTTAATAGTTGTATAGTTTGAGTAGTGGTCATTAGCAGTTGCTGATACATCCCAGCAGCTATCATGCCAACTAGTCCATTTAATACGGGTTTGAACTCAAGCTGTTACCTGTATTCAGTAATACTGCTTGTGAACAGTCCTCAGTATAAGATATTTAGACAAGTCTTTGTGTTAATGCAGTGATGGGCTGAGTATTGCATGGTCTGGTTACACAGGACAGCAGAGACATAAAGGGCTCATTCATGTGTATGAATATGGTTTTAATACTGCTTTATAATTTAAGAGTATTTCCAATTGCTTGACTCGTTGCAGTCACTGCCTATAGTTCTGTCTGTGGTTTGTTACCTACAATTTCTTTTCCTGGGTTTTGATGAAGAACCATTCTTGTCTTGCAGTGGTTATGAGTAACAAAGTAAGTTCAGTTAACAAACTTTGAAAGATTGTACTAGATCAACTGACATCAACTTAATGCTGATGACCAGGCTGTGTTTTAGCAGGCTTAAATAAACTGCATGTCTGTGTCTACACTTGGTGCTTTTTTAAGCTGCCCAGTAGGACTGTGCCTCAACATACATTTAGGGAAAATACAAGTATTTACTGAGGAACACAAAAACCAGACCTTGAAGTTCATAGGAGAAAATCAGATGTATAGGGGGAAGGTGCTTGGTGTCAGGTGTTTATCCTAAATGCTTAATTCAGTGAGCAACTGCAGGGCCTCTTGGGAATTCCCTTGCTATCCCAGTTGTGCTATAGGTTGTCATTGCACAGGGTGATGTTTTGCTTTAGTTATCAGTTGTTGCCATGTATAATAGGTATCATCAGGAAATATGTCTGTTTGAGAGCACTGCAAGAACTTGTTCCCCAGTAAAGACAAATTACTAATATGCCAATCAATATGTACTATACTAATACGTTAATCTATACTATACACTAATAATTGCCCATTACTGATCTCAGTTACCTTTCCCAATGAAGGTTCTCAATATATAAAACAATGCTTAGATAAAACTATTTTTTAGATAAAAATAAGCTGCAAAGCCGCTGGCCATCATATTTGAAAAATCATGGCAGTCAGGTGAAGTTCCCCATGACTGGAAAAAGGGAAATATAACCCCCATTTTCAAGAAGGGGAAAGTGGATGACCCAGGGAGTTACAGAGCAGTCAGTCTCACCTCTGTGCCTGGCAACATCTTGGAGCAGATTCTCCTGGCAGGCGTGCTAAGGCACATGAAAGTCAACAAGGTGCTTGGTGACAGCCAGCAGGGCTTCACTAAGCGGAAATCCTGCCTGACCAATTTGGTGGCCTTCTATGATGGACAGGGGTAGAGCAGTTGATGGCATCTACCTGGACTTGTGCAAAGCGTTCGACACTGTCCCACACGACACCCTTGTCTCTAAATTGGAGAGACATCAATTTGATGGATGGACCACTCGGTGGATAAAGAACTGGCTGGATGGCCGCACACAAAGAGTTGTGGTCAATGGCTCCATGTCCGGCTGGAGACCAGTAACGAGTGGGGTCCCTCAGGGATCGGTGCTGGGACCGGTCTTGTTCAACATCTTCGTCGCTGACATGGACAGTGGGATTGAGTGCGTCCTCAGCAAGTTTGCCGATGACACCGAGCTGTGTGGTTCGGTTGATAGCTGGAGGGAAGGAATGCCATCCAGAGGGACCTCGACACGCTTGTGAGGGGGGCTGATGCCAACCTCATGAGGTTTAACCATGCCAAGTGCAAGGTCCTACACCTGGGTGGGAGCAATCCCAGGCACAGCTACAGGTTGGGCAGAGAAGAGATTCAGAGCAGCCCAAGGAGAAGGACTTGGGGGTGTTGGCTGATGAGAAAATGAACATGAGCCGGCTTCAGTGCGCGCTCGCAGCCCAGAAACCAACTGTATCCTGGGCTGCATCAAGAGGAGCGTGACCAGCAGGTCAAAGGAGGTGATCCTGCCCCTCTACTCTGCTCTTGTGAGACCTCACCTGGAGCATTGTGTGCAGTTCTGGTGTCCTCAACATAAAAAGGACATGGAACTGTTGGAACAAGTCCAGAGGAGGCCACGAGGATGAGCAGGGACTGGAGCACCTCCTGTATGAAGACAGGGTGAGGAAGTTGGGGCTGATCAGCCTGGAGAAGGCTGTGTGGAAACCTCAGAGCAGCCTTCCAGTATCTGAAGGGGGCCTATAGGGATGCTGGGGAGGGACTCTTCATTAGAGACTGTAGTGACAGGACAAGGGGTAACGGGTTCAAACTGAAACAGGGGAAGTTTAGATTGGGTATAAGGAGGAAATTCTTTCCTGTTAGGGTGGTGAGGCACTGGAATGGGTTGCCCAGGGAGGTTGTGAATGCTCCATCCCTGGCAGTGTTCAAGACCAGGTTGGACAGAGCCTTGGGTGAGATGGTTTAGTGTGAGGTGTCCCTGCCCACGGCAGGGAGGTTGGAACTAGATGATCTTAAGGTCCTTTCCAACCCTAACTATTCTATGATTCTAAAACATTTTTGTCTAGCTGAAATAAGTAGTGTTTTCTGGCCAACCTCTACATATGAAAGTCCTACAAGCTTTGTAAAAGCATACTAAAAAGTGACTTAAGTCATGTTCTAGTACAGTGTCTGTAGTCCTTTTAAGAAAAACAAATCTTATGGAGGATAAAAACTTACCTTGAAATTTAATTTCTTCAGCATGACCAGAATTAAAAGTTTAACATTGTTTTTCAAAGAAAAAGGCAAAGAATTTATCTTTTTGAAACATCTTTCTATAAGGCAAAGTGAACAGACTTAAGTCTAATAGGAATTTTTAAAATAGGCTTTAATACAAGAAACAAAGATGCACACAGTCAGTTTCCTAGCCTTATCTAAAATCATCGAGATACACTATTATACACATTATTTGACACAGCAATAATTGTGAATCTTTGCAGCAGCTCTATTATGCAGTATTCCTCCAACTTCTGCCACCACACATGTCCTCATGACTGGTCTGAAAGCCACTAATGAGTCTCCAAACAGTGTCTTCATACACAATTCTTTACACATAGTCTGTATTAAAATCGTAGGCATCATCTTCATCTGCTGTCTTATCCAGGTTGAGCAACAGTGAATTGGACTGTTCGCTTTCTGAGAAAAGAAAATCATGTGTTAGTGAAACCAATGCAAGTTCTAGAGTACAAGAGGCTATACTTCAAGCCAGGGTTTTTAATACAGACCTGCTATTTGCTTTTCTGAATTTGTAGGACTTGTTTGTTTTCCAAGCTTTGTTTTCCTGGAGATCTGAACTTTGCTTTTCTGCAAGACAGAGAGGTCAGATGTGTTTATTCAGACATCACTAATGAAGTCTCCATGAAAATAACACCTAACAGAGACTGCTGACAGTGTGGATGTCCCCTCCTGTAGTTGCTCAGGAACACAATGACCTAGAATAATGTTTATTCTTTAATTAAGCAAAAAAACCAACCCTTATCTCCAGGATTTTTCCTGGTGGCTCCACAGTGCCAACACCTTCTCAGTTTACAGCAGGATACTGACTGGTTAAGTGGTGTCAGGATCTAAACAAGTAGAAGAAGCCTAATGAAACCTGGTTTACCTCTTCGACATCCATTTCTTCTTCCAAATTGTTTGGATCATCGTCACTTTCTAGGAAATCCTCCTCTTCTTCCTCGTCCTCCTCTTCCTTGCTTGTTTCCAAGTTTTCCCACTCTGATGCTTCCTTTATCACTATTGTCCCATTTGCCATACCAGCTGACTGAAAAATTATGCTGTTTGCTGGACTGGGACATTTTAAAGCTGAGACAGAAAAATGGGAAGTGTGTGTTAAGTCACTGATAGACGGTACCGGATGTAATGCCTACCCCAGAGAGGACAGGCATTTCAGGTCAGGGCTAGGAAAAGACAGTCCTGCCCCATCCTTTCCACAAGATGCCACTCCCATGTAAGCAGGTAGAACAAAGGACAATTCTCTGAGAATAGCGTTCCCTAAGACATCTATGGAAGACTGGTAGGAGCTGGAAGACTTGGAATTGGAGCACTGATTGTACTGAGTAAGATGTATTTTGTTGGCCAAATTAGCCACGGTTTATGTGCTCCACAACAGTCTTTACCCCTGTTTTCTGTTTAGGAGGGTTAGTTCAGATGAGCAGAAACTAAGAACTAGCAGGGGTAAGGCAGCACACAGATGCACTGTTCTGTTGCATCTGAATCCATTTCTTTCTTAAAAGGCTCTTATAATTCACTGCATGTTGGCAATGCTCTCATATAAACCCGAGGAGGAATTCCCTTCAAAATCTCCCATTGAACTGACTACTACCCAGTTTTAATGGTAGCAGTGCATTACAGTAACAGTCCTACCTTGAACAGTGTTGTTGTTTTCTTCTTCTAGGTTCTTCAAATTAAAGCATTCTTGCATTTCAGCTATTTTGTCTTCTGTAAGGTATGGTGGCAGTGTCTGAGATTCTGGAGGTTGTGAGTAGTAGCTTATTTTAGCTCTGGGAATATAAAATATCAGCATTAAGAACCAACCAAAGATAACAAATCACTGTAGTTAAAAATAAAACCCAGAGCACAAGCCTCTCAAATTTCTCAACCTAACAACTCATTTATTATCCATTTTACAGCAGTTAAATAGCTATTTAATTTTTGGCTCTGAAGTTGTCAATAACAGATTAAGTGGACAGCCCACTCCTGAGAGGAACAGAAGTGACATGCTTTGCCACCACAAATCATCTGCCTGTAAAATCACGAGCTGTAAAAGCAGCTGAATCATTTGAGCAAGGGAAGTAGTCACACTCAGTTATTGACTCTGAGTTACATTTATTCCCACTCTTATAGTACAGGAACCACTATGAATTCCTACAGAAAATCTGCCACATCTTTGGCCTATGGAAGAGGACTACATGGACTCAGTACATAAGAGGAAGGCAAATTTCCCTAACAGTTACAGCAGAAGTCAGCAAACTGGCTATGGAGTAATGTGCAACATGATTTGATTCCTTCCATGTATCCTTCACTAATTTAGAAAGTTATCCATGGATGGTGTTCTCTGTACCTGTTAGACAATCCATCACTCTTTAGCAAAGTAAAATGTAGCCCCTGCTGTGCTGGATTAACATAATAGAAATGGTGAGCAGCATAAAGCAAAGTTCATAGCATACGTACCCTGTCCAGTCACAAAGAAGTACTTTAGTGATATTCTCTATGTCAGGAACACCTCCCTTTTTCAACATACCCCTTTTCTGAGCCAGTAAAGCTAAAAACTCTTCAGTGTTCTCAAAATCTGGGATACTATAGCGCATAATTACCTAGAGCAGAAGAAAACACTGCATTCAGAAAGAGGTACCCAGTTTTCTCCTAAGGTTTAGGAAATAAAAAGAGCAAATAAAATCAGATTACAATGAGGATGAACGTGCATGTGAAGAGCCATTTTTCTCTTGCACATGGGAGTAAACATTCCAAAGCAAAATGCCTACTTTATCAAGAAATTCATCTGTCATTCACCCATAGTAGTGGGTGTAGAGAGACAGCACACTGGTTTGTGAAAACAGTTATTGCAAAACTGAATGGAAATTAGGCTTAGGTTAATCTACTTGAAACTAGAATGAAATCAGAGTTGGATCTGAAGTCTTTACTGTAATAATAGGAAAGAGTCAGAATATCTTCATTTTTCATTCTATGATGCTGTATTGATGTCTTAAAAGAGTTGTGTTTTTTTTTTTTTAAACAGGAAAGTTACAGGAAAAAGAGCCCCTGGCTGACAGGATCATGGCATGCTGCTTCTGCCTTCCATTCCAAAGGATGAAAGATCACACTCTGTGCTGCCATTCTGTCTGATTAGAAGAAAGCAATGCAAAAGCTACCAGAACTAGCAGAAGTGAAACAAACTTTTGTTACTGATCTAAGAAACCTTGAGAAGTCAAATGCACTGGGAGATGTGGAAAAAGCTAAGAGCTCACCTGCTGTTTATTGCAGTGACTTAGAATTGCACATATTCCTTCAAGCAGATCTGCTAAGTCTGATTCTTCAGTGTCTATGATACTTCTCAAGGCCAGAGCCAGGGCACTGTTGGAGCGATCTGCAATTATACTTGGACTGTCCAACATCTTTGTCTGTTTATCAATGTGCACAATTTGCATGGACCTATTCAGGGAGAAACACACTGTGAACCGATAGGCAATGAAGCAAAGGACTGGTAATGGTGAGGGGTGCAAGACACAAAGCTCAGCGTTGGACTGAATCCACTTCATACAGAGTCAGTTTCAGTGCTTTTTCATCATATGCTTTGCGTAGGACAGAAACCTAAACACACAAAAAGAGCAAGTTTATACACAGTGCTCTCTGTTGACAGCTTGCATCAAACAGATCAATATCTTCCATCCTGGCAAATGGAAATAAGCATTTAAAAAATGCACACAGGGGCGTATTTTGCCCCAGATGGATGGAAATTGTACACGAACAAACGCAAGGTAATCTGAACACAACAACAAACAGGGAAATGAACAGCTTTTATCAGACTCGGCTTACTTGGTAACACCTCTTGTTAAGCCAACGTTGCAAGCACGAACTCCTTTAAGGCTGTTGATTATGCTGCTCTTTCCCACATTAGGGAAACCTGAAGAAAACCACATAAATCCCTGTAAGTAAGAAACTAAGCCTATGTAACACTAATCAAAAATAGTTTCTTTCAGGTGTCTTTGGTAAAGTACATCTTCAGTGTGAGATCAGAGTTGGATCTGAAGTCTTCACTAAAGAAGTAAGACAAAGTGTGTATCCTCATTTCTCACACTGATAATGTAACATCACGTATCGTATCAGATAGGAGGAAGACACCACAAGCTGCATGATACATAACCTGCTTCTCTTGTTGCCCTGATCTCGTGTGTCAGCTAAAGGCTCACACAACATGCCTCTCACAGATCACAGACACTACATACATTTAAATGTAACATAAATCACTGTCAACTAAAGCCTTAGATGAAAGTAAGGGCAATGACAAGAAAGCCTATTAGCATGTCATGTGTTAATTGCTTTACCCTATTTATAATACAGGATACCAAAGCTTTATGGGAGAAAGAAACTCTGCCTGTCTCTCTGAACAACTTACCTACAACCCCAACCTGAATGGCTTTGTTTTGAGTCCTGCCGTACTCTTGAAGAAGTTTCAGAAGGCATTTGGTTCCAAGACATTCACTGGTTCTTGATACATCAACACGTGCACGTCTCCTTGTGGACTGCTCCTGCTACAGGATTCAAAGGCATAAAAAAACCCAGCCATGGAGGAGCTGCTTAGGAAAGTAAATACATATTGCTTAGATTTATTTATCGACTGTAATGATCTCTATTAGGTGAAGACAGGCTGAGAACATTGGAGCTGTTCAGCCTGGAAAAGAGAAGGCTCTGTGGAGACCTCATACCAGCCTTCCAGTATCTGAAGGGGGCCTATAAGGATGCTGAAGAGAGACTCTTCATTAGGCACTGTAGCGACAGGATAAGGGGCAATGGGTTTAAACAGGAGAAGTTCAGGTCGGATATAAGGAAGAAGGTTTTTACTGTGAGGGTGATGAGGCACTGGAATGGGTTACCCAAGGATGTTGTGAATGCTCCATCCCTGGCAGTGTTCAAGGCCAGGTCAGATGGAGTCTTGGGTGAGATGGTTCAGTGTGAGGTGTCCCTGCCCATGGCAGGGGGGGTTGAAACTTGATGATCTTAAGGTCCTTTCCAACCCTGACTGTTCTGTGATTCTATGTTACTGCATTCTTTTAAACAAAAGGAATTAGCTTAAGAAATTGGCTGATCAGTTAAGTTACAATAAAAAGGGTAGCCATCAACTACTAAGAGCAAAAGGAATGTGAACCAACTTATAGGGCTTGTGAATTCAGTTCAGGCTTTACTGCAGATTTGTGGCGCAGCCATGAAATAACCATGAACTTTTAGAAGGTAGAATCTTAAACCTGCAGATTCCCTCAACTTCTTCAGTTGTTTGAAGGATTTCAAAACCTGCTCTGTGTTGCAGTTTCCACACCATTTTGTGGGAGGGTCTGTTTCACTGTGCTGTTATCAGAGCTAAGACGTGTGAAACGTTATGTATTTATATGACTCAAGTAGCATCTTCAAAGAGTTGAGACTAGGACCCAGCTTGCTAATCCTTCTATGCTCCTTATGAAATAATGTCTGGCGATACCTTTATTGATAGCCACAATCAGGATGAATGCAGTAGTACTGCCTGCACCACTTTACCTACACACAGTGCTCTTACCAGAGTCTTGTCTTTCATCAGTGTTGCCGATTTAAAAGCAACTGTTGGAAACTCCTTCTTCAAATAATTCAACCATTTCTCTAAGTTCTCCTTTGGCACTAGATCTGGAAAAAAGAGCACAGTCCTTTCAGTCCTCTGAATCTTAAATGTCACTGTGTAGGGGAAATCTAATGTGAGCCAGAAACAAAGCTGTATCTTGCCCATTTAGTGCGTTCCTTTATGACAAATAATGTTTGGCTGAAAACTCTAGCAAAGTACTGGATATGTTGCCCAAAGACAACCAGTGTTGCAAAAAAATTGTATGTTCTGCCGGAAGTAGAATGTACCAGAGTTACATCTTAGGCCGCTGTATCAGGTTTTTAATGCCGGGATCTTGCTACAAAACTTTGTACAGTAGAATGTGATGTACTCTGAAGGATTATCCCCTCATCCCTGCAAAGGCTACTCTAATACAAAGTTCCCTTTGCTCTTTTTCACTGCTGGTAACTCCAGCAATATCCAGCCTTTTTAGCCAGTTTCACCTTTTCTGTGGACTCTTTCATACAGCAATGGAAGAGAGAAAATACTTCCCAAAGACAAATTTCAAATCCAACTATTGCACTCACTTACTGATCCTTAACTGCCACTGCCTCAGTGGGGACCAGCATGGTGACCTGCCTACTCACCTGTGCTCACAAAAATGTGAAATAGTAAGATCTTTAACTTCTCCCAAATTTGGCTGAACCTGGCCAATGCCTTCAGAAGTTACTGCAAAAGAAATGGGCTAATGTGCGTGCAACTGTCTGCTGTGTTTTCTTAGCAAACTAGACAAAAGGTGGAGGAATTGTGACCCATTCAGTAGGACAGTGAGCTCAGAGTTGGATCTTATGTCTTCAACTGAATCTCAGATTCCCTTAAAATCTTCTTCATAGCTCATGTGCCACAGGACCACAGCGACCAAGTAACAGTCTGAAAAAACCTGTGCCTCTTACCAGTTTTGTTCAGAACCAACACTAGCTTTTTGCCTCCTCCAGAGCAAGTTACAGCTTCCTCCAGTTGAGGACACCGGCAGCCCATTGGATCTCTTGCATCTAAAACCTCTAGAACCACATCTGAGGCCTCAATCACCTAGGTGAGAAAAGAGAAGACTTTCAAATAAGACATGACAGAGCATTTGACAGATGCCAACTCTGGAATAGCTGTGGCTTACAACGGTTACTGTTAAATTTCACAGAAAGGTTGGTGAGGTTCCCTATTAACTGTTCTTGTTGGAGCTCCTTTCCTGTGAACTACACAGCAGAAAAGCTGAAGCAATTGTCATCTTTTTTCCTCCAAAGGCAAGAAATCCTTAGTACCTCCTTTTACTACAAGGACTTTTGATTACTCAGTATGTACTGGCATTGGCCCAAGAAGTCTAATGCCTCAAAGTGCTGAATGTCTCAGTAGCTCACACCAGACAAGACTAAAACCCTCACAGTTACTGTTGTAAAATCCCTTACTTGGGTGTTAAATTTATCACAAGCAACCTTTATAGTCTCCAGCAGCTGAGCAGGAATGCAAAAAAGGAAACTAACAAGTGGTCTCACTGCTGACTCTCATCAAATTATATAAAAATAGCTGGTGTGTCTCACCTTCCTGAGCTCGCTGCAGAATGACTCCTTTGAATTTTTATCCAGCCATTTGTTAGCTTTTGCTTTAGATTTTCCAGAGGATTCCTGAATGCAAATAAAAATGAAGGGGAATCATTTGAGAATTAGTGCATTATACTTGCATGCTTATACAGCATAAATATGTAACACATAACAAACTGCTTAAGAAAATGTAGCTTCAGGATTACTTTTATCAATTCTATAAGCTTTAAAGAATCAAAATCATACCAGACACCTACCTTTCCCTCTGCTTTTTCCTTAATTTTGGCATTCTTTTTAGCTTCGAGCTTCCTCTTCTTTTCATGTTCTTTCTGTCTGTTGAGCTTCTGCTTTTGTTTTAGTTCTTCAAGCTGATTACAAACAAAACCCCAAGCCAGATAAAACGTAGTTGAAGGTGGGAAGGAAGACTGTTCTTTCTCCCTGTTTACTTATTTCTGACCAAAGCTCCTGAGGCAGCTCAGTCAGAAGTCATGGCTGCCCAATGTGACACTGAACTTTTCTTGCATCCTACCCTGAAAAGAATAGTTGCCTTCAATTGCCTCAAAACCAGAGGCCATACAGACCCCCAAAATAACAGCTGTGCAACAAACACATTGCAGCTGAAAAGGGTGGTGTTCTCACGTCACATTACACCATGCTGCAGATAGCAGATCCCTGTTTTCTGTATAATCGCATAATGCCAAGACTTAACATTCTGATGGGATATCTGTGTATCTCAGCCTCACAGGCAACTTGGATCGCCTCAGAAATGACGTTTCCAGCGTGTTTATACACACGGTGATAAAATGGAGGTTAAAAATAAAAGAGCAAATTGTTACACACTCTATAATGCTGGAAGTAAATACAGGATCATCTGCAGTCAACCACGAGTGCACCTCTGGGTGCGCACATGCGCATACAGAGGCACACAGAGCTCTCTGGAAGACAGGAATGGTCTCGGTTCTTGAACTCTTTACCACAAACTATATTTTACCCTCTGCTTTCTTTGCTCTGCTTCCCGTAGAAGCTGTTCCTTAAACGGTGCAGCACTAGGAACACCAGGATCTTTCTTAGGCTTTTTGCGTCCACGTTTCTTGGCCTCCTTCCTGACTTTTCGGTGGTGTTCTCTGATCTGAGGACAGGAACAAGAATATTTTCTCAGTCTAAGGAAAAAAGAAAGGGGGATGTATCCCTCCTATTTACAGATAGTAAGAACCGGTACGTTTCTGATTTAGACTGAAGTGTTTATAATGCCTCATCACAAAGCTACACTTGAACGTACCAGCCCAAAATAATGCAAAACGCAAAAAATGGACGCTCTTTCCTACATCATCCCCGGGCCAATGGTAACCGGAAAGGTAACTCTCCGCTACAGCCCAGGCTCCGTGGACATGCAATGTAACATCCTTATTGCGTACACGTTTCTGTAGTAGCTATATAATAGTTTTATATATATATATATATATATACACACATAGCTATACATAGTTTTAGAACTTAAATCCCCCCTTTTGCCGCTGAAGTAGTCAGCGGGGAGCCCCCCCAGCCACAGCCTCCTCCCGCTCCGAGGGCTCCGCACGGCCCGGGGCCGCCGGTTCTCACCTTCTTCTGGATCTTGTAGCGCTTGTGGCATGTCAGCCTCTTGCTCGCCTTCCTCAGCTCTGCAACGCACCGCGCCCGTCAGCGCCGGCTCCCCGCGGCCCACCCGCCACCACCGCCTCCTCCAGCCCCGGTGTCCGATGCCGCCGCCATTCGCTCGGCCACGTGCAGCCGGTACCGTCCCCCCGCTCTCCACTCCCCCCCCCATTCCCGGTGTCCCGGGCCGCCGCCCGCCCCCGCTCCCGCCGCTCACTGGGCCGCTTCATGACGCCGCCGGGCCGCGCTCAACCGCTGCCGCACGTGGACGGCCCCGCTCCCTCCTCCGCCCGCCTCCCGCCGGCGGGCGCTGCCGTAAAGCGAAGCGGCCCTTCCTCGCCGGAGGTGTCGCGCGAGCTCGGAGCGTTTGGCGACCGGGAGGGCTTTGCGGCAGCGGAGGGCTCGGCGCTACGGAGCGGCGGCGGCGGCGGCGGCGGCGGCACCGGTCGTACCGGTGGCAGCGGTGGCGGGGCGGGCGGCGGAGGGCGAGTACGGCCGCGGCTGTCGGAGGCGGAGCGGAGCCGGCTGGGTGAGCGGGGCGGCGCCGGGGTCGCGCAGTCGGGGCGGCAGGGCCGAAGCCAGGAGGCCGCTGCCTCCCTTTGTGTGGCCGCCGCGGGGCGCGCAGCAGCTCCGCCGCAGCGGGCCCCGGCCGGGCCCGGGAGCTCCCAGCCCCTCCGCCTTGTCCTGTCACCTCCCTGTTCCCCGCATCCCGCCGCGACCCCGGCCCTACCACGGCCCCCGCGTTGTCTCTGTTCCTCTCCGCTGTGGGGACCGTGCTGGCCCCGGTGTCTCCCTCCGCCGTCTCCTCGGTGCCCCCGCACCCGTCGCTCCGTCCCGCCAGCGGCCGAGCTCGCAGCGGTGACAGCGGGCAACGGGTCGCTGCGGGCTGGCGGCCGCTACCGGGGCCTCGAGAGCGAGGCCCGTGGCGCGGGAGCGGGTCCGTGCCGGTGTGGGGGGCAGCGCCCTGTCAGGCCGTGGGGCACAGGCGCGCCCGGTGCCCCAAGAGAGGTTTTCATTCGTCTCTTGCTACTCCTGCCGACAGTGACACCTCACGAGCAGGGAAGGGTGCGGGCAAGGGCCCGCTGCGGGCGGCATGGGGAAACGGTGTTTTGCTCTTTTGTTTCTTGTGGCGGTGTTGGTGAAAGGATCGATGTTCTGTGCCGCTCGCTTCTTCATCAGCTTTGTCCTTTTAGAGCGTCCGGTTGCCGCTGTCCCACTCTCACGTTGTAGCCAGGTTCATTCGGTGTCATCCGTAGGCGGGGGAAATGCTGGCTGTGTTTCCCTGCCTTGTTCCGTTTGCTAAATTTACCGTGTTTTAGCGAGTGTTTCTGTGGAAGCGTGGGAGATCCCAATACCGATCAAATACTTTCTGTGGTATCTATCGGCTTTTAGATTTTTTTTCTACTTGGAAGCAGAAAATTCAATGTGTGCTAGAATCGCATTGGCTTGTTTGAAGCGTGTTATCTCAAACGAGGTGAGGCTGGGTCATTCTTGTGGTGATCAGTCTAGCGGGGCTCTCGGGGGAGGCAGCCTTCCACCCCTTGCGTACGTATTAGTATCCGTGTATATTAGCAATGGCCAAAGCGTTTCTTACAGGCATGTCCATGGTTGTGTGACTTTTATTATGGGTGATGTGAGCAGTTATGCTCCCTCCGTTGTGGTGGAGATTCTTGGTGGGACTGTTGAAATACTCGTGAGCCAGCAGTTATGTTGCAGAAGAAAGTATAGGAGACCTCGAGGTCCCTTCCAACGTGGTGTTCTATGACATGTTCTTAAGTAAAACGTGATGCACTTCTGTGCACAGTGGGATTGGATGGTCTGTGGTTTTGAGCTGGGAGATCTAGAGAGAGGAGCCTGACATTTCAGTTCTTTCACTGCGTATTCATGATGTTGTTTAGACCAGTATGTGTTTTGCACCTTCCTTGGTTATTAGAGGAGGAAAACGGTCTTGGCTGCGCACAGAATGGCCAGGTGTCTGGATAGTACAGGTGTGCACCAGTGTCTGCGTATGGTTGAGAGCTGCAGCTTGCTGTGTGCCCCAGGTAACTGAGATGGAGAAGCGGCTGTGCAGTTTGCAGGTGCTGGTTGAGGAGGGTCCCTACATCTTTATTTCAGAGTGGGATTGGACCGAGTGTACCTTTGGGTTTCTGGGTGAGCCAGAATGATCGGTCCCATGAGTCCCTCCTGCCTTTTAAAGCCATGAACTTACGTTTTCTGACAGCCTCCACATGAGCACGTGCCTGCTGTTAGCTCTTTGATACTGTAGCTCTCAGATAAAAGTTGGAGGCAGCGCCAAAAGAGACAGGCTGCATGTCCATTCCTGAGGTGAACTGCTGCTAATATAGCACAGGGTTCTTCTGTATGTGTGTGTTATGAAAGTGCCCAGGATACCAAAGAGGAGAGCAGTCTCCGGGCTTTGACTGAAGACGGTAGTTGTGTGAACTACACAGAAGCAATCATTTTGCCATATGATGGTTCTGCATGTTTCGCATGAAATTTTGCAGGGGGAAAAATCAGAGACAGCTTAGAAATTGAAACAGGTAGATCTGTAGTGAACCTGTATGGCTGGGTATTTAATGTTGTTTACTTATGAGGATAAAAATCCATTCTGAAGACTGGTGGAGGTGCACCATCACTGAGAGAGCCTATTAGATGCTTGACCTTAAAATATATTTCCTTACGGTTAGCACCGTACTGCTTTGCATTCTGTAAGTGTTACTGCTTTATGGTTTTCACTCTCGGGTCAGATATTGCTTATGTTTACTCCCTGTTCTGCTTGATGAATCATTCTTTAGCAAGTGGCTTTGAAATCTGTAATGTGTATTCAGGAACATTAGAGAAATGTGTTTTTACTGTAAAAATTACAGAGCTGTCTAGCATTCTGTGTACGAAATTGCTCTGTAGGGTTTCTGCTAGGCTAAAATAAGCTACCTTCTGTTTCTTGGTTTTTTTCTGTCACTGTAATTATTCAGTTTATTCTCTGATTTTATTCTTTAATTATCTATTTACTCTCAATTTTCTTCTATCTCTCCTTCCTTTTTCTTGTCTTCCAGTTTTGACTGTACTAACACCATTGCTACTCTTAGAGCGTTACCTTCTCCCAGTACCTGTGCTTGGCCATCAGACACTATGAGGAGACTGGCTTTTCGAGGTGCTGGTTGTACTCTGGTAAATCTGGCAAATTATTGATTGTATGTGCACCATTCTCTCCATTCCTCTGCCTTAGGATTTTGCTTTTCTTCATCCTGACTGTTAATTACTCCTACCTTACTCTTGTTCATCTCATTTGTGTGCTTCAGATTAATTCTGTTTCTATTGTAAACGCTCTAATGTGGTTGTATTGTGCTGCCATACCTTGTAAATCAACTTGGTGCTTCCTAGAAGAAATCCCTTGATTTGGTTGGAAGATGGGTATAAGTTGGGATAGATGCATCTGTTCTGTCTTCAGCCTTTGAGACAGCTACAAGTATATTTTTCTGATGCTATCACTTTAAGCTGGGAAAGAGCCAACAACTTGTTCTGGAATTTACTATTGTTGTTGGATGGTGGTTATTTTTTGGGTTGGTAAATGGAAAAGTATGGCCAAAAAAGGAGGTGGCTTTTTCTGCTTCTTGCCGATTGAGCCATTCATCCTACACTTAACGTGGGAGTGGTGGGTCACACAATGGTCCAGACCTTTCTTTGGCTTCAATCTAAGACAAGGTATTCAGCAGCCATCCGAATGTTTGTTTGTGATTTGTTTACTTCCTGGTTTGGGTTTGTTGGTTGTGGGTTTGGTTTGGTTCTGTTGTTGGGTTGGTTTATGCTGGTTTGCTGGTTGCTGGGTTTTTTTTTGATAGGGATTGACGTGCTTTTACACCAGACCTGAGCACATGTCTCTACAGCTTTTTCATCTGAACAGCGGTTCTTGCTTAGTTATCATGCGTGAAATGGGGTATCAAAATGTAGATAGTTTAAGAACGTATACTAGTAAGAGCTGCTGAATTCATCTGCATTACTGTGAGCCTTAGGTTTTCTGATGTTGCTGTCATAAGTGACTAAAACTGTAGGACTGTTTTGATTTCCCTTTACTCTTGCCAATTCACAAAAAGCTAGTGTTTAGATATATGGATTAAGTGAACTGTAGTATATAACAAATACATGTGGCTCATCCTGAGCATTGCTAGCTTTATAGTTAGCTCTCACCAGAGAGTTTGGATGCAATTCCATGAGTTTAAGAACATTTGTCTTCATTATAGAAGAAGTTGGATTCCATGGGTTCCAAGAGGCGAAGAGCTACCTCTCCTTCCAGCAGCGTCAGCGGAGGAGACTTTGATGATGCCCACCACTCCACAAACATACCAGGCCCGAGCAGAAAGAGGAGGAGACTTTCCAATCTCCCAACAGTAGATCCTGTTAGTATCTTCTTATTATGGACAGTGTTTTTTCTTAGTGATACTGTATCCCCACCCTGGGAAATGCAGCCTAATAAAATAGGTGATCATGTGTAGCACGTATGTACTGGCCCTGGATCTGTTGCTGCCTTGGCTAACTTTGTTTAGGATCTCATTTGGTTTTGGCTTGTTCTTGTCTTCCCAGTTTCATGTTTGTTTTTTTTCCCATTTTCCTTTTGCTGCGTTTCCCCCTGCCTCCTACCCTCCCCCTGCATGATTTTAGCAGATGCAGGGATATTGGAGGAGGAGCTGAAATCATAACACTCACAAGTTGAGAGCTGTGTCTGAATAGCAAATACGGAGACAGATAAGTGGGGAATGGCGCAGGCAATGATTGCTCAAGTGCACAGTGTCTCTGCTATGCCTTTGAGATAGCAGTCTAATTTTGATTAATTGCAGGGCAGAACCACCCCTGTTTTTGTTTTAGATGTCTGTAACTCAAGAGAGAATTGTACTGAATTAATTTACATTCTGGGTGTTTTATTTAGAATTAGCATTGAAAGAAAGCTCCCTGTGTTCAAAAAAATGAATTAGAATTCTGCAGTACTTGTCAGGTGTTGTACTAATGTGTGAGATGCAGCAGTTTCTTCACGCTTCTCCTTTAGAGCACACTGTGGATTGGCAGCTTGTCTTCCCATTCTTAGTAGGCTTTGATTTGTTACCTTCTTAAAATTTTCTCTTTTTTCATTACTTTATTGTTTTTGCATTTTAGATTGCTGTATGCCACGAACTTTACAACACCATCAGAGATTACAAAGATGAACAGGGCAGGCTCCTTTGTGAGCTTTTCATTAGGGCACCGAAGCGAAGGTAAGACCGTGGTTCTGGCTAAGCCTTGAATCTGAGGCTTAGTCAGGGAATAAGTGGATATTGAGGACTACTTCAGTATTAATAGCTGTGAAAAATTGAATCTAAATGTGTCATAGTTTCACACCAATGTTTGATCCGAGTATTTGAGGTAATTATTCAATGGTCATGATAACATTAGTGCCCTTTTTCAGTCAAAAAAGGGTATGCTGAATTAATTTAAAACATTTCTTGTGACATCTGCATAAAACATCTATGCCTTCGACTATGAAATGTTCCACATTAGTGGTGCAATGTAATAAAGGCATGTCTTCGGGAAGATTAATGGAAGTGACCCTTGAAAATGCAGTAGATAAAGTAAAAGACTGAATTTTATCTTAAACTCAGAAAACTGAGGATGATAACAGAGCATGTAATACTGTAAGCTCACTAATAGACCACTGGCCAGCTGTTTTAGCTGTAACAAAAATGCATTGGAACTTTATTTGTTTTATTTAGTCATTGACACGTCCAGGCTTTAGTGCTGTGGGTTTGGTTTTACTGCTTGGAATATAACGCCTGGTTTTGCCATTGCAACAGAAATCAGCCAGATTATTATGAAGTGGTTTCTCAGCCAATTGATTTAATGAAAATCCAACAAAAGCTAAAGATGGAGGAATATGATGACGTGAATGTGCTGACTGCAGATTTTCAACTTCTCTTCAACAACGCAAAGGCTTACTATAAGGTGAGGAGAATACATGTAAAGGCTCAAATTCATTGTAAAAAAATCACCAAGTTGTGTTTAATTTCTTCCTTGGTTTGGCCAAAAAGCTTTTCTGTTTAGCCTTTGGTAAGAGAACAGCACATGTTGCAGTTACTTGCATGTATTTCCCTAAGGTTGACTATACCTTTGTAAGATGTCCAACCATAGTTTTTTTTTCTGTGGAAAACTATAAAATAGTGTGGGGAGGATCTTCATATCGTTTTCCAAAAGAGATAGAAAGCAACAATGGAGATACAAACTGAGAAAAATACTTGTCTATCAAAGCCTTCCCATTGTACAACACACTCTGTGTGACGTTTTGAAATCTAAAAAGATCATTTTCCTTCAAAAAGGAAGAGTTTATAAATAACCAGAAGTGTACAGTAGCTGTGCTGAATCTTTCTCTTCCATTGACCACTTAATAAGATGAAAAAAAGGCATGTTGATTATCATGGTCAGTAATGATAGATTTTGAGTGTTAGATGATGATGTATTTCATCAAGGGTGCAACCCTGACGTCTATTCCCCCATGTGTCTTATTTTAGATGTTAATGGTTTTTATTGTAGTTGCCATAAGGAAGTGGGGAAAAAAAATGGATGAATCTGGTTTAATGGAAGGCTGTGTTAAATACATAAAACAGTGAAATTGTATGCAGTGACTGAGATGATGCAGCAAATCTAAAACTGCTAAAGTTACCTTTACTTTATCTTTGACTTTGGAGATGATCCAGATGACAGCTTTCTGAATAACCCAACCAGCATAGCCAGGTGACATTCAGAAAAGCAGTTTGTTTTGCTTATGTTTGTATATGTCTGTGTGTAGCTTGTTGAAAAACAGTCAGATTTATGAAATAAAACATTTGCACCTTCTGGTTCCAGTAGAAAAAGTACAAGGATTTCCAAATTGGTTGTGTGCTCCTGAAGCTTTGAAAGGCGTTTGCCCATTAGTGTTGGCATTTTCATGGTTTCTTTTGCCTACAGAATGGTGGACTCAGAATTATGGCTGTAATGTAAAAATTGTGCATGTAAAATAGAAATAGGTAGCCATCATTCTAGGGTGAAGAAATGTTGACATTTCCAGAGAAATACGGAGTTGTGAGCTGGACGTACGGCACACAAACACAGCCTCTTCTCCTTTCATCTTTTACCTTACCCACGCAGCTCCAATGACGCATATAAAACAGGGAGATTGATTCATTGTCAAGGTCTTTATTGCAGCAGGAGTTTTATTGGCAGTGCTGGATTAGAATGGAAACCTTTGGATTTGTTAGTATTTTGGCTCAAGTCTTAGACTTCTGAGTGTCTTGCATTAGTACAGAGGGAAGCAGATGAGTGGAGCAGAGTGTTCTTTATAACTGTTCTTCATGATTAACACCTGGTCCCATGTCTTGAGAATATTTAAGCCTAGTGAGGTGGGCTTAGGGATAGTTGTCATGTTCGTTTCTCATTTGTGGTGCAAGCTGTCAGAGGTTGAGACAGGGAAGTAAGATGAGCGGAATCCGCAATAAAAAGGTGAGATACCTGCAGGAATACCTGAAATAGAGGTGAAATGACAGCAGAAAGGGAAAGAAAAATACGCAAGAGTGGAAAAGCTGTTTTTTTCTGGGTAACATTCTTAAGTAGCAATGTTATAAGCACATGCTTGTCTGCCACTACCACCTCTGTATTTACAAAACTTAATTGCTGACGAACACACCTAGCTCTTCAGAAAAATATACCCAGATGTACACCCAGGTGGTAGCATGTTATCAAGTTCTTTGGAATTTCAGTTAATGCTGCATCTAAATCATTGAAGTCTTTTCAGAGATATTGACACGCTTATTAGCATTCTTCTGTAGAAATCAGTTTTCAAGTGCCACACAATGGCAGCAGTATTTACTTAAATTACATTTCTGGCATACTGATATTTAGTCTATTTTAAATATCAGTAGTGTTATGCATCAGCAAAACTTGATGATTTTTCCAGATTCATGCAATAGGCTTGTCCAAGCCTCAACCCAAGTAATTTTATTGCTAAGTTTTCTGAAAGATTTAAATGCTTTGGTGCGATAGAAGTTGTGTTTTCTAGTGCTTATTGTGATTCTTAATATCTCTGTTGAAGAACGACTGAAGCAGGAATTTCCCAGGTTTTCTATTATGTGTTTATTTAATGCATTTAATACCATTCAACCAATAATTTAAACATTTCCTTCAGACAAGAATGATCTGAATTTTGAGTACAATGTTTGATTTGTTTCTGCAGCCTGATTCTCCTGAATATAAAGCTGCCTGCAAATTATGGGAGTTGTACTTGCGCACAAAAAATGAATTTGTTCAGAAAGGTGATGCTGAGGAGGATGATGATGATGAAGAAGGACATGACAGTCAAGAATTAGTAAGTGTGGGCATGACATCTGCAGTTGTAGGAGGCAGTGGCCGTGTATGTCAGCTGACTCTGAGAGGGAGGTTGGCTCCATGTGTGAATAAGCATTAAGATTTTTCATAGTTAAATTATGCCCTATAGCGCATTTCTGATACTAATTTATTAGTTAAGAATTTCACTGTATTGTATTGATGTTTCACTTTTGCCTAACAAAAAAAAAAGTTACGATCTTTTCTGATACAGATGAAATGTGGTTGTGGTTTAGTTGAGACAAATATGCCATCTGCTTGGTATCATGCCAGCTTCGAGGTTTGATGCAAGCAAGCTTCATGTCCAGTTACATCATTTTTCAGCATGTCTCATTCAGTTAATGCAGCTGTTCCTGGAGTGTTTCATAAGCTGGATATGACTGTGGCTTGTCTGGTGTTTGTGATGTTGGGATGCATGTTTTTGTTAATATTGACAACCCAGTTGTAACACATGTTGGACAACCTGCAGTGTAAATATGAAATTGAAGTTTTTCTCATGTGCTTTGGTTATGCATTTAGGTAATGTTGTTTTCAAAAGTTGCATCTGTGTTTTATAGCTGATTTTTTTCTGTGTTTGAAAAGTCAATTCCTGTATTTTAGTGCAACTTAAAGCACTCCACTGTGGCTGCTCTTAAAACTTTTTGTGATTTTATTTCTTATTAGTCATCTCCAGGTTACCTGAAGGAAATTCTTGAACAGCTTCTTGAAGCTATAGCTGTTGCCACAAACCCATCAGGGCGCCTCATCAGTGAACTGTTTCAGAAACTTCCCTCTAAAGTGGTGGGTATTTTAGTAATACTGGTTGTGTTTTAAGATGGAAAGCGGGACGTTTATATAACTGATGTTACACACTGTGATGGGCACACTCAGAATGCTTATTATTTCATCAGTGACAAACTGCAGCTGGTTTTAGAGCTTCCCTCCCTTCTTTGCTCCTACCCATTCGTTCTCAGCCCTTTGTTGGAGTCTGGGGTTTGCCCTGTTTTGCCAGTTTAGCTAATTATGGGTGGTTTTTTTGGTGCACAGATTTTAATCTTTTTAAATATGTCTGATTTCACTGTTCTGTTTCAGGATGTGACATAAGTTTAACCAGCAAAATAAATACTGTGAAGACCTGTATTTTGGCTTTCAGACAGAACTGTTCCTTTATATCACTTTATTGATAAGTTATAATTCCTTGTATCAGCGTTGCGAGCTGGCTCACCGAAATTGAAGCCTATTGCTATACTGATGGAGCTTCCACTGTTCTTATCTGCAGTTCAGCTCATAGGTCATTCTGTGAGCCTCTAGAACAATAGCTTTGTGACTGTTTATAGTAATATATAAATTATTTTTCTTTTCCAGCAATATCCAGATTATTATGCAATAATAAAGGAGCCCATAGATCTTAAAACCATTGCCCAAAGGATACAGGTACAGTATGAGCATGTTAATATGTCAAAGTATATACTTATTTAACAGTGAGCACTCTTAAAATTGTAAGAAGCCCAAGTCTGTGGCAGTAGGAAAGACAATGTTTTTCCCCTGCTGTTTAGAAATCTGAACACTGTCAGTGCTGCAGAAATAGCTGTGTTGAAGATCAGGCATTGTAAACTGTAGAGTACTGGCATTAAGCCTGAATATCTTGGGTTCCTTGGTGTTTAATGGTTTAAAGTAGTTTCTTGGCAAGTATTGCTAATGTAAGACATTGAAGTATTGAAGCTTGGTCGTGCGTTAACATCACCTACTTTTGTTCTCTTGCTATAAATAGCTGATTTGTACTGATGGATTTTTCATCTTACTTGACCAGTAATATGAAATATTGTTCTGTAATTCTAGCATATTTTTATACTAGTTTTGTATAGCACATGGACTAATTGTACTAGAGAATAGAGAAAATAACGTTTTGTTAAAACCTTCAAAATTAAGGCAATTGAATGCATTATTTTTTTCAATCTTTTCTTTAGCATTTGTAAAGTCTGTAAAGATTTAGGACTTACATTTTAACTTTCTTTTTTTCTTGACTTTTTCAGATACTTATCTGTCCTCTTTAGAAATGTTCTTGTTTTTCTGTAAATGTTCCCTTTATTCTATATGAATTCCCTTTGCTTTTTGCTACTGACTCAGTTCTCGTGCTGTTCTCTGAATGTTGCCACTTTAACCAGTTCTGGTTTTTGTTGTACAGAATGGAACTTACAAAAGCATTCATGCAATGGCCAAGGATATAGATCTTCTGGCAAAGAATGCCAAAACCTACAATGAGCCCGGATCACAAGTATTCAAGGTTAGATTCACTTATTCATAGTTTGAGTTTGATTTTCTGTATGACTTTCTGTGCTTATTGATCATTAAAGTAATCTTTAGCATACAGCCCTGAAGATTGTTTTCAGTTAAAAAAGGAAAAGCTAATAGTGGCTTTTCTTTTTACTTCTTTTCTGTTATATATTGCTTTTAGTATAATTGGAATGCATGTTACTTGCTGAGGTATAAGATTTTTTTCAGATTAGATTTTATCTTGGGATATGAGTTACATGAGTTCTTTGGAGGAATGGAGGATCCTTGTACTTGTGATTGAAGTTGAAATGCCTGAAACTACAGGTTCAAGTGATAGCGGTTGTACTCGGCTGCTGTCTCTTTCCGGATTGCAGGAACTATTTGTGGTGTTCGTCGTAAGCTTCAAAACTGGAGTCATGCCTTCCCTGCATGGTTTTTGAAGATCCTTTTCCTTTTAGCTGTGTTTTTGTGATAAATTTCACCTCCTGTCTTTTTAAGCTGAGTTCACCCGCTTTTTGTGTGTATTATTTTGTGATTATCACATTGCTGTTTCCAGGTACTCTAGAAGTAAGAGAATTTTGGTGGTCAATTATTCCTTTGTGTGCTCAATTTTTAAGGGCTTTGTAGGGAGAGATCTTGTGTATATATATATATAACACTGTTATGTAAGTGATTCTTGGACTTTTCCAGGTACACTTTTGTTGGGATTGTAGTTTCAGTTCCTGGTGACGTAGCTCACATTTGTAACCTCACTCAAAACGTGTAATCTCTATCTTGTCAGCTGTTACTTCAAGTATTGAGTCCATGGGTGTAGAAAGGGAGGGAGCAAGTGGTATAAATCTCAGTAATGGTGGTAACTTTTTGATTGTAAAGGCACAGAAAGTAATTTCCATGTTTAATTTTAGGTGGCATTTGTGCATATTTGCAAATTGTAGGTTTTTTTTGTGTGTTTGTTTTTTTTTTATGGTTATGATGAAAAATTACCTCAAAGCTATTCAGCTATTTATTCTGTTCAGTTTTTGCAGGCCTCTGTGGGTGTATTTCAGGCAGACTTTGTTCTGTGCTTCATTTCTCATACAAGGTTGTTTTATATCTAAATGTAAAAAGTCCTTAATTTTTGTTTTAGATTTTTGGGTAGATGGATACGCCTGAGTATAACATTCTGCACTTTCAACACTAAACAAATTCTTTTAATTGACAGGATGCAAATGCAATTAAAAAAATATTTAATATGAAAAAGGCTGAAATTGAACACAGTGAGTTGGCCAAGTCAAGTCTCCGAATCAGGTACTGCAAATAAGAGTTCTTTTTGTAATCTCATATAAAAATCTCTATAGACATTCCCTTAATTTTGCTGTGGACAATACAGTGGGAAATAATTGCTTGAAAACTTAATTTATTGTTGTTTTAAAGGTTAAAAAATGTAAAACAGTTTCTGGAAGGGAACTTTTTGTTGAAATACTTCTGTGGTGAAAGATTTCTGTGATGTTCACATTAAAAGGTGTCAGTAGATCATTTATAACTCCGAGTTAATAACAGAAAGGTAATGGTAGGAAACATGGTGCTTTGTTGTGCTTTGCTTTATGAAACATGCTGGAGAATCGTGAACCTTATTAGGAGCTGAAGCATAAGAGCTTGCTGTTAATTAGGTAGGGGCAGAAACATAGGAACAAGGCCTCAGGCAACATATATTTAGAAGGAAGTCCACATTTTTAGCTGTGGAAAGAGGCACAGGGCACGGAAGATCTGGACTTGGTGAAGCATAGGTTTGGTCTTGAACAGGCAGGTATAAAATACAGTCCATAGCTGTGTTTGTTTCATGGGATGATTTTATGTAGGAAATAGCATTTTCTTCCTGTGAAAATCATAATAGACAGAGAAGCGATGCAGTTATTTTAGATGTTTTTTACCTGAAATGCAATTAGATTTCTTCTCATACAAACTTTTTTCTTATGAGTAGCTCTTAGAAGTAGGTTTAGAGGTTATTTGCCAGTATGGGCCATGTCATTTATCTAAAAAATAAAGTGATGTCTTGCAAGTCATCCCATAGCGAACTCTTTACAAGGGGGGTTGTCTTGATGGATTTGAGCTGTTTACTGATATTTGATGCTGGAAAATAGCTGCTGTCATTTCTTGTGAAGGTTTGTGTGGTTCAACTGTAAACACCAGGGCTCCCTTTACCTTACTGAAAGGCAGTTTACATTTTCTTGTTGTCTGAAAAATGTGTAGATGGTGCCATTATTGAAAGTGTTGCCTGGAATTGTGATGTGTGAAAGAAGTGAAAATTACCTGGTCGATTTCTACTGTTTGGTCCTTTGAGACATTCAACCTCTGTAGTGTTTTTTGTGGTTCCTTTGTTGAGCGTTTGTATGCTTCCTGTGAGCATATAAAAATATAAAAGCATAAATACTGTTAGGGAGTAATTCCTGACATATGTTTAAATTTTTCCTTCTGAAAAGTATGTGTAGTGCCAGAAGACCTTGATTCTACAGACGCTGAACATACATAGAATAGTTAGGGCTGGAAAGGACCTTAAAATATCCAGTTCCAACCCCCTGCCATGGGCAGGGACACCTCACACTAAACCATCTCACCCAAGGCTCTGTCCAGCCTGGCCTTGAGCACTGAAGCCGGCTCATGTTCATTTTCTCATCAGCCAACACCCCCAAGTCCTTCTCCTTGGGCTGCTCTGAATCTCTTCTCTGCCCAACCTGTAGCTGTGCCTGGGATTGCTCCCACCCAGGTGCAGGACCTTGCACTTGGCATGGTTAAACCTCATGAGGTTGGCATCAGCCCACCTCACAAGCGTGTTGAGGTCCCTCTGGATGGCATTCCTTCCCTCCAGGGTATCAACCGAACCACACAGCTCGGTGTCATCGGCAAACTTGCTGAGGGCACGCTCAACCCCGCTGTCCATGGCAGCGACAAAGATGTTGAACAAAGCGCACGTGTTTGTTTTGCAGTAACTAAAATTACATACAGGCATGGAGGTTTGCTATTTAAATTGTAATTTTATTTTTATCACTGTTGTTTTCCTTCAAAATGAAGCTGTTTGCTAAGAAGGGATGACAGATAAATCACACTGATATTTGTTAGTTGAATTCCTCTCTTACACTGCCAACCCATTTCCATTTCTCCATTTCTTAGCTACCTTATTCTAGGTATTCTCTTATGTATTGTGTTCTCAATAGACCTGCAAGTCCCAAAGTAATCTGAATGTCAGAATAATTGAGAGCTCCCTTCTTTGTTTCTCTAACTTGGAAAAAGAAAAATAAAGCCTGAAGCAGGCTACAGTAATACTGGGGTGAATGCAAAAAAGTAAAATCAGGGTGAAAGCAAAGTATCATGAAAACCAAACCTTTCACCTGCTGCTCTGCACCTCACTGGTTGTTCTTTTATTGAGCCATTAGTCTTTTTTTGTTCCTTTCTAGTGAAGGAAACAAAATTGTTTTTTAACTGCTTAATTGTCTCAAAGGGGAGTCTCCTTTACCTGTTGCTGGTTTTAATAAAATACCCCCATGAGTTCATTGAAAGCCAGTTTACTCTATTGTTCTTCTCAATTTACATCTGTTTTTCTTTGTTGTTAATGGATCGGATCAAATTCATCATTGCTACTAACCTGTTCTATGGACATGTTGCCTCTGTGTTTAAAATCATGCTTTCCTGCTGCAGTTCATTGTATTCTTTGTCATACTAAGTTGCTCTTTGTCGGTGCATTTACCTGTTGTCCCTTAAATAAAATGGCAAAATAAAGTGGCTTGACAATATGCACTGTCAAGCAACTTGACAATGATTTTGTTAAGTATTGATAAAAGGTGATTGGATCTGTATGATGAGCTTTATCTGGATACTAAGGAACATTTCGTTGGCTGCTTTCACTGCTGCTGTAGGCTGAGCTGTGTGTATAGCTGTTAATCCTCAATCTAAATGTTACACCTTCCTCTGGCTTTGTAAACAAAATCGTTGTTAATGCTGGGCCATTATATCTTAATGTTACTTTGCTGTTAGCTTTAAAACATTTTATATCTGTCTCCAAACCTTTTGGCTGATCTGTCAAAGTGATTCTGTAAAAAGCTTTATCCTTGCTGCGCCTTTTCTTGGGTCTAAGGTGGGCCTCTTTTTTTTTCCCCTTTCCTTGGCTTATCTCTTCTACCTTAAGGACTTCATCAAATTTGACTGCTTCCAAGCTGACAGGTCCTTCCTCACAGGGTAAAGGCAGTGTTGGTGATGAGAGAAATTCTTCTAACAAATATTATCGGTAAGTAAATGGTGGACTTGGAGGGAAAGGTGGGTTGTCATCATACGGAAATACTAAAACTTTGTTGGTTTGGTTTTGGGTGTGTCTTTGGTTGCGAGTGCTCTTCAATATTGATGCAAATACTTTTGAGATTTAGATACGTTTCAGTCAAATATCTATTTAGTATGATTTAATAACTTACTTTCCTGTAATTACTCTTCCATGTTTGATTTTATATTTAACATTTCAAAACACCTGTCATGAAATACTCCATATGTAATTATTTCCTTAGAAATGTTCTGAAGAACAATATGTTAAGCTTCACTGCAAAATAAAGCAGGTGAAAAACCCCATGGAAATGTGTTGTAAACTAAATTTGGAGACTAAAAAGAAGTAATTGGTAGGAGTGAATAATGAAGAGATAGCCAATGGACACTGATGAAGCTTGTAAAAAGAAGGCATTGCTTTTGGGATGCATTTATGGCAAACTTCCTGAGTAGGCTGGATTACTGGATCTGTGCAGAGACTTCAACCATCATCCAGAACAGCACATTGACCCTGATGTTGGGATAACAGAACCAATAGCCTGGAGTTAGAGTAAGGAAGCCAGACAGCTGGAATCCCTTTCTAGGGAAGGGAGCATTGACAATGCTGTTGGAAAAGTCCTCAGCCTCTGGAGATGACTCCTGTCAGGCATGAAGGAAAGGGGCCCCTTCCCATCAAGGAAGATGTCCTATGTTACCCGAGCAAGTGGGCCACCATGGAGAAAGGTATCCATTACCTGAGGGGATTTACAACGACCTGGACAAGAAGCAGTTAGCCAAAGATCCAGATAAAGTGGGCACAACCCATGTGGTGAAGTTTGTATGAAGTACCCCATTGTATGCTAATGCATTGGCAGTAAGGACCTCTCTGTCAAGTGACCCAGAAGAGCAAATTCAGATGGGGCCCTGAGGGACAACAAGCCTCTGAATAAATTCAACAGGAGATAACTGATTCAGTAGCCCTTTGGCCAGTTCATACAGAGCAAGATGTAAAAAGTATGCTTAACACCTCAGCTGGGGAGAATGGTTCTACCAGGAGCCTCTGGCAGGAAGCATCAGTGGACACTCAAGGTCAGACCTTATGATTTTGGAGTTGCAAATACAGAGGATCTGAGGGCTGCTGTACTCCTGCTGAAAAAGTGATACTGGCAGCATATGAAGGGGTTCAAGCTGCTTTGGAAATTGTTGGTACTGAAGCACAGCTCCTCCTGGCACCCAACTGCTGGTGCTGAACTGGAAGTTCAAAGGGAGGGTCTCCTCTACACCTCATGCAGTTGAAGCTATGTGGAGTAAGTGGGTCGCTCTGATCCCACAGCAGGCTTGACTAGGAAAGTTTACCAGCCTCGCTCATCAGCGATCACTTTCTTTGACCTTTGTTTTCTGCTTGACGTAACTGAGAAGCCTGGACAAGTGTGATGCTTCCTGTTGCTGGAGTAAGAAGGCTCCATCAATAGTCTTGCCCTGATTGGGCCACTCACAAGGTTTCCTTTGTTGCCTTGGTCCCTGATCCTTACCCACAAGCTTTCAACCTGCTCATAGCAGAGTACAGAGAGGCCTGGCTGATTATGCACCTCCCGCAAACCTGCCAAGGCACCCTGCCTGGGTGCACTTGATGAGTAATGCGAGAGGATGGGGAAGTCCAATGTGTACCTCAAGGGGCTTTGATTCTGGCTGAGAAGAGCCTGTGATTTGAATTCCATGATGTTACTTGCTATGTAATACTGCATGTCATTACTACTGTGGTTGCTATATGCCATATCAACTGCATTGCAATAAAATTTACACAGATTAATGAAAACATCGTTCTGAATTTTGATGAAACTGGGCAAAGTGCAGTCATGGTAGAGCCAGAATTGGCTTCAGCATGCATCAGCGTGACAGCACACACCTCCTCTCCTGCCCTGAAGGACTGTTATGACAGATGGAGCCCAAGGTCACGGACTGAATGAACTCAATGGACGTTTCAGAGGAACAGCTTATAGACGAAGGGAACAATATCTGTGTATATAAAAGACAAGAAAAGATGTATTGGAAAGTGTGGGACCTGGGCATGCACGACAGTAACCCTTCTGCTTTTCCCCAGTCTTCACTTTGCTCCCACAGGGCAAAGCTGAGCCCATTGATGGAGGTGCCTAAAGACCTGACCTAATAAAAAAGCAGAGATTGTCAGGCATAGCCTACAGTTAGGAATGAAATGCTGTGCCCCAGGTCTGGGACAAAAGGGAGGAAGAGAGGAATGCTAAAGAAGTCTTTGTGAGACCATAGCCGGTGTGAATGCTGGTCTCCTTCGCCTAGAAAGCAGAGGAAGCTGCTTTCCATCTAGGTACTGTATGTGCCAAAACTGAATAAGGTGGGAATGGAGAGATGGGAGAAGACAGCTTATACAGCTTACAAGTGTGCTCGATTCCTTCTTATAGACAAATCCTTCTAAAACAGAATCAATAATGAAGTTATTCATGTGAGGGACTTTTTATCATCTCCCTTCTCCTCCAGTAATTCACATAGTCAGGCAGTCAAAATAGGGCAGAAGAATAGCTAGCTTGAGCTCTAGCATTCTGATGGTGTGTCCAGTTTTTCAGTTTGATGAACTGCCTCAAAATAGAGGCAGACTCGGTCGTTAACAGCTTCTCTTGTTCAGGGCTCCAGGATTTTCCTGTGTAGTCATGTCTGTAATCCTGTAAACAACTGTCTTGAGCTTCACATTTACTTACACACTGAGTGACTGCTAATGCTTGATGTGATAACCCTCTGTTTTTAATTTGCATGGGTTTCTTACTTCTCTTTCATAGTAACAAAAGATCCGCCCAAGGGGATCGTTTATCAGCAATAACCATGGCATTGCAATATGGATCAGAAAGTGATGAGGATGCAGCTTTGGCAGGTAGGAACTGAAATGCATTTTCTCTATTTTTTTCAATTTAAGTGTTTGGAATAAGCAGAACTGTAGGACTTCTGATACATTCAAATATCTTTATTTCAGAGGTATTTTGCAGTGTTTCCAAACTCGGTATGTAAATTCAGTCCCTGTTCTAAGTACAAATGTATAAATGTACAGCTGGTCAGACAGCGGAGGCCAAACTTGCTTGCATGGTTTGAATTTAGTGTGTGTGTTTCCAAGTATACTTATCCAAGCTTTAGGAAACTGCTGCACGTTTTTATTCCTCCTAATATGGAACAGAAGTTGAGACACTGGGGTAAGACATTGGGTGCTTCTTGTAGTAAAAGAGATTTACAGTGCTACAATAGTTTGAGAGAAATCTCACTGACACTGGCTTGTTTTCTCTTGCCCTCTTGTGCCATTGGGTCTCAGGTTTTATTTTTGAAGTTGAAGGTGATGTATGAGGTGTAAGGACAGGTAAATGTGAGAATATAATTCAGAAATATCTGGTCTAGCCTAGCAGGCATGAAATTTTACATGAAGGTTTATGTTAAAAGCATGTAAAAAGGCACGCCTTCATACAGCACCCTTAGTTTCATAAGCATGCTTTAGCTTTATAATATAAGCTTATATGCCATAATATATGCATTATATCAGATATTTCAGTATCAGCCATAAATTGTTATAGGTTGTCTTTTAAGCTAGCTTGTCTTGATAGTTATATTCTCAGCACTTTCCTTGCTTTCCTCTCAGGGGCAGTTTCTGAAGTGTTTTAGACATCTTCAGTTTTATTTTTGTTACCATTGTTTTTGCATTGGTGTGAAATGATGCATCTCTTCAGTTTGTTTTTTGGGGCATTCATTTCACACCTGGAAATGGAATTGTGTTCCCCACTTTTCCAGCAGATGGACATGCTGTAGAATTGTTTTGGACCATTTTGCTGCAAACAAAAGCAGAGTTGAGTTACTGCTTTGGAGCAGCTGCTTTCTGGGAGGTGTGAGGAGTATTTATTGGCTTGGTTCAGTGTGATTATTAGCTGCTATTTTTGCAAATCATAATTCTGTAAACACACATAGCTTTTTATGTCTTTATATGGTTTAAATTATTGACGTGATTGAACCACTTTCAGGTGCTGCCTTTACTATGGACATTATTGTGATTTCCATAGGTCCTTTCATATATATACATCTGAGCTCTTTGCTGCTGCTGCAGCTCTTCTGCCTTTATCACACTCACCTAAGGGGCAATGTCAGGTTTTTTAGAAGACCTCTGTCCCTTAAGGCTTTCTGTCCCTCCAGTGCACTACTTGGACATCCCTGTGCTTCCAGTCTCTGCATGAAAAGGATTTATATTTAAACCACGTCTTTTTATTAGTTGCTCTGGAATCTTGTCTTTTTTCTTTCCACTAAGGCTTGTTAAAATAAATGAGAACTGGGCTGCATGACTGAACATGAAGAAAATTTCTCCATCTCAATATAGAGAACTAAGTCTTTATGAGCTTCTTGGATTCTAGAAGTTGCTTAAGCAATGAACAATATCTGTTCCCAACTTGGAGTTTCTCCTCACTGTTTCAGAGGGTGTCATGGTGTGGTGGAGCTTGTAGGTTTCCAGCTCAAATATATTAGTGCATGAGCAGCTTCTGCAGCATCCTTGCTCCCCGTTATAAATCTGTAAAGGCAGGCATAGATGGTCATGCTGTGGTACTTATTTAAAAGTATGCCATTTTGTAAATAAAGCTATTTATTAAATTTAGAAATGTTTTAAGACTGGATGCTGCTTCTGGTTTTACTAGCATTTATCTTCTGTTAGACTATGAGCGTTCATTGTTGCCTAGGTGCTTTGGGACCACAAAGGAGACAAGTGTTTAAAGCAAATAACTTGCTGAATAAGACTAATTTGCTTTCACATATATACAAATTCTCTCTACTCTTTTTCTGCCTCATCATTGAGTAAGAGTACATGATTATGATAGATGCATTTATATCCGATAATAAAGCTCAGTTCCAGTTGTACATTAGATAGCTTCCTCCTTTTGCAGTGAAGTCAGTTTAATATCACTCCATTATAAAGCTGTCCCTTCACTAGGAAGCAGTCACTGTGGTACAGAATGGACAGCAGGAAATGCTTTTTGTTTGGGACTGTTGCATGGCAGATACTTCCTGGTTATGGTTTGCTACAGGGTTTTTTATTTCTCTGTTAAGTGCAGTAGTGGCAACAGCTGCATGAAAAAGGAGTAACTGACTGTTACTTCACTGCCAGTGTGTGCTTGGTGGGGATATGGCACCTGGTGCTACTGCATATCAAACAATCTGTAGTCTTACATTAGATTGTTTTTGTGGCAATATATGTTTCTTTTCTGTCTTCTGAGCTGAATAACACATTCTTCATCAGTTTTCTTTAGAGAACAGTTTTCGTACGAGAGCAGCGTAATCGTCTGAATATGTAAGAATATGTCATGTTTGACACATCACTTTTAAAGAACCTACAAGTCATAATGAAAGTGTTTATAGCTACGTTACAAGATTATGTGAACACTTTCTTTTTTAGTGCCTGCTTAATTTACTTAGATTTTTATTTTAAAGAATGTCTGGTGTTCTACTTCCAATGCAAAGGAAGTACGTTTCTTATTTGGGGTATTGAACTGCTTTGCTGCTGGCTGCCCCATGTAAGAGGATAGCAGTATGCTTGGCTAGTTTCTTATTTCTTTCCTTTTCCATAAAAACATATTCTGTTTTTTCTACTCTGTGTCTTACTTTTTGATGGAGCACTCAGAACTGAGCTATTTGACTGTTTGCTGTGTAGTCTGTTTTTGAAACTTACTTTACCTGATATCATTCTCTTAGCTGTTAGCATTTATCTCCATTTTCAGGTACAGGAGAACATAGTGTTAACTCCAGTCTTTTGTTTCTACCCGAGTTATTCTGTCCAGATGCTGCATTGCTGGCTACTGTGGTAGATGTGGTAGATGCTAGGCTGTTAAGTGATGCTGACTGGCATACACATTAGGATAATTTGTAGGCATACACAAATTAGGGTAATTTGGAGTGTCTTCCCTGAATCGGTAATGAACATCTTCGTTATGTGTTTGCACAAGGTCTGCTTGTGTTTTAGTTTCCATCTAACTTGTCTGGGAGGTCCCACACATCGTATACTCGCATAGATCTGCAGTGTCAGACTGCAGAGGAAAAAATGATAGTATTATTATGCTTTTATGTAGTGAGAGTGTCCCCTGGCTTTGTCATCGTTTTGTTGCGTCTTTACTGAACTTGGGGAGAAGGCTTGAAACATCGCCAGCCTCTGCTGAGCAATAACAAAAATGCCAGCTGGAAACTTGGTGTGTTAGAGAACTGCCTTCCTTTTGTGGGACTGAATGACCAAGTGTGTCATCTGCCAGACTTTCCCTCAAACTTTAACTCTTAAGAAGGCAAAAAAAGGGTGAATAATTTAACTCCACTATGTGCACACCCGCATAGATTTTATGTTATGCTTGTCTGCAAGGTGCAAATTACAACACTTCTGTTACTGACAAGTGTGGGAGGAGTGGCCATTTACTTTTTCCATCCTGTATTTCCACTACCAGTGTTTTTTGTTCCAGTTGTGTTTCTGTTGCTCATGTCATGTTTCTTCTAATTTTACCTGCAGTGAATGTTAGCTCTTCATAGCATTTCTTTCACTCACCCTAAACCTGAAGCATAGTACATACTTCATATAGATAACTAGGTTTGCTATGAAAGTTGTAAATAATTGTGAAAGATTTATGCTAATTATATATATATATAAAAATATAGAATGCTAATAATATTTCTAGAATATTTATCCTTTATTTTGCTCTGTAAATTAGAGGTGCACCTTCAGGCTTTAATGTCAGGTTTTTTTCTGCTAAGCCTCACAATTTTTGAGCCGAGATGTGATTAACATGGTTTAAAGGATTATAGAAGTTTTGAAGTCACTTTTTTGATACATGTGCAAACATTCATATTGAATTTGGCCATTTGGCTTAACTAGCCAGGCACCTTTGAAGCTTCCAGACATGGTTTGTCAATTTGTATCCTTGCGGTGTGTCAGTATGACAGTAGTGGGGTATACAAATGTATTTGGCACAAATACTGGTATTAATGGTTTGATGGGTAAATAAGGGTGTAGCTGGTGTCTGGGTAGTGTGTGGTTGAGCAGTCCTGTTATGGAGTCTGATATGGACTCTCAGCACTTGTAGCTGGTAAGGGTGTATTACCAGTGGCAGAAATGAAGTCTCATCTGATAAGAGAGATTCCAGTAACTAGATAAAGTGCATTTTTTTTTGTCGGCTTGAGGCTCATACAATAGATTTGTGATGTCCTTTTCTGAGGTATGAATCTGACTGCCAGAGAGTGGCTGAACGCCCTCGCTTGAGGGACTGCCTTTTCTTCTGATTTAGATCTTTATCCATTTGAAAAGCCATCCAAAAACCCCACTCTGAGTTGTCCTACTGAGTTTCCAATTTTCCCTTTCTCTCTGTGCAGCTGCTGCTCGTTATGAAGAGGGAGAATCTGAAGCCGAGAGCATTACTTCCTTCATGGACACTTCTAATCCTCTTTATCAGCTTTATGACACAGTTAGAAGTTGCCGAAATAATCAGGGCCAGCTCATATCTGAACCCTTTTTCCACTTGCCTTCCAAGAAAAAGTATCCTGATTATTATCAGCAAATTAAAACACCTATTTCATTGCAGCAGATCAGGTAAGAAAACAGAATGCAAACTACATCTGGTGCGAAACTATTCAAGGGCTTACTTTGTTTCCAGAATCCTACCTTGTAGTCAATTTGTTAATACCTAATGCAGTGTATGCCAGCTGTCCTTTATGTTCGGTTGCTTCTTGTTTCAACTCAGTCTGCATCAGTCTTTTGATCATATTTTATAGGTGGCTGTCACTTGGTTTATTTTTGATGGAGTTTCATCTGTAATGTGCCTTAAAGGTTGCCATATCAATAATTGTGAAGGCTAGGGGGGCAGCAGGGATGAAAGCTTTTGCAGAACCCCCATTATTCTTTTTCCTTGACCCTGAGGGCTTGGTTACCTCTCACTGCCATGTTTTTTGAATTAAGCTTCAGCAATTTGAATTGTAAAAAGATATTTGTAATTATGTTCTTTTTGTCTTGGTCATAGTATAACTGAGGATAATTATTCCTGAGGTAGCTAGTCTGGATTGAAGTAGGCAGTAACCCTTCATGAGTCTGTGAGCCATGAAAGGTTCATCAGCTGCCAGAGTGCAGGTGTCACATCAAAAACCTGAGTGGTCCAAGGTAAGCTACTGTGATGGATATGTGTCAGGGTCCCGAGTGTATTAACAGATCTTAATGGCACTGACCAGACTCAGGTGGCCCTGGCCTCCTGCCCAGTGTCCGCTGGGGCTGTGGGTCCTTTACTAAGTGAGGTCTGGGCCCTAGCACTGTTCTTGTGTTTGTAATCCACTCTAATCATGGGTCTAAATTTTAGTTTTACCATAATATGACCTGCTAGACTTGGTGTAATTGGGAATAAGCAGTGTCTCTGTTAAATGAGAAAGAAACTAAGCTGGTTTTGTGGGTTTTGATTGGTTTGTTTGTTTGGGTTTTTTGTGGGGGAGGAAGGGCAGTTGAGTTTTGGGCTGGTTTTTTTCTTTTCCTTTCTTTTCTAACCTGTCAGAGGATGTTTGCATGTACTTGGGAACAAGTACAGAGCTCCCCCACTGGTTATGAATCCATCAGCAGCTTTAAAGCAGTTTTTTCTTACGTCTTAGTACAGCTGTTGGCTTGGCAAAGAAAGTATCTTGAACAAAGCACAAAATGCTCTTGATGGAGGGGAAAAAAAGGTGAAATTGAGAAAAATTGGTGATAATTGTCAGGAAGCTTTTTGTCTGAATGTACCAAAGAATATTGGTTCAAATTACCTATAAACAGATTTAATTGGGAGAGACCTTCCAGTAAGAATATACTTGATATCAGTCATAGGACACATAATTTGCCATAGGGAAGCAGCTGTGTTTCTGCTTTCCTTCCAGTGTGGGCAGGTGGCATCTGGCTATGTGAGCAGTACAGAAACTCCATGCAAATACATGAAGAACTGCAGGGTGGTGGTGGTGAAATACTTATTGCCTGAGAGCTTAGAAAATAAAAAGAGGCAGTTCTCTTTAGAAATGAGTGTTTGTAGTGCACAAGTTCAAGTACAGTATTTGTAATAGTCCGACTGTTTTAGCAATTTTTGACATTTTGGTTTGTGGTTTTTGGTGGTGGTGAGACGTTGTGTTTTGTGAGTTTGGGGTTTTTTAAGATGTACATGCAAAGAGCATATCGTGTGTTCACAGATGGGGACAGGAAAGTTAATTGTCCTAGTGAAAAGTTGAAGGTGTTGGAGTAAAGTCTGGCATTCCTGTCTCCACTTTGGCATCTGGCTGCTTAGGCTATCCTGCTAGAGTGCACTGTGAAATGTGTGGCCGTTGCAAATTTTGCAGGTAGTCGTATATTTTAGGAGGTTTTGTGTGTGTTAAATGCAGGAAAAGCCTTACAAAATAGTGTATGATTTCTAGAGAGAGTATGGGTGTGTTTTGTTTTAATGAGATGTTCATAATACCTATCCCAGCCTCAGTCACTTTCTGAGAGTTATAACCCTCAGTCATTTGAGCTGAGTGCAGATCCCAAGCTGTTCCTGAATGTGGGAGGTGATCCTTCTGATGGCTTTAGTTTTTCTGCTAGTTTCCTCCTGACTTGCTCTTTATAGAATCTCAGAACAGCTGAGGTGGGAAGGAAGACCGTCCGGTCCAACCCCTGGCTATAGCAGGGTCACCCAGAGCCAGTTGCCCAGAACTGTACCCGGTCAGGTGTTGAGTATCTCCAGAGACAGACACTCCACAACCTTCCTGGGAACCAGCCTCACAGCACCCCGGTGTTCAGTTGAAATTTCATGTGTTTCAAGTTGTTCTCATTACTTCTTGCCCTGTCAGCAGGCATAGCTGAGACGAGTAGAGCAAGAGTAGCCTATTGAAAATGAAAGGCATGACACTCTGAGGGCTGTGACTTCCAGGTATGGTTCAAGTACATGGCGTGGAGGTTACTTTGCAGACTTCACATGCAGGAGAATGTGTTCAGTTACCCAGTACTTGAGTGCTAGATCCTGGCACGCTTACAGGAACTGTGTTCCTAATTCCGTTTTACAGCATTGGTAACTATGATCCCTACAGCAAGTGGATCATGCTTTTCTACACCCAAGGAGGGAAGTACTCCAGGGAATTCCCTGGCAGCAGTTCTCTCCTGAACACGTGAGTGGTGTGGGTGCATGGGCACTGGAATTAGAGTCTTCATTGGCACTCCCTGGTGTCTTGAGCTCCAGGAACCTGGGGTCATAGTTTTTGCTTAAGAAAGTGCCTGGATCTAATATAAACCACAGTTGGTTTTGTGTGACGTCTGCTGTTTGAGGATTTGAAATCCATTTTTCTTATGAATGTGCATCCTTTTGGACAATGGTCTGCTACACAGGAATCTAAACGTGTCATTGCACTGCACTGGGGTGTGTTGAGGTTCTCCTGGAACTGTGAGATTTGTGGTGAGTCTTATTGCCTTTGGATTGATTATTTGAGTTGACTTGTACTAAATTTGAACATACTTTGTGTTATAATTTCGCAAGGTCTAGTAATGCTGCAATTAAAGGAGTGAAACTTATCTTGAATTAAAGGAGACTGCTCTTGGGATTAAAGCCTGAATGGTTTATAGAGAACTTTTTGTTTTGTTTAAAACAACAGAGCTTAAGCCCATTATAACTTAAGCTCTTAATTAAAAAGAAAGTACATTAAGATATATTGCATTGACTTTTGAAAAATGACATTGTGTTCCATGTGTTTGTGAGTGAGCCACTTGGAAAAGTACTCTCTAACAAAAAAAATAGGTCTTTCAAATATTAAGAATACCCTGTAAATTTTCCCTTCATCTGAGATTTAGCAGTTCCTTCATTCCTTTCACTTGATAGAGTTTCATATTTGTTGAATATTGTACTTTTTTTAGATCTTATGTCTGTATAACCAGTTTTCCTACCTTAGCAAGTACTTTCATTGCATATTGTACTTCAGGCCTGTGTAAAATCACAGGTTCTTTGTTACTGTTTGTTGGGGTTTTTTTCCTAAAGAGGCAGGGTTAGCACTTCACAGTTTGTGAATAAAAGAAACTAAGTTACATGAGAGCTGGTTTTAGCCATGGGCTTGTATTTTTTGGTTCTAGGAGTTTTTTAGGCGTCGTGTGTGTCTAGTGAGATGGGTCTTTTGATCATGTGGGGAGAGTATCTCTCTTGTCTTCAGTTCTTTCAGATATTCCACTTGGAAGAGCTGATGAGTTTCCAGTAGATCTTCTAGGGAGTTGGGTGCCAGCTTACTGTATGGGATTTATTATTCTTCTTCTGATTTTGACCAAATTAAATGTCACGCCAGCGTTGTTTTAGGCTTAGTGGCCTTATGTAACTGTAGCGTACCTTTTAGACTGTACTTTTTCCTCATTTTGCAAAGGTGGTTATGTTTAAAATTCTGCTTGTCCAAGTTTTCCTCATGCTTTCAGGTACGTTTGTATCACTGCCAGTCATTTCACAGAAATTGCTCTTGGTTTCTAGTGTATCAGTTTAATTTGCATTATGTTGGCAGAGCCTTCCTGTAGAGCCATCGACTTGGTTAGTTTTAGCCTCTCTTTGTGAAATGAACTGATGCTGATAAAATTCTTTCCTTCCAAGACTGATGAGATGGCTTTTGAAGACGTACTGTGAAGCTGCATTTCATACTCTAAATCCAGGAAAGACATAATGCTCGAGTTCTGCTGAGTTAGAGTGTAATTAAAACTGTTCAAAGTACTTCTGTGCATAACCCTCTTAATTAATCATCCTGTTGTTTGCTAAAGAGCATGGTAAGGTGGGAGGTTAGTTACAGACTAGAACAGGGTTATTTCTGTGCCTATGAATTTTTTCATTCTTCATGTATGTGGTGGGAAGTTGTCTGCCTTTCTGAGCTATATGGGCCAAGTCTGGATTTTTACTTTTGGTGTCAGGCCTTTCACAAGTACCAATGTGAACATGTAGGTTATTTGCTTCAAATCAGATGCTGCACCTCGATTATTTGGTTGTGAATAAACAAATGCTGGTAGAAGCAAGATTTTATTTGGGGTAAGATAATTTGAATTATCGTTCTTTTTAAGGCAGTGTTTTCTCATCCTCTCGTCTTCTGGCTCTAGGTTAGGATTTCAAGGAGTAAGATACAACTAAGCTGTTTTTCTTCACTTGTGAGCTACTGTCAGGATTGCACCTTCGCCATGAGCTTAAAAGATTTTTCCACAGGATCACGAGAGAGCAGAGGATCGGTGCACATAGAATGGTATACTTAAGTCTAATGGTGGTTTCATATGGTTTTTCTGCTTTTTGGTGCTTCAGAGTTAAACTGCTGCATTGCAGTATGGATAGGTCACTGCCTAAATACACACAGAGGAAGCTAGTGTGGGATACCAAGGCTATGTGGAGTTAGTGTTGTATTTTTAGATGAAGCATGTGACAGTGGTGTTCTGTTGTCTGCATGAGCTGCCTCTCTGGGAGCAAGAACAAAGCAAATCCCACATTTGTTAGTGTCAAGTGGCTTGGGAGATCGGCTCATATGAAGAGCCCGCAGTTCATGGCATTGTACAGAACCAATACAGAATGCACTTTCTGTAAAAAGAAAACTATTGCAGGTGGGATATGTTCCCTAGGAAACGCTATTGCCTTGCTTATTCTGCCTGCAGCTTGCTTTGAAATTGTTCTGCTCCAAGGGATATGGCTAATTCCCCCTTTTCTGAGAAAACTGGCACCTGAACATACAGAGTTTGATTGATCAGGATATGCTAACTAATCAGCAAATCTGAGTTGTAGTATGGTGTCAGTGTTACTTCACAGATTCTGAATTTACAGGGGATAAGGATATAGTTGTCTGTTGTCTTTACTATCTCAGAGGGATGGTCATTACTGTTGAGCCTTGTAGTCAATGTAATCCTAGATTTTCAGTGATTCTTTAAGGGCAACTTTGAGATGGGTACAGAAAAGCTGCACATTAAGAGGAGCAGTAGCAAGTGATAGGAAGTAGAAACAGTTTGAACTGATGTCGTGGTTTAAGCAGGCCAATTGGAGAAGTGGTACCTCAATTAAGATGTAGTCCTTCAGGTTCCTCTTTCTGAAAGCTGAATGCAGACCTCATGGAACAGCAGTCAAAGCGTAAACTTGCCATTCTGTAATTGTAATTTAGTGACTTAGTTGGAAGACCACAAACCTGCAGTTTTTCTTCCTCCTGCTGTCCAGTCTGTCCAAACTTGTTTTACTTTGGAAGAAGGCAAACTGCCAGGGTGGCAAAGAATGTTTGTAAACTATGTGATAACTAATATTTAAGCAGAATTTGAGCCAGGAGTTGAAAAGCAAGAATGTTGCGTGCAGACTTGCTTACTTGCAAGAGCATGAGCTGTTGAGTAGGTCTTGAGAGGACTTTATTTCAGCTTGATTGTTAGGATTTCTGAAGCATGAACCCTTCCTTGTCCTTCAGCAGTTGTCTTTGTCAATAAAAAGCATTGAGACATTTTAGACGTTCATCTGCAATATTTAAGAGTCAAATCTAAGGCAGTTATGGTACTCTTCACTTTATTAGATCCTTAGTTAGAGCTTAATTCTATAAATTTGTCAGTATGAGTTGTCACTTAGAAACAAATTATGCTGATGCTGTCTGCATCCAAGGAAGATTAAAGTCTGCTGGTCAGCATTTCTCTGCAGTGATAACTAAAAACATCAGTAAACAAGGAACTGACTGCTTGTCTATACAGTTTGTTACCGCATGTGCCTTGACAAATGAGAATGTTCTAAATCTGTTTTGAAAAAAAATGAAATTCAATTTTTGGTGGTTTGGGTAAGTATGAGCTTGTTCTTTAGGGGCTTTGAACTCAGGTCTTTAAGCCTTTCTATTTCATGTTTCCTTGAGCGTTCCCTTAATGATGTGTTAGCTTTTGTAACACCAACAAGTGTTTGTGTGTTAAAGTCCTGTAATTGCTTGTCAATATTTTTGTCAGACTACAAGAATTAAGTACATGCATTTTACTGTATAGATTTTGCTTTCTGCACTAGAGTACGTTCAGGTCAGCTGGAGAAGATGTAAGGTGGCCTGTAATGTTTGTTATCAGATAGTGGCAAGAGCGTGAAGTGGACTCAAGAAGGTTTTACATCCTTTAGTATTTCTGAGCCTATGCATCATATGCTAGTGGTTTAAGGCAAACTAATCCTGAGTTTAATGGGATTTTAATTTGGGTTTGATCTTTTAATACCAGTCACATATTCCTTAACACATATGCAAATAATTGTTGCTGGAGTGTTACAAGATAGAAATTGAGGCTATTTATTTGGTACCCAAACTCTTTTGCTTTTGAGGGTGTATTTGGGATTTTTTATTATTGTATTTTTTATTAATCTAATGAAAACTATTGGTAACTCTCCTATTTTTTGGAATTCCAGAGTAAGTGAGGTTCATAGGAAAGCTTTTTGATTATCTGTTGCTGCAGCTGGAAACACTAAAAATAATCTAAAATATAATGCATAAAGACTTACAAGCTACTGATGTCTTAAACTCTTAAGGTTAACTTTCAGCTGGGTGCTGTAAAAACCAGACTAGGTTTGAAGGTGGTTTGTCACTGGTGTTTGTGACAGGCGGGTGAGAAAGGAGGTGTGAAGGAGGATGATTGTGTTTTATAGTTGTGATAGGGTTTGGTTTTTATGTTGCTGTAGACATCTGTTTTCTGTTGTGTTTAATGAGGTATTGGAAGGTTTAAAAAAGTTGGCTAGAGCTTTCACCACTTGTGCAAGGAAATAGAAGAAAATACATTAAATTGTTGGCAAACTTAGTGCTCTGAGTCATCTGTTTAGCACATGAAAACTGGTAATTTTTTGTCATTAGTCCTTTTCTAACTGTTTTCACATGAATTAAACTTTACAGGTAGCACCAATGAACAATCAGGTGGTTTTAAGGGAGGGCAGAAATTGGAGTGGGTTAACATGAGAGGTGTTGGGCATTTTTGGCTCTCACTGAAGATGAGTGGAACTGATGCGTAGGGAAGGCAGCATTGATGGCTGCGCAGAGCTAACCCATCACACTGATATCATACCCAGGTGCCACAGAAAAATTATGGACTCAGTCAGAGATCAGTGTGATCAGACCAAAGCTGTTTATTACAAAGCATCCATCCTTTTTATACTGTTGTCTGCATCTGCTTACAATAGCTTCCTGTATTATAATTGGATACATATTCTTGTAGCGCACAGCAGTTACAGCTACACATACAATAGCTCTCTGTATAACATTTGGATACATCTACAATAGCTTGCTGTAGTATAATTAGATACATATTCAGTAGCTTGCTGTATTATAAATGGATGCATGTACAATAGCTTAGTATATTATGCTTTGATACATATTCTTGCAGCATGCAGCAACTAGTATACAATTGATCAAATAAGCGTATGGGAACTTAACCTTTAAAACTTGCTAACAGATCTTACCTTGCTTGCACTGTTCCTTTTGCTTCTTTACCCACATCCTCCTTCATCCTTGGTTCATGTCGAGCTCCACGCAGGCACTTGCTGACTTGGGAACGTGGCCATTCTGTGCTAGAAATCCATCCCCACCCAGGCCCTACAGGTCACAGCTATGGGGTACTGGAGCGATCTCAGCAGGTTGTGCTTCTGCCCTTTATGTATCACATCTTCTCTGAGTATGAAAACAGGACTTCAGTCTGCACAGCTTTCAAGAGGACAGCTTTCAGAATACTTAAAACCATTCTTCAAAAGGAGATACGGTTCCTTAATATAGTTACAACCAGAAGATATTACTGCAGCATCAGAAGAAGGAAACACGTTTGTGTAATTAGAGCTCTTTGGATATTGATTTATTGTGAAAATAAAGATGTGAAAGAACTGTTTTGCAGCGTGTAACTCTTGAGATACGTGATTGGTATTTCTGCTTTGCAGAACCAAACTGAAGAACCATGAATATGAAACTTTAGATCAGTTGGAGGCTGATCTGAATTTGATGTTTGAAAACGCCAAGCGCTACAATGTTCCCAATTCTGCCATCTATAAAAGAGTACTGAAAATGCAGCAGGTTATGCAGGTATGTGCAGTAGATCAAAAGGATATAACTTCACATGTGAATTTATTTCCCTAATTAATATTTTTCCCAAATAATTTTAAACCAGACCTGTACTTGCAGTAGTATTTTCTTGCTGAGGGGGAAATATGGGAATGAAGGGCATCATAGAGTGATTTTTTTTTTCTCAGTTAAGTGCTGCAATCTGAAATGGCAGCTTCCTCAACTTTTTTTCTGACAGTTAAAAAGATTTACGCTGCTATTTTGTATCACCCAACTTTATATTAAGTAAATCACTGGAAATAACATTTTTTAGTCTCAAAACCTGTAGTTGCATTTTTCTTTGTGTATCTGATCTGTTCTGATGTTTAATACTGTGCTGGAAATGTCTGGCACTGAGTTTGGCTTCAGGGATTTGTTCTTTTTTCAGGCAAAGAAGAAGGAGCTTGCTAGAAGAGATGACATTGAGGATGGGGACAGTATGATTTCTTCAGCTACGTCTGATACTGGAAGCTCAAAAAGGAAAAGGTATGCACTTCTGTAGTTTCTGCAGACTATGACATTGCTACGGCTTTTATTTGTTAAAGAGAATATAAAACAATGTTGTCTTGCATTTGTGTAAGGATTTGTAATTCTGAAACAACCTCATTAAGTGTTGTTTCCAGTTAATTCAAAACTATTTGCTGACTTTATTTTCCCTTTTTTTTGCCTATTCATTAGTTGGCAGTTGTCAACACAACTTCAGTGCATCACATGGCATGGACACTGTAGTTGCACTGAATGAAGTCATTTTGTCAGTGGATATCAGGGTGTTTATTTGTGTTACCTTTTTTTAGCCTGGTGTGTGGACTGTCTTCACGGGTTGTTAGCAACTAAGGCTACTTTTCTACTACTTCTTTATTATATGACTATGTAGTTTGGGTAGCAATTTCAGAGTATCGTTAGAGTTAACACTGTAGCTGAATAGTGTTTTGAAATTTTATAGTATTAGTCTACAAATACTGTTATTTGGTGAGGTTTCCTGGCACAAACACTTTCATTTTGCATGAACTCTGCTTGAAGAGTTTTTGTCATTAACGCTAGAGGACCGCTCCGCTCTCCCTTCTGAATTTACACTCTTCTGTTACTTACCTGTAAGCGGCTATGCCAAAGAGGGTATTTGACAAACAGATAAACTGATAATAGGTTGGTTATTCTGGATACTGTAACATGAACAAAATTCACAGTGATGTAAAGTATACTTTTTAGTGAGCAATAATGGTGGCTTATGGCAAGCGTTCTTTAAAAGTGAAAGCTGTTGTGTGAATGCTAATGATGCACTTCACTACAAGGGGTAGTTTCTCTAGCTTGCCTCATGGTAGCATTTGAAATAAGTTCTAACTGCTGATAATATTGCAATAGTAGCAACCGCCAGTGTAAAACTGTAATTTCAACATCTTTGTCTGGTGTAACTTTCTTCGGTGAACCTTCCGCTTCCTGTATTTTTAGTTCTTTGTTTTATCAAAGTAACAGCAGTTGTGGGGGGAAGAAGGGAACGAAATAGACCATCAGCAGAGATTCACTTAAGACCAGCCGAGTAAGTGCAGCGATGTATGTTCATAAAAAGTCTGCCGAGAGAAAATGTTAACATGGCTTTAGGAGGTGGTGCAGTCTGGGCATGCTAGGAAGAATGGTAAGACAGCCAACAGTACCAAATGAAGATCAGGTAGGAACAAATTGCCAAAAAATAGCTAGTTTTGTGATCTTCGTATTCAAAGAGATGTACTAACCTCATCAAGCGAGTCAAACTGACATCAGTGTCCTTTTAACCCTACGTTGCTTTTGATCACATTGGGCAAGAGAATACTGAAATGCTTAAAAGAAAAAGTCTGTCAGGTCTTGTCATGTAAGAACAGTAAGAGGGAAAAAGTAGTGCTCATAAATGAGGGAAATCAGAATCATTTTTTCTTCATGCCAAATATGCTTTTGATCTTGTCAGTTCGGAGCTTGCTATCAGTTTCACTTGCTGCAAGATAGGAAGTAAAAGAAGACTGTAAATGCTGTGATAGCAGAAGGGAAACACTGAGAGGAATTCCAAAATGTTGTTGAAGAAAGAAAATAATAATCCGGGCAAAATACATCCCATTGGGGAATAATAGTGACAGAGAAGAAAGTTGCCTGGAAGTACCCTTTTATGTATCAGATGCATGGCCTTTTACTATTCCTGCTTCAGTTTTGCTTTGCCTACTTCCATTGAACTGAATGTTAAAATTTGGAAGTGTGCTAAAATGTGGATTTTGGAAGCATGTCTGTGTTCTGGCATTGCTCATCTGCTAGTGTGAACCACTAACTAACATTTTCAGCACTGAAGATAATACAGAAAAAAGAACTTTTTAACCTATAGAAGGTACATTTTGAATTTTCTCACATAATGTGACATTAATTTTCAGCAGTTATATTGCTGACCTCGCCAAGGAGCAAGAGGTATTTGAGGCACGATGCTCTGCTGGATTAGGCGTATTTTAAATGGAGGAGGAAAAGATCCAGATGATGGCAGATCTGTGACGCTGTTTGTGTCTAACAAGTTGTACAGTGCAGGTTTGCACATTCAGGAAATGAAGATAGTTTGTGATGATGTCGTTGTCTTTACAGATAGTACAGTTAAAGGTATGACTACTTGAGTAAGTCTTACAGAGACTGAAATTTGGAAGCTGGTTTAAAAGTGCTTTGTAGAGAATGCATATCAAAGTGCTACAGTGTCTGAGATGAGCCTAGACATTACTGACATAAGTTTTCCTCTCCCTTACCTGATTTGCTTGTAGATCATGTAGTGTATCTACAGGGAGTCATACATAACTGTTTCCTGATAAGCAGTGTCTTGGGTGTGCTGTCAAACTTCTTGAGACAACCATAATAGCTATACATAGAACTGAAGATTTGTGTACGTGGCCATTTTCTACTTGGGTTTGCAGTTTTGGCAAGCTTGGTTGTCTTGTAACTTCATTTGGCTGGGGCTGGCAGATGTTTAAGCAATTCAGACCCTTCTTTATACTACATTCTTGATGTTCTTACTTTCTTATAACTGGTACTAAAGAAGATACAGAATAACTGACATAAGTATCTCAAGTCTTTGATACTCTTTGTTCAGCAGAAGTAGTCATACAGATGCTGGCTGAGGGGGTTTTCCCTGTTCGCACTAGATCTTGAAGTCATGGATGCAGGTGCCTAGTCCTGACTGATCTTTTTTCTCTGCAGCAGCAAAGTGCTTAGGGCTCCTTTTGAGCTTTGCACATTTGAAAACTTTAATTTTTTATTCTGTAGAACACATTACATGAATGAGAGAAAAATCGTATTTTAAAGCTGCTTTCCTGTTTGTTTAGTGGACTGCTGGTTATAATGCTGTCGTTACTTGCAAATGGACTAATGTTTCTAGTACATTGTCTTGATGTGGAACCTCGTGTGTGTGTGTGTGTGTGTGTGTTCAGGTGCTTGTGGTGTTTTTACATGGTAGAGGGTAATGTCATTTTGATATTAATGTTGGAAGTGGGGAGAGGAACCCCTGACATTTTTGCTTTTCCTTTTTGTTCTTCTCCTTAACCTAACAGTAAAAAGAATATCCGAAAGCAACGAATGAAGATTTTATACAATGCAGTTCTGGAAGCTCGAGAGCCAGGCACAGGCAGACGGCTCTGTGATCTGTTTATGGTGAAGCCATCCAAAAAGGACTATCCAGACTATTATAAAATTATCTTGGAGCCAATGGACTTGAAAATGATAGAACACAACATCCGCAATGATAAGTATGCAGGGGAAGAAGCCATGATTGAAGACATGAAGCTCATGTTCCGAAATGCAAGGCATTACAATGAGGAAGGCTCCCAGGTACTGTTTTGATTCTGCAGTCACCTCTGCTTCTTTGCAGACATACAAGTTATGATAGGATGGTTTAGCTTTGACTGTTACTCACATTATTTATGCTATTGTTCATTGAACTAAAATAGAAACATGACTTTTTTTCTGCTAATTCTGTCTCTGTCTGTAGTTACATAAATGTGAAATGCAGCAGGCTCCCTTGTAAAGGTTAGATTTATTTCTCATTAGCTAAACTGTCCTCTGAAAGAGTATCAGCTGAATGTTTCCTATTATGGTTTAAAACATAATCCAGTTATTACATTATCATTATTCATCCTCAGTTAATCACACAGTGAGCAGTCATCAGTGCATGTTTTGGAGCACAGAACCACTGAGAAGGGATGTCTTAGTTGGAAAGAAACCATCTTTGTTTTCATGGAGGGGGAGAGTGTGGGAGAGATCAGACTAGAAAACCTGACTTGCTGAGCCTAGCCGAAGGAGTCTGAAAAGAATACACTTTTCATTTACAAATAGATTGTAGGGTGTGTCTATATTGTAATGTTTCTCAGCCAGCAAACGTGATGTTTTGGAACAGAGTAGTGGTAAGAAACCTCCAACTATTTCTAATAAGGAACTTGATCAGCTACTGTGAAGGACTTTATGATGAGGTTGCATTCACTGGGATTGGATTTGAAGACCCAGGAGTACTGTTCTAGTCCTTTCTACCTTGTTGGAATCACAGTAGTTCAGGAGGTTGCTCAGCAGAATGGTTTGATGAGAAGGTTGATAAAGATAACTGCACCTTGCTGTTTTATAGTCTTTGGAATAGAAATGCAGCTCAATTGGGTAATTTATTCAAGATTTGTCTCTCCCTGGTTTAGATTGTGTTGATCAGTTCTGCCTACCTGCATAAGTCTCTTAAAGGTGAACATTCGAGAAATAAACCCTTCTTTTTTAGTCAAGTATTTGGTTTTGCTTTCAGCTTTTTCAAACTAACATGTAAATGTTTCTTGGGGGCTAGCTCTAAACTAGTTTAAATACAGTAAACCTTGCTTTGTTTTGGTTTGGTTTTTGATTACTTTACTGATTAATAGGTATACAATGATGCCCATATGCTGGAAAAGATCCTTAAAGAAAAAAGGAAAGAACTGGGACCCCTAGCTGAAGATGATGATGTTGCATCCCCTAAACTAAAGCTAAGTAAGGCAGCCTTGTACATTGCTATGTCTCATGTCAACACTTCGGAATACCCAACAATACAGATTAACAGATCTTCCCTTTAGAATAGGAGATGCGACCTGCAAATTTACACTGACATGCAAAGCAGAATTGTATTTTCAAAATCATGACAGCAACGGTGTATTTATATGATAGAATTTAGATGTTGCCTATAGCATTTCCTAAGAAAGGTAACTGGGAATGAAGAAGGAAAATTTAAGACTGGTTGGAATGGCCGGCATTTAGTCAAGCGGTGTCATCCAAATGTTAGATGTTGCATTACATGCTCAGTAACAGTGCATTAGCACACTTAATGTGTGCTGCTGGGATTGCTTACAAGTAAGGTGCTTCTCAGACCGAGTAAAACACTTTGTTTCCCTGAAGAGTTTCCCAGGTGTTTGATTTGCATGGAAAATCTGTGCCTTTGCACAGGGATTTGCACAGAACCATAAAAGAAATTAGAGCTTTATTTAGAAAAATATAGAAAACCATGAAAGCCACAGAAATTTCCAACAGTGTCTGTGCCTAGAGCTGTTACTCTCACAAACTAGACTGGCTGCTGCTCAAATCTTATGTCCCCTTAAAACGTGTCCAGAACTGAGCAAACTGAGAAGGACAAAATTGCGCAGAAAGAAGATAACTGTACAGAGTCTTCTTGAAAATAGAACTGTGCAGCTCTTAGGTAAGGTACAGGTACTAGAGAATTCACAGGCAGAGACCATGCAGTGCCATAACAGAGATCCTGAATTAATCAAAAAGCTAATCTGATTGATAATCCCATTGGAGGTCTTATTTTACATTTTACCTGTAATAATCCTCTCTAAATTGGCATAAACCTGTCCTAAAGGAATCTGATACTAGTTAGAATGCTTAATTTTAGTGATAGCAGAAACCCTGTGATGGCTGGATTTTAATGGCTGTAGAGAGAAATTCCTGTAGAGCTAGTAAGACCAAACTGAATTTAGAGGAGTCATTAATAACATTAGGTAAGAAAAGGTGCTTTCTGTGCTTAAGTCTGAAAATACCTTCAACACAGTAACTTATGATTCTGTGTTTGACAAAAACAGCATTGAAAAAATATTCATACAATTCTGAAAAATAAAGGAAGCTGCCACTCGGGATGGGCTCCATGTTGCGGCTCTTCTGCTCATACCGCAGAGTGGTTCTTCAATAAGCAATTCTCCAGTGGAAGGGAGATGGACAAAGGAGTGTACAAGCTCTGGTTTTGTAATGGTTTTTATTTTTTTCCCTTTTCTGTCTGCTTAGGTAGAAAAAGTGGCATTTCTCCGAAGAAATCGAAATACATGACTCCAATGCAACAGAAATTGAATGAGGTGTATGAAGCAGTAAAGAATTACACCGATAAACGAGGCCGGCGACTGAGTGCCATCTTCTTGAGGCTGCCATCTCGGTCTGAACTTCCGGACTACTATGTGACCATTAAAAAGCCCGTTGACATGGAGAAGATCAGAAGCCATATGATGGCAAATAAATACCAGGATATTGATTCCATGGTAGAGGACTTTGTAATGATGTTCAATAACGCTTGCACGTATAATGAGCCAGAGTCTTTAATTTATAAAGATGCCTTGGTCCTGCATAAAGTTTTGCTTGAAACTCGGAGAGAAATAGAAGGAGATGAGGATTCTCACGTGCCCAATGTCACTTTGCTGATTCAGGAACTTATCCATAACCTTTTTGTATCTGTTATGAGCCACCAGGATGATGAGGGCAGATGCTACAGTGACTCCTTAGCTGAGATTCCTGCTGTGGATCCCAACTTCCCAAATAAACCTCCTCTGACTTTTGATATTATCCGAAAAAATGTTGAAAATAATCGCTATAGGAGATTGGACTTATTCCAGGAGAATATGTTTGAGGTACTGGAGAGGGCAAGGAGAATGAACAGGTGAGTGGAGCCATATTTTTCAGGTCCTTTGTCTTCACAGTATCACACAGTATCACAGTATGCTAGAGATTGGAGGGGACCTCAAAAGATCATCTAGTCCAATCCCCCTGCCGGAGCAGGAACACCTAGATAATGTTACACAGGAATGTGTCCAGGTGGGTTTTGAATGTCTCCAGAGAAGGAGACTCCACAGCCTCCCTGGGCAGCCTGTTCCAGTGTTCCGTCACCCTCACTGAGAAGAAGTTTCTTCTCAAGTTTAAGTGGAACCTCTTGTGTTCCAGTTTGTACCCATTACCCCTTGTCCTATCATTGTTTGCCACTGAGTAGAGCCTGGCTCCATCCTCGTGACACTTCCCCTTTATATATTTATATACACTAATAAGGTCACCCCTCAGTCTCCTCTTCTCCAAACTATAGAGACCCAGCTCCCTCAGTCTTTCCTCATAAAGGAGATGCTCCACTCCCTTAATCATCTTCGTTGCCCTGCGCTGGACTCTCTCCAGCAGGTCCCTGTCCTTCTTGAACTGAGGGGCCCAGAACTGGACACAATATTCCAGATGCGGTCTCACCAGGGCAGAGTAGAGGGGAAGGAGGACCTCTCTCCATCTACTAACCACCCCCCTTCTAATACACCCCAGGATGCCATTGGCCTTCTTGGCCACAAGGGCACAGTGTTGGCTCATGGTCATCCTGTCATCCACTAGTCCCCTGTCTTATCACATGAGTTTTGCATGTTAACATTAGGCAAAGGCTGAAGTTTTTTTAAGGTGTTGCTTTCCTTGATATGGATGTTCAGAAAACTAAATCTCAAAAGCTCTATCAGATCTTCAATGGAAGGTATGCTTTCATTTAAAAAACAAGGAAAAAGTTAGGTTTCCGCCCTGAGATAATTTTGATGTTAATCTTCCAAAGGCACACCTTATGATAACCAGGTTTGTGCTAATGGTCAAATTGAAAAGCGAAGAGGAGGAGCTGTTCACTGGCTGCTTGACTAGTGAATTACTCTTTTGGAGCAATCACAGTTGAATGAGTTATGATAATATTGTGCAGAAACTATGAGCACTTGCAACTTATTGCAGTGTTTTACTTAGATTAGGTAGGGTGCCTGGGGATGTGCAGTTGAGATCTTGACCCCTGAAGGAGGGGGCTTAAACAATCATATTAAATCATCTACCAACAGAGTATGGGTAATTAAAATAAGTCAGTTTTGTTATTACTTAAGTTTTCAGAGGTTAACAAATTGTAGAGATCCAGTGGCAAGTAGTTTTGGTTGCAGCTGGTTACCTTTGATTTTTCTGGTGTTTCAGGACTGGTATATACATAAATACTGTTTTGGATAAACGTTAAAACATACTGACAGCAGAGTAGCAGGTGGAACATGACTTGCCAGTGTCTGCTGCCGCTTCGACTAAGCAAACACAAATCTGTTGGTAGTGTGAAGCTTTAGTTTTATCACTAAGTGTGGCAATTGATGGCTCTGCGTTTAGGATCTTGTTTCAGTCTGCATAAAGTATGTTTCTGCCTTGGTGTACATATTTTTGTACAGGACTGATTCGGAGATTTACGAGGATGCAGTCGAACTTCAGCAGTTCTTTATTAAAATCAGAGATGAACTTTGTAAGAATGGAGAGATTCTTCTGTCACCTGCTCTCAGCTATACCACCAAGCATCTTCACAATGATGTAGAAAAGGAAAAGAAGGAAAAGCTGCCCAAAGAAATAGAGGAGGATAAGCTCAAAAGAGAGGAGGAGAAGAGAGGTAGTTACATTATTTTCATTAGTTTTAAATGCATTCATTGGAAAAAGTACCTGTGGATATGATGTATGCTGTGCTGTTGTTGCAGCTTCGCCTCCTGGAGCAACCTTAATAGCCTGATGGTTCACCAAGGATCTTGTAATTTAAAGTTATGGAAGGTTTATTTTGTTTTGATCATTATCAGCCAGGCCAGATGGCTTTAAAGAAGGAGGTATATGTCGATATTAACTGTATGTAAACTCTAATCAGAACACATTGGGGTACCAGTAGTCTTATGTGAAGGATATTGTAGAAGAAAACAATAGCTTCTTAGTACAGCTTTCTGCTGATCATAAACTTAACAGTGACTGTTCCAGCTGATCTTTTAATCGTTTCTTTTTTGACGAATACTGGGGGATTTTTATGTGTTGATGGGGTTGTCTGTGATCATGCTTTTTACCACTGCTGAAGAAATGGTTTTTAAGTAAGCCTTTTTGCGTTTCTTACTTGGCTAGTATGAGTGTGAAGAGGCTTGCGCTATTTTGCAGGGCAGGAAACTTGCTGTGAAGGTCCTTTGTGTTTCACTCTTCCTGGCTATTACTGTCAGTATAATGGTCGTGGAGCATGTCTAGCAGAATGAATAAAGCTCTGTAATTGCTCCTTTCCACAGATGGGAGCAGAACTGTCAGCTTTTCGTCCTTAAATTGTCTTTCTAACACGGTTCTTCTTCCCACGTAACACTAATGTCAGCAGCTGTGAAGTCTGGTTGCTCCAACCAGGCTGAGTATTATAAGAGGACAACAGCTGTGACATGCTTTTTCTGTCTTCCTTTGAGAGCCAAAAACCCCAAAGGAAGCAAATGTGCCTTTCTGAAGGCTTCAGAGCTCATGGCTGTCATTGAGTTCCTTTTAACTAATTGGGAAGACTCAATAAAATTTAACTGAAGAGAGGAAACCCAACCTTCAGCAGCACCAGTAGCAGAAAGGCTAGCAGCACAAAACATGCTTAAATATTTCTTCATGCTGGAAGTCAGTGACAAAGGGACATACCAGGTATCATGTGGCACTTCTGCACTTGGGAAGGTGTGGGGGCATTCATATCCGTAATCTTGGCTAAGATGGAAATGTGGCATTACTAACTACTAACATCTGTTTTTCCCTTCTTGAAATAAGAAGCTGAAAAGAGTGAAGATTCTTCTGGATCAGCTGGGCTGTCAAGCTTGCATCGGACCTACAGCCAGGATTGCAGCTTCAAGAACAGCATGTATCACGTAGGAGATTATGTGTACGTGGAGCCTGCTGAAGCCAATTTGCAACCTCATATAGTCTGTATTGAGAGGCTGTGGGAAGATTCAGCTGGTAAGGATGTCTTTGCTATAGGAAAACATTATGGTGAAAGTTCTCCTTATTGCTATTTAAAACTTCCAGTTTGAGCTTTTTCTGTGCAGAAGTATGTGTGGAATGCTGAATATTTTTCTTGTTTCTGAGTTGCTTTGTTCCAAAGAATGTTACAAATATGAAGTTCTTGGATTAGCACATGCTTTTTTTGTTGTTCCTCTCTACCTACCTTTAAATGGTAAGTGTCCCAGAGAATAGGGTCTTTGAAGTGGGATGGGATCCTTGTAACTTAGGTGCAGAACACCAATAGGGGTTTTCTGTGCTGAGAAATCTGAACCAAAGTTGGGCACATTTAACCGCAAATATTCCACAGAACAACTCGGTTTCAGAACTTGCCTTTGTTAAATTTCAGAATTGAGCTGAGTCTTGCATCTCCTAAGCCAAATCAAGCCATAACAAGTACGGTCTTGTTTTTTTCTCATCAGTGATGCCTTCTGTTTGCAGCAGGTACTTAAGTGTAAGAAAAGCTAGAGATATGGCAAGATAAGCACAGTGCACTCTCAGCAATCCTGGAAAGTACAGTTGCTCAGAACTACAATGGGGTATAATGCAGTTAACCATTTTGGTTGCACTTTTGTTTTTAAGGGGATGGAACAAATGTGCTATAAGGGCAGATTAAAGAGACCATGACTTAAATTTGGAGGGGAGAAATGTAAGGCAGGATATAATGAAGGTCTGCAAAATTATGAAGTGGATAGATAAACTGAATGCAGAAATACCGTTCAAGAAATCCACCAATGCCAGAGTTAGAGGGCACTCATTGACACTAATAAATCAGACTGAAACATGTGAAAGTGTTTGGCTTTTTAATAGAGTGGGTAGTGAGCCTCCTGGCTTCCCCAGGAGCTTGTGGAGGCTGATTATATCAGCAGGCTCAAAAAAGGGTGAGACAAGTCCATGTACAACAGGTCTAAACCAAATAATGAAGGGAATAAGCAGCAAATAATAGCTTGATAAAGAGAACAGTTCTCTAGCACCCCTAATGCAGTGACTGTAGGAGTGGGTATTGATCTAATGCGTTCCTGTAATAGCCTGTCATGCTCACTCACTTGGATGCAGTGTATTTAGGTAGATGGACCATTGGCCAGTCGGACGTTTCTTACATTGATTTCTCTGTGATGGAGAAAGCGAATGGCACTTTTTATTCTGGCTCAGCCTACAGGTTACAGATATTCTTTGATTTTGCAAAAATTGTGCATATTTGTATCTTCTTTGTGAACCATCATGAACAATTTGAATTTGTCACAGTATAACGTGGAAGAAATAGTTCTTAAAATCCTTGAAACCAGTTGTCCAAGGCTCCGCAAATAATCAGGTGATTGTTGTGTAGACTCTGAAGCTATTTCAGGGCCTGAGAGTCAAGATTTATAAATAAGAACTGATTCCTCCTTTGTTTTCCTGAGTCAGATGTTGTACAGGAAGAAACAGTGAGCAGGCTTTTTAAGCAACTTGGTTTTTCTTACCTGCAACAGTTAAGGAATCTTGTCCTGTTCTAAAACAGTTTGCTGTCGGTATAAATGACTGCATGACTATTTGATTAATCAGTCAATCTATAGTTGTTTTATTCTTGCTCATGCGCCAGAGAATATGCTATTTTCCTTTTTTTTCTCTTTCTTCTTTAAAGGAGAGAAATGGCTCTATGGGTGTTGGTTTTATCGGCCAAATGAAACGTTCCATCTCGCAACACGAAAGTTCTTGGAGAAAGAAGTTTTTAAAAGTGATTATTACAATAAAGTTCCCGTTAGCAAAATTTTAGGCAAATGTGTGGTCATGTTTGTCAAGGTGAGAGACTGTTCAGACTAATTTTTAAGTAACTAATATGTTTTCTGATATTTTCTTGAAGAGCTGTAGGCATTCTAACATCGAGACGTTCTACTAATACTTAGATGAAATAGGACTTGCTCCTGTATACTGTTTGTATTCTTCATTTGCTGCATGGGGTAAGCAGGTCACCCATATTATGGTGTTTTCTGCTGGTTGCTTTGTAGAATCGTGTGCTTGTTAGGTAAGTAGCTAATGGATTTTTCAAAGCATGTAGTAGAGAAATTGCTGGTAATTTAAAGGTTCCCATGAAAGCATGTGGGTTGAGGTTTGGCAGAGAGGAAGGCTTGAATGGCTTGGTAAGAGAATGAAGTCTTCCATCTCTTTCTCAAGTTTGATTCCACATTGTCCTTGTGCTGAGGATTTTTGCGATGAGGAGGTAGGCCTGTTTGGCAACAAGCTTATCTCTGCCAGTTTTCTTAAGGTACTGTGTTTGTGTGATGCAAAGCACTACAACTGCTGGCTACATCACACTGTATCACAGTCACATATCAATGAGCATGGAACTTACTACTTCCTGTCCTCAATTTGGTGATCATGTCCTCTTTCCAAGTCAAAGCTCAGAAGTCTTGTAAAGCTAGTTTTAGGCTGAAGATCTTGTTAATGTACTGGTTTGGTAAACCCAACTTTTCTCACGTGACAGCCTGTATTTCATTTAGCTGTTTCTCTAAGGGTGGGATTTCTTCTTGTTTGCTTTTAATTTTTAATATAACTTGGATGTCAAACTGGAAGAAAAGAACTCAGCAGAAAGGCTTTATCAGTCTAAAACGTCTTCTGATAGAAACATACAAAAAACCCAGGAAGCATGAGAGGGAGTTCACTGTGTGACTGTGCTGTATGCCTTTGTGTTGCTGAAATAGTTCATGTTTTTTCTTCAACCTGCAGGAGTATTTTAAGTTGTGTCCTGAAAACTTCAGAGATGAGGATGTGTACGTCTGCGAGTCACGTTACTCTGCAAAGACAAAATCTTTTAAAAAGATTAAACTGTGGACTATGCCTGTGAGCTCTGTAAGGTTTGTCCCACGAGATGTGCCCCTGCCTGTGGTCCGTGTTGCTTCTGTGTTTGCAAATACAGACAAAGTAGATGAGGAGAAACAGTCTGAATCATTGGAGGACAGTAAGATGGGAGAAAGCGTCCATCTTGAAAAGGTATGTGGGATAACGAGTGGAACATGAATTATGTTTGACAGATGAAGAATGACAAAATACGAGCCCTCCTGACTTCAGTTTCACGGTATCCAGATATAGTAAAATATAAATAAATGTCTCAGTTAGAAATTGTGTTACACCCGTTTGTAAACAAATACAAACAAAATACAAATTGACAAGACAGAAAATAAACTGTGTATGTATTTGCTAGATTCTGCAAATGCCTTTCTGTGCTGTTTAGCCTGGAGAAGAGAAGGCTGCGTGGAGACCTCAGAGCAGCCTCCCAGTATCTGAAGGGGGCCTATAGGGATGCTGGGGAGGGACTCTTCATTAGGGACTGCAGTGATAGGACAAGGGGTAACGGGTTCAAACTGAAACAGGGGAAGTTTAGATTGGATCTAAGGAGGAAATTCTTTCCTGTGAGGGTGGTGAGGCACTGGAATGGGTTGCCGAGGGAGGTTGTGAGTGCTCCATCCCTGGCAGTGTTCAAGGCCAGGTTGGACAGAGCCTTGGGTGAGATGGTTTAGTGTGAGGTGTCCCTGCCCATGGCAGGGGGGTTGGAACTGGATGATTTTAAGGTCCTTTCCAACCCTAACTATTCTATGTTTTTTCACACTTCAGAAAAGAAAATTACACTTTTACTGTAAAACTTGCCTTAAACCTAAAGAATTAGTAGAACTAATAGCCTAATCTTAGTTCATTGCAATGCTGAAATGCTTTATTTTGTAGTATTTCAATGTCCATTGTAGCTAGGCAAGCATATGCAATATGTAATATTCTGTTCTTTGTGACCCATTTATGATTGATAACCAAGTGTTTTATTGCCAAATGTTTTAAGAATATTTCTCTCCGCCATACTGAGTAAAATGTTTTATTTTGTTGTCTTTATAGGCATAAAATAAATAAATTCAAATAAATGTATTAAATTCAATTTAATTAAATTTATCTAAAATAAATGTAGAGCCATAAAAAGTCCAAACATACCATCATAAAATAAATGCACTTCATGCTGAGTTCTTGAACAGGACCTCAGAACAGAATACCCAGCACACGAATCATCAGCTTTAATCAGATACTTTATTATCATTATTGTATTTATTCGTATCGTGACAAAAGGAGTTGTTTCTGTCGAGAGACTGAAAACTTGTGGGGGCCTTTTCTTTCCACACACTGGGGAGATAGCCTGTGTTTTCACTGGCTTTCTGAAATCCGTGTCAAGTCAAGACAAGTGTGTCAAGTGAGGCACAGCGTGATTTTTGACTTAAGAAGTAAGAATTTTAATAGTGCAGATGTTATGAATTTGCAAGTAATACAGAGAGTGTTCATATTCTTGTTTATGAGAGTTGAATCATTAGATTTGAATCATTAGATTTCTTTATACATTAACTTGGCCTACTCAATACTTGCTTCTTAAACATGTTACTGTGCTTTAAAACAAACCATCAAAATAAGCTGATATGGCTTGGCCAGTAGAACAGAAAAGGACCTGTAAATTGCTGTTCTGGCAAAAATGCAGCTTTGTGAATTAAGAAAGCTTGCAGCATATATGGAGGGTATCTTTGCCTTTGCTGTTTCATTTTTAAATTACAAGGCCCCTCACATTCACCTGTACAGCTCTGTGTAGTGTTTACCCATTACTGGTAACCTAAAGGTAGAGCAATCTTTTACTTGCACCTGGTCTTTTTATTTGTGTGGTTGGTTTTCTTTCTTCCGCAAGTTTCTCAAAGCGTGTTCTTCTGCAGGACAAAGAAGATGTTCCAGTAGAAATGTCCAATGGAGAACCTGGTTGCCATTACTTTGAACAGCTTTGCTACAATGATATGTGGCTTAAGGTTGGGGACTGCGTCTTCATAAAATCGCACGGGTTAGTGCGACCTCGAGTAGGAAGGTAGGTGCACCTTCTTTATTTGCAGTTTGCCTCTATAAAAATAACTTGACCAAAAGATGGGCTTGTTGCAAAAAGTGTAACGGAGGATGGGGAAAAAACATCTCCTGAATGAAGCTAGATGTTACGAACTCTTAAAAGACTGAGATGGAAGTTAAGCCACCTAATGAAAAGGTGATACAGTTGAATAAGCTGTTCTTCTCTACTTGTTTTTTACTAGCAGTCTTCCTGAACAGTGTAGTGCATCCAGCTGTCTCATTTCTGAGGGATGGCCTTTCATTTATGTCAGAGGTTTGGTTTTCTTTCCAGGATTGAAAAGATGTGGGTGCGCGATGGAGCAGCATATTTCTTTGGTCCAATCTTTATACATCCTGAAGAAACTGAGCATGAACCAACTAAAATGTTCTACAAGAAGGAAGTGTTTTTGAGTAACTTGGAGGAGACCTGTCCGATGACTTGCATTTTGGGTAATTATTAACAACTTTAAATCCAATGGACACCCTTTTTCTTTTCCTATACAATCTGAAGTGATTTACAGCTATGTGTAGGCTTGAATCCAAGAACTCTATTTTCATATTGAGTGGGGGAGGAGACCTTATTCAGTCCATTTCTACTATTCTTTCCTATCTTTGGGACCTGTAATAATAAGTTTCACTGTAAGGAAGCCCTTTCTATAAGGGAGTTACATGTATGATACCAAAGTGAGCATTGTTTGCAACCGGAGAACAGAAAACTCCATTATTCTCACTTATTAATGTAATTATTCCGGTGTGTGTTAGCTGGAAAGTTGGTCCTGAAGGAGGCTGAAAATCGGTTTGTTGCGTGAGACGATGACTGCGTACTTTGTTTTGTAGTTATGATGCAGTGCTAAAAATAGTTAAGTGACTGCTGATCATGGGGTTTTGCTGTTTTGCAGGTTTTCGTGTTCTTTAAACAAATCCAAAAGCTGCATTAAGTTCATGTAGGCTTCTCGTGAGTGGCATTATTTGATCAGGGTATCGATTGGTGTATTTTCTATAGATGCAATACCAGGGAGCAGCCAGACTTACAACACTGGCAAAACCTTGAGTTTCCACACTTTCTGTAAAACGTCTGCAGGCGTGGCTGCCTTCTTACCCAGCTCTTTCCTTTCTGCAGGAAAGTGTGTAGTTCTGTCGTTCAAAGACTTCCTCTCCTGCAGACCAACAGAAATCTCTGAAAACGATGTTTTCCTTTGTGAGAGCCGCTACAATGAAAGCGACAAGCAAATGAAGAAATTTAAAGGACTGAAGAGGTTTTCACTCTCTGCAAAAGTTGTAGATGATGAAATATACTATTTTAGGTAAAAATGGAATGGGAATGAAGGGGGGTCACCTGAGCACTCTTCTGTATTGTGGTGGTCTAACTCTGGTTGGCAGTTAAGCCCCCACCCAGCCACTCGCTTACCTCTCCTGCAGTGGGATGGGGGAGAGAATCATAAGGGCAAAAGGAATCAAGGCTGTGTCAAGGTAAAGACAGTTCCATAAGTGAAGCAAAGCTGCACGCACAAAGAAAGCAAAATAAGGAATTAATTCACTGCTTTCCATAAGTGGCAGATGTTTAGCTGTTTCCTGGAAAACAGGGCCTCAGGATGTGTAATGGTTACTTGGAACGACAAACAGCGTAGCCCTGAGTGTCCCCCTTTCTCCTGCTTTTCCCCAGCTTTAATTGCTGAGCTATGTCATATGGTATGGAATATTTCTTGAGTCAGTTTGGCTTAGCTGTCCTGGTTGTCTCCCCTCCCACCTTATTGCCCACCCCCAGCCTGCTTGCTAGTGGTGCAGAGTGGGGAAAAAAAGAGGCCTTGATGATGTGCCAACACTGTTCAGCAGAAACAGCCACATCAATGTGTTATCAACACTGTTGGGGTCACATATCCAAAACACGGCACCATCAGGCTACTATGCAGATAACTAACACTACCCCCGCTAGACTCAGTGTATATATATATATATACAAAAGACACAGTTGTAGGAGAAGATGGGTTGTGACTAATCACACTTTGGGAAGGAATTCGGATAACATCAGCCTTTTCATGGTCTTAATACCAGTGGATGTCTTATTTTTCTTCTCCTGACTTCAGGGAAAGTAGTTGCATTATCAGATTGATAAATTCTCCTGGATGTCTTTAAAATACTTCAGTATTCATTATGGGTAACAAATAGCTTTTCAGTTTATGAACATTGATATTAATAACAATATTATGCTCTAACTAAAGTAAAATTTAAAATCCAAGGAAGATGTGGTGCTGACTGCCTCCTGTCAAAAAAATGGAGTATTTGCTGCTTTGAAATTCTAACTCAAAAAAAATAAGTAAATCCTTCAAAAAAGTGACTGAAATGAAACAGTGTCATGGACACTGAATGATTTCTGCTTAGTGTTCTGAAAGGAGGCACAGGCACAACCTAAGTCACCACTGTTCCCATGTTGTTCAATGGGGAAGGAAAACACTTCGGTTTTCTCTCCCAAAATATATGCTATCTCCTGTACTGGATGAGTATATTCTCATCTGCCTTTTTTCTTCCTCCTCCACCTTTCAGAAAACCCATAGTTCCTCAGAAGGAACCATCTCCTCTGCTGGAAAAGAAAATTCAGCAGCTAGAAGCAAAATTTGCTGAGTTAGAAGGAGGTGATGAGGACATGGAAGAGATGGGAGAAGAGGAAGGTGATATGACTGAAACACCTTCTATGCCTCAGCTTCAGGCCCCATTAACTAGTGAATTGGATATAATGCCTTATACTCCTCCACAGGTAAGGGTCTTCCTCGAGAAGCCTTTAAATATTCCATGTTCTTTTCCCAACCCAAATAAACAAAGAAACAGTAACATTTTATCATATACACATAAGAGGTTTATATTGCAGTTTATGAGACTATGGGATCAGCTGCATAGAGCAGTTTTGGCATACCCAATATGATATCCAGGTGACAATATTTAAGCCCATTAAAATATTTTTAAAGGAAATAATTTTTGTATGATACGTGAATGTTATTTCTCAGGAGTAGGTTTCCTATGATACTTGCTCAGAAGTGTCAAGTCCTTATATTGAAAATGAAGTTGGGATGTAAGGGGTTAATTACAATTCTCAATTTACCCAACACCCGTTTTTAAGCCCTTCCTTAACTTTTGAAGAGGTCTGGCATTTTGGGTGTTACAGTTTTGCTATGGTTTTAGAAAATGTTGTGCATCATCCTCGAAGGAAAAAAGTCACTTTTTTAGAACCAAGTTACCATTCTTACCTGGAAATAAAAACGTGTAAAAAATTTAGAAGAACTGGATGCCCTAGAAGTTTTAGTGTTAATTTTCTGATAAATGTAGAGAAAATAAAAGAGGAATTGTGTGTGGTTATATGCCACTTTAATGTGGAATGAGTCATAGCTGCTGCTTAACCGGGGGACTTTTGATCCCCTTCCCTCTCCTGCTGTGTTTCTTATACAAGCCCTGGTATTTATGTAACTGAGTATTGAAGCAGGGAGAGGAACTTCTTTAGCTGGTAATTAACCTTACCAAAAAAGCTTGTTTGCAACTGGATTAAACCCTTTATCTGTCTCATCATATTGCCACATCCAAGCTAATGCCAGCATTAAAGAGGCAATGGGAATTACCTGCTGGGAGCAGGAGGGAGTTTCAGACCCTTTTGTGACCAGCAGTTATGGATTTCTGCTGCATTACATTGACTGTGAAATGACAACTTCTTTGGTGAGTGAAGAAAAGCTGTGACCCCTGGATAGAAGTAACTGCCTTTGGATGTCATGAAGAAAGACTTCATGAAACTGAAGGCTTTAGCTGGGTTTGATGGTGGGGTTTTTGCCATGTGGGCAGACCACCAAATGCATTTTCCTGTGCGAGGCTGTTTCGCTGCTGTTGTTTTAATTTCATAGTGGTCAGTTTCATAAGGAGCATGAAAACTCTAGCAGGGTATTACAAATAGAAAGCATGTTACCAGCATTAACCAACCAATGTACCACTTCAGCAAGGGAAAGGTAACTTTTGAGGAATCAAATTATTATGTCATTAAGCACATGGCAGCTGCTGAAAGCAGTTTAAATGGGGAGCATTGGACAGTAAATGTGTCCAGCTGCCTTCTGCAGCATTCCGTGTCTTTTGATCTCCTTTGCTTTGTGTCTTTCTACATAGATGTATTTTGCCCAGATTCCCTTGAGAAGTTTTATTTAAATACTAATATATAATATCTCATTAAAAAAAGTTGATAGTTGCATGGGGGTTTTAAATTGTTTGTAATGGGACAGTCTTGCAGAGCTTTTAGGATAACTGGTCAGGCTCGACGGATATATCCAGCATATGTGTATATAGAATAGAATCATAGAATAGTTAGGAGTGGAAAACACCTTACGATCATCCAGTTCCAACCCCCTGCCATGGGCAGGGACACCTCACACTAAACCATCTCACCCAAGGCTCTGTCCAAGCTGGCCTTGAACACCACCAGGGATGGAGCATTCACAGCTTCCTCGGGCAGCCCATTCCAGTGCCTCACCACCCTTACAGTACATTTAGACAGATGTGAACTCTGAAGTGTAGAAATTGCAGTAAAAAAATCCCCAAACCACAAACAAACCAACCCCAAAACCAAATAAGGAAAACCGAAAGGGATCAATAGCAGTACAGGCTAAGAAGGGGATGGTGATACACAAGAGCCCTAGCAGATTCCTCACACTGCTGATTTGGAAACGAGGCATGTTGTGTCTGAGCTGGCATTTGTAGCACAGTTTAACTTTGCTGGAGATAGCACACAAATACACTTTCTTCTTCGGATAATGTGTTTTATTCATGTACCAAGTGAAAAGTGTCTCTTTAAACAGAGCTCCTGGGTAAAAGGTATGTGTTTCCTTCATCTTCTTTTAAATGTATGGAATTTTACTTAACAACTGCTAAACCCCAGAACTATTAAACTTTATTTTTTTTTTTCTCCTGTTAACAAAGAAGCTCTTGTACACCTAAGCATAGAAGAGTCAGGACAAGTGAATAAGTGGTATTGTGGGGCTTAACAAATAGGTGGATAATACTCTCCTGCTGCAGTTTGCTGTGAAGCAAGCCAAACCTAAAAAAGAAAAAGATGTGCAACTTAATTTATTGCTTTAGCAACATGGATGACAAAAGGCATGAAAAGGGTCCTTGTCTGTTTCTTCTCTTAACACATCTAGAACTGAATATGCAGTTGTCTGACTCAAATGCAGAAGATTTTGTTCATTTCAAAATGGTTGCATTGGAGATGTAAAAGAATGGGGAATACAAGAACTGAATTCAGAATTCTTGGTTTCTCAAGGTCCTGTTTGTCCTTCCAAACTGATGGGTAGGCTTTTACATTAGACCAAAACTGTTGCAAGCACTATAAAGGCAAAAGCAGCTTATAACCTTGCAGCTGTCTAAGTGCAGATGTATAAAAGACCAAATATATTACTGGATTTTCTTGTTCCTGAATTGTGAACGCTCCATCTGCCAATGTGGGCTTGCCTGAGAAGGCAGGATGAATCGTATGTACCCTGTGTGTCATCCCAGAACCTGTGTGGAGTTTTCTTTGCTTCCTCCATCTTAGAGACAAACCTAGAAGACTTCCTCCCCAAAAGACCAGTGTTGTCTTTAGGTTCCTAATGAAAGCATTAACGGTAGATTGCCGTTTGAAAATTAACACAGGGAAGCGTGGAGTGATGCACAAGTATGGCTCCAGTTTATCCAGTGCCCACCTTAAATTGATGAGCAAGAGTTCTTAAGCATCTTGATATTGCTGAAGCTCTGTTTTTTAGGTGAGAGAGGAGTGTTGGACTGTGGGGTCATAGTGGCAAGTAGGAGGAGTTAGTAACATGGCCAGAATTTCAGGATAGGAAGAAGAACGTTGCATATATTTTTCTTTCCTTTTTTCCCCACCAGGTATTTGGAAACAATTGCTCTTTTCAAGATGTGAGAAATTTGTAATGTTTGGGATTATGAGAAGGGCCTTTTGAGGGTTTTGGCATGATGAGACATTAGTGGAGCTTAGTGATCAGAGCATGGGTGAAATATGGTCTCCTGTGACAAATACAGGTGGAAGGAGCCTTCAGAAAGGGGCTTCCAGCTCTGGTATCTCAGTGGTTGTCAGAATAGGTGAAATTTTCTGATGGCTGGAAACATCAAGGAGCTCTCAACAGGAGCATCCACGGTGGGAAGAGCAAAGGAGCAGAATTTTTGTTAACCAGCAGCATCAGAGCGTGATGTGAACCTGTTGTGCAGGTAAACAGTGATCAGCAAAGCAGTGTTTGGTTTTACAGGGAGAAATGACTATATATGCGATGAGAGGGGAACACTAGAGAGAAAGGAAATCCTGGCAGGCGAAATAGAGAGCATTTAGGGATGAGAAGAGTGGAAGATGGAGCCTGGAAGAGTGGGGGTTGCAAAGGCTGAGGAAGAAATGGGGATGCATTTTCCTCAACTGCAGTGGCAAATAAAATGTTTTACTTAACTTGTGTTGGCAGTGTTTCTGAGCAGCGTAATGGGTGAAATCTGTGACATAACACAACTACTTTTGTTCTCTCCTGGCATTCCCAATAATCACTTATTTGCTACTCAGCCTTTCTTAGTCCCCTCATTCAGTTTGGAACGATCTTAGCTGGTAGTAAGCACTCTGTGTTGTTTTACTGGGAATTCTTAAAATCCGCAGTCATAAATGTGTGGAAGGGTTGAAAAGCATCAGAACGCTGTCATTTTCCATGGTTTTATTTTTCCCTGTGTACTTTTCGTGTGTACATACGCTTTTGTCATGCATCAGTAGTTGCAGTCTCTTTTTAGGGGCTGTAAGGTAGGATGTTCCTTGTGCAAATAAGTTCAACTAGGAATATCTAAAAGTACTATTTCTCACAGCTTTGAGTTTTGTATGTCGAGAAGCTTCTCTTTTGTACACTTGTGGTCATAACTGCTTTTTCTCACAGTCCACTCCCAAGTCTGTTAAGGGCAGCACCAAGAAGGAGGGATCAAAAAGGAAGATCAACATGAGTGGGTACATCTTATTTAGCAGTGAGATGAGAGCTGTGATTAAAGCTCAGCACCCAGATTACTCCTTTGGAGAGCTCAGCAGGCTTGTAGGAACTGAATGGAGAAACTTGGAAGCAACAAAGAAAGCAGAATATGAAGGTAAATAAAAACTAAGATGCTAAACTCTTTTCTGCTATTTTTCTTTCTCAATGCGTTCATTGCTGTTATTCAGATGACAGGTTTAATAAAAGAAGATACTTATTTTTGTGTTCTGAACGTACCTTAAAGAGAAGTTCATATTGAGAGATGACTGAAGAGGAGCAAAGAGCATGTTTAAGTTATGTAGTGCACAACTGGTAATTTAAATGTCTTTGCCACAAATAACCAAATGAACAGAAACCAAGAAAATGGGGCAAATTAGAAGTAAAGGAGTGAGAAGTCCCTGGGCTGTAAGTCAGTTGGAAAAATGGTTTGTGAAAGCTTCCTTAAAGGAGGACTGGGGGGGAATTTTGGACAAGAAGCTCTTCAGAGTTGTAGCATCAGGTAAGCAAGGCTTAAGTTGACTGGGAAAGAGTTCTTTGATTAACAATACCTAGAGTCCTAAAAAGCTTTGATAGAGTAAAGTCAAGGATACACAATCTGTTATGATACTGTAAATATGACCTCTGTGGTTCAGCTTCAGATTGAGTCAACTGTTGTAACTGATTTTATTGAGATTTCATATCCTGAAGTAAGCCTGAGACAGGCGTGAGACACTTTAGACCCTTCTTTCCCCCCCCTTCTTTCCCCCCCCTTCTTTCCCCCCCCTTCTTTCCCCCCCCTTCTTTCCCCCCCCTTCTTTCCCCCCCCTTCTTTCCCCCCCCTTCTTTCCCCCCCCTTCTTTCCCCCCCCCTTCTTTCCCCCCCCCTTCTTTCCCCCCCCCTTCTTTCCCCCCCCCTTCTTTCCCCCCCCCCTTCTTTCCCCCCCCCTTCTTTCCCCCCCCCTTCTTTCCCCCCCCTTCTTTCCCCCCCTTCTTTCCCCCCCTTCTTTCCCCCCCCTTCTTTCCCCCCCCCTTCTTTCCCCCCCCTTCTTTCCCCCCCCTTCTTTCCCCCCCCCTTCTTTCCCCCCCCCTTCTTTCCCCCCCCTTCTTTCCCCCCCCCTCTTTCCCCCCCCCCTTCTTTCCCCCCCCCCTTCTTTCCCCCCCCCCTTCTTTCCCCCCCCCCTTCTTTCCCCCCCCCCTTCTTTCCCCCCCCCCTTTCTTCCCGATACTGGTCATTGTGTTTCAGCTTTTATTTGATTAAAATAAAATACAGGTGATCCTTAACAGCAGGCCCTTACCCAAGACATAAACATTGGCTTAACATCCATAGTTATTACCCTAGTTAATAATGTCTTCCAATAATGTCTACTTAATAATGACTTCCAATGCAAAAGCCATTTTTTAAGCAACTGTTGCATTTTTATTGGCAGGAAATGCTACTTCTGGTAGGGAAGTTTCACCCCCCTGGGTAGTTATTGCCCAATTAAGTTCTAACTTTGCTTTTTAAAAAGGAGATTCAGTAGGTTTTTTGCATACTCATAACTTAAAGGCAGCTTTGATTTTCAAACTAGATGTTTGCATGCTATCACTTTCCACTCTCAGCCACCTCAGTCCTTTCTGAATTTGCAGTAGTACCTCTTTGCACTTCTGGAGAATAATATAGCACCCCTCAACTATGTGCAAGTTTTCTTTGCAATTGCTGTGAAGGGAAATGGTAATGCTCTTTTTTTGTAAAAATACTGTGGCCTTTTTTCCTTTTGTAGGTCTCTTTTACACCCCTCCAGGTGCATGTGGTATCTTTTTATTGGTAGATCTTTCCTTGCAGCCTAATTCTTAAGCACTAGGATGGCTAGCATGTCACTGCTTCCTATCTTAGAGCAGCTTGACATCGTGCATTTCTGCAGGAAGCCACTGATTGTCCACTGTGTTAATGACTGCCTGTGTGCTTCCGATTCAATCCTCTTTCTCAATTAAAATGCTCCAAAGCTTTTGGCCTTCATTTTCTTTAGCTTGGTGTCTTCCCAGAACTAGACCTGCCTTTGGTTTTTGAGGGGTTGGGATGGGGTTACAAAGTGTGCAAACTGTGTTTGCTTGCCAGGTGTGAAAGGAGAGAAAGTCCTCTCCTTCCACTGTGATGAGTCAAAATTCACGTGCTCCCTAGCGTGGATGTGCACCAGAAAGCAGGGAGCAGGCATAGTTTGACATCTCAGTGAAAAAGTGCTTGTCCATGTTTTGCTAAAAAGTAGTTTGCCTTTTAGATCCATTTTGATCCAGTGAAAATTTCATTTGATGTATGTGCAGGGCAATAGTTGTCTTTTAGCAATAGTTGAGCAAAGAATAGGCTGTGTTGGAAATGCCTGCATGGCTAAGTGAACTGTGGGAACTCCTCAAAATAAAATAATGCATGGGATTGAGGTAAAGGCCTGTTGTAAGGAAAAGCTCTGTTCAAAGCAGAAGGTCTCTTTCCTGGTGCTTGAGATGTGTTAGAAATGTTGTTTGAATGATCTTAAGTCCTGGCCTAAACGATTTGGGTTTAGTATTGAGTGTTAGGATGAATGCTGGAGGCTGAACTTTCAGATACCTGCTGCAGTTCCCTTTGGCAGTGACATTTCATCTGCTAGTTCCATGGCAATCACAGCATGGATAGAGTCTAGGTAAAACTCGAGTACTGTGCTGCGTCAGGCCCTTCTTCAAACCTCAGCACTCTGAAGTCTGGTAAAGCTGATCACTAACAGTAATTTCTCATTCATCAGAGTGTCTCCAGAGCTTTTGCTTTTGTCTGACCGTTTTTTTTTAGCTGGCCAGAAGCAGGTGAGGGTCAGAACAGCTGCTTCATCTTTTCCCCAAATACTTGCTCTCCTCTGAAGAGGATTATCTGATAATCTAATTTTTCTGCTTCAGTATCTACCCTTAAAATGTCTTGTGTGTTTTGTGCTCAATCACATATAAGTTGCCTGTAGTCAGTTTAGGGGTTTCTGTGCGTCGTCATCTCTTCCTGAAGTGACAGAATGAAAAGAAGCAAGTTGCCTTTGGAAATGAAACTGGTCTTTCAGTGTATGGAAGTTGTGCTAGAAGCTGCACAAACAGGTTCTGCAGGAAACAAATGTGTGATAGACATTTTAAGTCATACCCTAGAGATAATGAGTAACAATGGCAGGATGCATAACTTAATCTCCTTGATGAACTACTTCTTAGCCTTTGTTTGGCAGAGGACCTTGATTGCTGGTTTAGTGGCAGTTTTCATCTTTCACCAACTGCAAGAAAACTTCTAGCCCTTCGTTCACTGTTACTAAGATTTGCCTGTGTATGCTGCATTCATTATTCTTTGTTGTTCCTCATTGCGTCAGTCAGATACAACGTTCAGAGTGAACAAATCAGCTACTTGCATGCTCCCAAAGCACCTTGAGTGGGCATTCAGTAGATCTCCTTTTTTTTGTTTGCTTGGGTTTTTGTTGTTTTTTTTCTTTCTTCTTCCCATCACCCTTTGCCCTTCCCTTAATATCAAATTGTCCTCTGGTCAGATTCCCCTGCAGTAGATCTTTTGTTCTTGCAGTCACAGTGGGAAACTTGGTTGAGATAATGACCAGATTCATCGTACAAAGGACACACATGACCTCCAGTGAGCAGCACAATGTGAGTTAGACATCTTCAGAAAAACAAAAGGAATAATAGCTCAAAGGGGACCAGATGGGGAAACTGACAGAAAAAGGCAGAGAAAAGTATTTTTGGTTTATCAAACTGCTGCTTGTTATGTTCCAAACACTAAGGACCTCTCTACACTAGAGAAGCTTCCCAAATGCTTCCCAACTTTGCCACCACTTTTCAGCTGCATCAGTAGTAAAATCTACGGGGAGCACGAGAATAAAGGGGCCACCAGCTGGCACTGCTGTCTGCTATTTGCATCTTACTTTAGGGCACATCTGGTAGACCTGGTGCATAAAATCCCTTCAGCAGCTGGTAGCGGATCTGTATGAGAGCTGCTGGCCTTGGCTGCAACTGGTTTAGCTGAGCCAGTGGTGTCAAAAGAGGAAACGTTTTGCCTTGTTTTCCAAGTGCGGACCGAGCCTAGTGCTGGACTGCTGCTTCATGTTGGTAACACTGGTGTTATTATCAAATTTGTTCTTTGACTTTAAAAATTTTGATTTTATTATTTATTTATATGAATTATTTATATTTTTTTTTAGAAAGAGATAAAACTTTGTGGAATATTTTTGATGAAAGGTTCTCTAAAAGTCTTAGCTGCAGCCACATGAAACCAAATCATATGCTGTATAAAACAAAAAGATTCATCTGTTCTACTTTATATTTGACTAAACTATGCCAGTGTTTGACTAGTCCTTTTTAATGAACAGATAATATTTTGAAATTCTGGGTTACAAAACAGAACTGAAAATCTAAAATACTTTTACAGAGCGGGCAGCTAAAGTTGCTGAGCAGCAGGAGAGAGAGCGAGCAGCACAGCAGCAGAATTCCTCCCCCCGGGCAGGCACTCCTGTCGGGGCTCTTATGGGGGTGGTGCCGCCACCAACACCAATGGGAATGCTCAATCAGCAGTTGACACCCGTTGCAGGTAAAACGTAGGAGCTATGACCATTTTTTCCTCATCCACTATATCAACCCCCTTCATAACTCTGAACACTCTCTTGGGTCACTTTGTTCTTACGGAAGAAAAGGCTCAACCTCTTCAGTCTTTCTTCATAATGAATATACATAACGGCAGAGGTAGCCTGGTAGTCCCATGTTACTTGTTCCAGTAGTGAGTAGCCTGTTGGAAACGAAGGGGAAAAGGGCCCTCCTTGTGCAGTTGTCCTGTTCTGTTTGTGGGCAGTCGTGTTTATTCACTCCACTTTGCAGAGTTCATGTTTAGCCCTTGTAACGTGGCAGAAGGGGAGTGAGCTGAATACTTCTCTAGTGCATGCAGCATCGGTGGAAGTGGTAAAGTAGGAGGCAAATTATTATTTTTGGGTTTACTGTCAGAAAGGTGAGAGGCAAACAGAATCCAGGTCTGGTTTTAAATCCAAGCAAAGGCTTTACAGCATTGCTGATCAGACAGCAGTAAGCAGAGCAGACTAGGATCTAGAACCATTGCAGAAACAAATACAGAATGCCGCCATTGCTGGTTTAATCAGCTGATTTTTCAGGTTAGAACAGAGCTTGGAGAACTCTTCCACGAGGTCCCTGCTGCTCGGTGTTGCACTCATTACTCTTCGTTATCTGACTTAAGTTCATAGGGGGTATACTTGGAGTAACTATTTCCAGGTTCAGATCTGAAGACAGTGTACTCCACTGGAGATTCGTGTATGAGAATCAGCCATACATCGGTGAGAAAATGAATTGGCTCTGACCAGATAGGTTCAAAGAAGACCTAGTAGGTTTTCTTTTCCCCCATTTTTAATTAAAATAATTAATTACTTCAGTGAAGGTCAAAATAGTGCCAAGTAGGTAAAAATGAGCATTTGGAGGGGGTTTTGTTTTGAGTTTGGGGTTTTATTTTTAACTTTCCCTTAAGGCATTCCAATTATTCCATATATTCTTTTGTCATTTTTCTTTCCCATCTAACAGGCTGTGGCTGTATTTAGAGCTGACAGCCTGAAGCGTTTTTCATCACGGTCTCTAAATCCCTTTTCAGTAAACAGGCTGCATGGATGTTTAAACTGAAGGCACATTCCTTATTTGGTTCATGGTCTCCAGATGACAAAGCATTTGTTTACGCTGCCTTGCACTTTTCTTTTGTGTTTTTTTTCACTTTGTTCTTGCTAGTTTTCCTCTGAACTGTTTGCAGTTGGTGTGTGGGTTTGTGTGTTTGCACGTCTGTGCATATATTAAGGAAAAGGGGGAAAAAAAGGTTCTCTAGTGCTGATCTCTTTTGTGAGTAACCTACCTCAATCTAGAATATGTCGAAATGTCATCCTCTTGTGGTTGTGTTTCCCTGGTTTGGTTCTTGGCTTTTTGGCATTGAGTCACTTTTCCTATTTTTGGAGGTAGGTGCTGATGGGCAATAATACTATAAACACTTCCTTAAAGCTTTTCAAAAGATGTGTCCTGCAGACTACAGATGCTAACTTACTTCCTGTGGCAGGCTCCTCAAAAGCAAGCCTGTAATTAAGATCATCATCTTATGCAGGTGGTTAAACATTCAAGTCTCTTCACTTCAACATTGAGAAATACTTCCTTAAAGCAGGTGATCAAGTGGATCTTTTTAAACTCTTTCTATTTTTGTGTCTCATTTGAAAAACAGTGTATTTCATCTTTTGGTTTCCACAAGACTTACTTGAAAGTATCTTGTTCTGTTGAGACCTCTTTCACATCCTTCTCCATCATTTGATCGCTTGTCTTGAATTCAGAGAACTTCTCCATCACAGTCGTTCATGGAACTTCTTTATGGCCCACAAGTCCAAGAGATCTGGATGCCTTCCGAGATGCTTTTTTCTTGATGTGCAGTGCTCTAGTTTCTTTTAAATCTAGGCATTCAAAAGTTTGTTTCATCTTACACTGTTGTAGTAAAAACTGGGAGAACGTAAATCAGAGCTGTGGGAGCTGGACATAGTTTGCTCATGTTTACTATTGTAAAATCAAAGTGGTAACTTACACTTGGGGTATGAAAGTGGCTGCTCCTACAATCTTGTGATGAGCTACAAGAACAGATTTCTCATGGAGATTTGATGACAGTTTTATTAATGCAGCTAGTTGTTGAGTATTTCACTTGGAAATGTAGAAATAAGCTTTCATGATTGATAAATATGGGTTTGTTTCATTGGGCTTTGTTTTGGTTTGTTCGTTTTAAAGCTTCAGAAGAATATGTAAATGCATTGAAGATGTGATTGCAGCTCGGGCTGCACTGAAAGTACCAGGCAGTAGCTACATCCCTTTTTGTTGGTTTTCTTCTTTTACTTTTTCCATTAGAAATACGAATTTCATGGTGTTAATAAAGAGGCACAAATGAAATAGGTACCAAAGACCTTCGTAATAAGTGTCAGTCTAGGTGTCCTGTGGGGAAGGAAGGTTTGAGGGAGATCGGTTCTTTATTTTCTTGTTGTTTGCTCCATGTGAAGCTTTGGAATGTCAGGTTTCTCACCTTTGTAACTCTTCCTGGGGAAGGGACAAATTAAGCTTGTTTTTGTGGAGCTGCTCGATATATTTCAGTCCTAGGCTTGTGACAGCTTTGTTTTCAGTCAGAGCTCATGTGAGGTTTTAGCCAGTCTTATTCCAGAAACCCCTGTTCTGAAAGGTTCTTGTATGTGTTACTCGGAATGTGGCAAACACTCAGGCAGTTCCTTGGCACAGACTGTAGAAGCCCCAGCAGTTTTGCATTTCTAAACTTACCTCATCTCTCTCGACCTGCTTCTGTCCGCTGTCATCTTTTCATTGTCTTTCCAACCCCTTTGCTTGGTTACCTGACAACACATCCATTTAAATCAAAAAGCCTAGAAAACAAGCATAGTACGAGCAAGGTATGTTCCAGGACCTAATAAAAATAGTGCAGCTAGATTGTGTAGGTTCACCTGATGGATAGCAGCAAACCTGAGCTGAAACCAGAATAATGCAGAAAAGTGAATTTATAGCAGCAGCACAATACTGTCTTCCTCGTAGCACTGATTTTCCTAGAAAGACACCTTGAAGAGATCGACAGGGAAATTCTGTGAGGGGCTGCAGGTGCTCCTTACAAGTCCTTGTACTTAGGTCTAGTGCTGTGAGTGTAAGTTACTGCAGCCCAGCACATCCAGTGCTGTCTGGTTTCAAATCTGAGTTACTTTCTCAGTTCATACTGAAGATGGTTTAATTAAAATCACCCGTCACTGCCATTAGTTTTAAGTATGCGAATGCTGCAGGGCTTTTGTGTGTTCATTTTGCATATGCACTGCAGAAAAACGTGTGGGATTTTACTTCTATTCTAGTTGGGTCTGGTCTCTGAGCTAGCCCGCATAGCAGGGCTGTGCGTGAAGCCTGTGTGGGTAGTGTTGCGTTTGTAATCTGTATGCAGATGCAGAGCTTTAAGCTGTATTAAAATCGCTTGCGTTAGTAACATTTAATTGTGGCCGAACGTATTCCTTGTGTTAACATACCTGAATATTCAGCATTTGTTGCCCCGTAAGAAGCATACAGATTCACTAAATACTAATTCATCCGAAGTATAGTGCTCCATATTTACAAAGTTTTTTGTTAATTTTTAATTTGTGTTCATTTTTGCACGATACTAATTGTGGTATCGTCTTGCTGTACTAAAGGTGCTTTTTCTTTTTTTTTGTGGGTAGCGCATGTCTTACTGTGTAGATCATATTGCATGTTATTGATGCATGTTTGAAATTTGTTGTGTCCTTCAAGGCATGATAAGTGGCTATCCACCGGTGCTGCCACCTTTGCAGGGCCCAGTTGATGGCATTGTTAGCATGGGCAGCATGCAGCCACTTCACCCAGGGGTGCCCCCACCCCATCAACTTCCGCCAGGTATGCCAGGCATCCCAGGCATCCCACCACCCGGTAAGAATGTCATCCTCATTCACTCCTTATTTCATTTTCATGTACTTGCTGTTTAACCAGTTGTTACAGATATTGTCTGCAGCTTATTTTGGTCACAGCTTTTGTTTCTGAACATTGCAGGTTTGTTTAACTGCAGTGCACACCACGCACTGCTGAATGTATGAGGTATATGTAGAATGGTGTCAGAACAGCATGTCCAGTAAACCAGCAGGGAAGGGTTACTGGAGAAACATAACGCTGCTCCAGCCAGAAAACCTGACAATAGTGCTTGAGTTTATCAGAGAGCTGAAAAGCTGAAACCAGCCTGTTCATACCCTTGAACAATGAACAGCATCCTTCCTCTCCTCCTGTTTTTATTTAAAGTGGGCTTACAAATCAAATTTATTGCTCTCATTCCTTACTGAACTCTTTTTCAATATGTTGATGTTTATTAGTAGTCAGACTGCACTTAAGTGAACCTGGTCGTGTAAGACCCCTTGGCTTCTGGGACACTGATGTGTTATTATGAACCAGTGTTCAGATGAAACCTTGTTGCTAGAACAGTAAGTGGAAACTTTTGGGAATAGGGTAAATTCAGTACACTACTGTGGCCAAATTTTGAATTAATTTTTGAGAGCATATCTGTTACACATTTCCTATTTTATTGCCACACGTTTGATGAAAAGTGAGGCTGAATGAAAACTAAACATTTTCTCCAGCGTTAATGCCATTAACATGTACCCATTATGGGGCAGAAAATGTTCATTTGCCATCTGATCCTGTTTTCTTTCAGTTTTTATCTCTGATAACTCATGTACCTGTTCAGAAGTTGTGCATCCCATATGTTCAAATTCTAACTGAATTTGTTCAGCAGTTAAACGAGCTGTGGGCAAAAGTGGTCTCGTTTGCCTACCCCAACCCCACTTACAACTGTGTTTGTCAGAAGCTCTGTTAAGACTTTTTTTATGTCAATTGCTTTAGGTTGGGTTGTTTTTTGGTGGCGTGCTTGGTTTTCACATCACCCATCAGTACGAGACGGGCAGCTTCGCTGGTGTGTAAGATTCACCATAGTGCCAGCAGAAGAGCTGTGTGTCTGTGAGCCTGTCTCCAGCTCACCGAGGCAGTGACGCTTAGCACGCATCAGCCAATACAAACGTTTGGGAGATGGATCCAGGACAATGCATTTCTTTGTAGAGTTTTTCTCACTGGAGAAGTGGGCTGTATGTGTGGTGTTTAAACTTGAGAGGATATGGGTTAGGGAAAAAATAATGCTTGGGAATGGAAGACCACACGTGAAGTGGTGCTAAATAGGGCAGGGTGGGCCAAGGGTGAAGCCATACTCTAACACTGGAAAGGTGAGGGTGCCCTCTACCAAACCTCTTTGCTTTGTACCAAAGAAATTCCGTGCCATATTCCACAATTCGTATTATCAATGTTTTTCCCAACTTGTGACTTGCTCTTTATACAGATGCATTTAAAATGGGGCCTGTGATCAAACGGAAAATGCATTCGAAATACACTTTAGTGTGCAAAATGCAGTGGCACGTATTTTGACCACTGGTAGAGAAACCTGCATGCAAATTAAACCCCAGGAAGAGCGCAGTTAGTTTGAAGCTTTTCCAGTGAATGGATATGAGAAGTGGCATAAACAGAAAGAAAAGCAGTAGCACTCATAACTTTCCTTTTTTTCAGACCAAAGCATATCCTGTATGTATCATATCAGGAACTGCACGACTCTCATTTAGGTTTTACATCTTTGAATGTAAGACTGACATGGGTGTTTTCTGCTGCACTGCGTGCAATAGGGGAAAGCCTCGATATGTTTGAGAAAAACTAACAAGTTTTGTGGTTTTAAGTTTATTTCAAATGTTCATCAGTCTCATATATAAGACCGTTTAAGCTTAACCTGCAAATAGTGTTTTATATTACTGAGATCTAACAGAATTTATGCAGTGGCTTGGATTTCCTCCTGCTGTGAATGTTTTTTTATAAAACCACAGGGAAATGTTAAATGTTGCTAAAGCAAATAAGCATTTCCTTTCTCAAAGGATTCCAGGAAGATCCTGTCAAGCCAGAAGCCTATATTATAAATGAAAAGATTTAGTCAGGCAATCACTAAGTAATGTGAAAGGAACCTGAAAACCAAAAATTATTCACTTTGGATTTCTTAAATGAATTCAACAGGCCATGTATTTGCTAGTTGTCATATTAGCTTTGTTTTCTTTTCTTCTTCATTCAGAAATTCCTAAAGTGTTTTAGGTTTTTTTCATTGGGGGAGAGGGGATGTTTGAATGTCATACATCTGCTTAAGATAACTGTGAGCAATGATATCAAAGTATAAATTCTGACTGTAGAAGACCAAAGAGGTATTTGTCACTGCTCTGAAATAAGACTAATTATTTTATATTTTGGAATATAGGTGTTATAGGCCAAAATGTGTCCCCCATGGTAGGCACTCCAGCACCCGGAGCAAGTCCTTTTGGACAGCCGGTGAGTCATTTCTGCATTATTTATGTGGCTCTAAGGTTCTGAATTTAGCATTTGAACAAAATCCCAGTCAAAACACATAGGGATGCACATAGCCTTTCCCAGGGAGGACATAACCAAAATGTACACTGATGTATTTAAATTCAGTTAATATCTTAACACTCAGAGTGTCAGTCTGTATTTGTTGATTGAATTATCAGACTAATTGGGTTCTGTCCAGTGGGATAACTTCTACAGCATAAGCAAGATAACAGTTTGGTTTTGTTTTCCTTCTACTCAACTAAGACAAGTCATTTAAACACACTGTTAAACTGCTAGTGATTTAGATTTTTGCATGCTTTGGTGATGCAGAGAGGGTGCTGTCCACCTTTTCAGCTGTTGATGAGTGGGTCAAAACTGTTTTGTTTACTCCCATATTTCACAAACTGACAAAGCAAATGTTCATTGGCAGCTCAGTATTTGTGAGCTTGGGTAGCAGTGATGATCAAATGTTCCTTCTTAGTGAATAATACAGATGAAGTGTTCAGCACATTTCCAATTTTATTGGCTAAATTTTTGCATCATTAAGAGAAACAGAATTTTAGGTGGAGGGTGTAAAGAAACCCAGAACTTGAGTGAGAAAGTAGTAAAGTGTATATGTCATCATACTGAGTTACTAAGAGGTTAATTGCTACTTAACGACAGTGGTGGGAACTCCTCTGGGTGACTGAGTTTATTTGGTTTTTGCCTGGCAGCAGTTAGCATCTATCCTGCAGAAGTGTCCCAGTTTGAACTCGATGAAACAGAATGCATTTAGAAATAAAGCCTGCACTTCACAGGCCACACAGTTTCTGATCAAATTAGAGAAAGCCTGAAATGCAAAGGAGGCAAAGGGAGCGATTAAAGTTAATAGGAGAGGGGAGTAAATGGTGATAATAATCAAGAGCATGTTTACATAGGTTAGAAATACGAACAATGTGGTCTGTTAAATATGAATATGGTTTGTGTGCACTTCCTTCCTCTCTGTGCATGTCAGTGACCCCAGCAGATAGCCCTGGCTGAAGTGGGTGTCTTCCAGGAAAATTTTCTTACACCTTTGCTCGTAACCTGTTCTAAAGCTCCATTGCATGAGGATGACCCGATGCACAGATGTGAAATGCAGTTTCCCCAGATGTGATCTCCCCATTGCTTTGTCATTGCAGATAGGAATCCTTGGCCCGCCAGGACAGCAGGCCCCCCCTCCGTACCCCGGCCAGAGCCCAGCGAGTCAGCCCGTTATGCAGCAGCCCACAACTCCCATGTTCGTCTCCCCTCCACCAAAGACACAAAGGCTTCTTCACTCTGAAGCCTATCTGAAATACATTGAGGGGCTTAGTGCTGAATCAAATAGTATCAGCAAGTGGGACCAGACCCTTGCAGGTAAGGCTCTTGATACAGGGTGGGATGTTTCCAGACAGAACACACTTCACAACCATTAATATTTTTTGCTTCTGTTGAAAATGCTAAGTAAATCTGCTGCTTACTTAAAACCCACACGTTGTTAAAGCCAAGTCAATAGACTGGGAGTATATCAGCAGGCTAATTCCATCGACGTTGTATAAATCTAAGAATCAATTGTATGGGTTTACATACTAGAGGTGAAAGTTACACTGTAGAATTATACTCACCTTTTGATAGAAAAATTGTGGGGCATATCAAGGCCAGTAGGTAACTGGACCATTTCTTGACCTTCCAGCACGAAGACGAGATGTCCACTTATCGAAAGAACAAGAGAGCCGGCTCCCTTCACACTGGTTGAAAAGTAAAGGGGCTCATACCACAATGGCTGATGCATTGTGGCGTCTGCGAGACTTGATGCTCCGAGACACCCTCAATATCCGTCAGGCATACAACATAGAAAATGTTTAGTTGCTTAATTGCTTCTTTCTTTGATACCGGCATATAAGGAGTTTTGTGGAACAATAGCTGTTTTAGTTACTGGGTGGGAAGAGGTAACCAACAATAATTTGTATTGCATTTTACTGTACATTGCAAGACCATTTTTATATAAGGACACTTTTAATAAGCATATTTCACTTTTTGTTATATTAAGTTGACTTTATCAAATACACAAATTTTTTGCATATGTTTCCTTTGTTTGAAAGGCGATTTCATAATTGGTTAAGTGTAGTCAAGGATTCATCTTTCTTATACTTTATTGCTGAGACTCTGATGCCATTGTTTTTATATAAAAGAAGAAAAAAGAAAACAAAGTATTTACAGATTGATACAGTGGAATGTGAAATTAGTCATAGTTTACATCTTAGAAGAATATGTGTACATGTGCTTGTGTGTGCTAGCCACTTCCAGCAGAAATCGCTTGGATGTGAACAGGGAGGATCTCTTAGAAGAAGCTAAAGGTAAGATGCGCATTAGTGTTAGGTAAAATGACATTTCAGGTCAATACTGAGGCAGCTGAGTGGGTCACAGCAATCGTGGAAGTGCTAGTGTGAACGGGACAAGGGTGTCTTGACTGCTAATGTTGTCCAATCCTGTCCGGTGTTTGTGTAGCCAAGGCCATTGCGATCCTAAATCAGTAACAGAATACATGTGCTGGCATGTGTGTGAAATGTGTCATCTGCCCTGACCTGCTTTGGAGTTCTGTGATGTCCCTCACACAGAGCATTGGGAAGGGGAAGATTCCTCCCTAAGCAATCCCGTCTGTGTGGGGGAGAGGCTTGCACCAGTCCAGGTCTTGGAAGGTAAGTTAGAGGAGAAATGGAGTTGTTTTCTTAGTGAAATAATGTGATGTTTATAAATTCACACATATTCTGTTAATGATTGGGCATTGTAGGACATTTTTGTATGCTTTCTTTAAGTGTATTGATTCACCTTAATGAAAGTTTTGCAATGCAAATTTTGAAAGAAATTTGATGCTGAAATTAACTTTAAAGTAAAATACTACTGTACGGTATGTGTCGATTCAGCATACTGGGTACCCTGGAGAAAGAGTACTTGTATTGCAGTCTTCAGGGGGTTGGGGTTGGGTTTCTCTCTTTTTTTTAGTCAGGTAGGCATAGACTCTTCTTGCCAAATTTCAAGGTTGTGGCTACCTTGCTAAAGACTTAACCTGTCCTCATAACTAACCAACCTTAGTTGTTACTTGTTACTTGAAGTTACTACGAAGTTACTCGTTTAAAGGTAAATCCTTTCATGTATTTAATTTTAGGAAAAGAATTAATACTTTTGGATTGCATTAAGTAAGTGGGAAAGCTGTATTAATTTGAAAGCAAATTGTTGGCAGGAGTGTGGTCACTGCAGCTCAGTCCAAAAGAACTGATTGACTGATACACTTCATCTTACTGCTAGAGGTGTTCATCGTGTGGAAATGGGTTTGAAGTCTATAGTACAGAACATTTTCGTTTCAGTGTATTTGGCAGAAGGTTAAATGTTTTTCTTCAAATACTGGATATCCTGGGGTTTGTTCTGCTGATGTAATTAATACTGATGAGGGAAATGACGTCAAGTGTAAACTGTTACTTAATTTTACTGGATAATTCCTCTCCTATGGCACTCCTCCAGTCATTGCACAAAAACCCCCATGTAATTACAAATAGGCACTTAAGGACAGTTTAGGTCAGATGTGCAATGGATGTGAAGAAAATGGAGCTAAGCAACATGCTACAATTACAATTTTGGACTCTACAAGTAGCACACCTGTGGTACAGAAATTCTTTACTGGCCTTTGTAAATGATCAATTTTATTAAATAAAGTAGAATCTGAGTAGTCTTAGACCACCCCCATATATATATATATATATATATATATATAGTATCATCTTAAATATGTTTCAATTACCATAGACTTTGTAATTTTTTTAGCCACAAAGATGGGACATTGAAGCAAATCAGGCAGCAAATCCTAGTTTTTGAGGTTTTGGAACTGTCCTGGATTGTACTAATAGACCACCAGATTCTGCTGCTTCTCAGCATTAACGAAAATCACACCAAAGAACCTGGGATGGATTTTAGTTAAGTTATTGTTTTATTTATTTTCTTTTGAGGACTGGATGGGACTCCTTTTGGAGCCTGTATAACTCAGATGTTTAATTTATCTGAAGGTCAGTGATGAGCAGACTTGTGGCACCGGCTCTCTCCTGCCCGGGCAGCTGAAGCCCTGCATTCACTGCTCTTTTTGGCCCAGGAGCAAGAGATTGGGAGTGCAAACAAAACTTGGGTCCTCCCGCAAGGCAGTGCAGAGCGCTACCACTAAGCCACTGGGCTGGCCCGAATCGATTATTTGAAGCTTTGTTTATTTATTTCCAAATCATATCTCTGCGGATTGGAGGCATTTCAGTCAGTTGCATTAAAGTTTGGGCTGTAACGGCTGCAGTCTAGGATTCAAAACCAGCAAAAGAAACTTTTCTGACTCTGGTTTAAAAACGACGTATCTGTCTCGTTCTCTCTTCATGGGTGTTTGAAGCCCTCATTTGTTTTCCACTGCCCTTCATTGTACTGGCGTAAACAAGACTTTCATCTCAAATTAAAAGTATGTATGGGACATGGCTGGCTTCTGGGAGAGCGGAAAATAGATCAATCTAGGACCGGTACTTTCCTAAACCAGTTGGAAATGACTAATAATTATTTGTTCTCTTCCTCAGCCCTTCCCCTCCATGAGAAAATTGACTGTTTGTGTACAAATTCAAAACGTTGATGTTGGTGGCTTTTATTTTTTTTTCTTCAGAGTATGTTTTTGGACCTGGTTAATCCATGCTTGGCTTTTCATTCGATCTTGTACTCCTGCAGGTGAAGCTGCTAACCAGGTTGATAACATGTATGTACTATCACTTTGTTTACCTGAGTCTTTTTCATTCGAATAAAAATAGTTTGCAAAGTGTTTTGGATTAACCAGGTTTGAGTGTCCCATCAAGACTTGTGTTAGGATTTGATTTCAAGTAATTCTGGCTGTTGCTGATCCAGATTTTATCAAAGTCCTTGATACGTGCTTGTGTGTGGGTAAAGAATCCTTTTTATATTGTCCTGTGTATTGCAAGATGTGCCTGGTAGGGGATAAGAACAGCGATGCTGAAAGATATGGTTGAAAACTGAGACATAAGGAGCATGAATAGTAAACCTTGAGAAATACGTGACGCATTGGGAACAAGCTAAGTGGAGATGATATGATTCAGTCAGTGCCAGGTGCCTCCATATTAATTGTTTTGAAAATAAACAGTAAGCCTTAATTTCATACTGGAAGTCAGCCTGGCTCGGGACTGTCTTTTGTGTAGCTGTGTAATAAACTGGAACGGTTAATACGGAAAAAGCATCTTTTGCACAATAAAATCAGAAACCAGGATAGACATTTCCTTTAATAGCAAAAACGTCAAGAAAATTTGACAGCAACTTCTCAAGTGTCAAGATGACTCTGACATAAAATTTACAAAGAGCTATTTAAACCACCAGAACAGATAGCATTACGTTTAATTAACACACATTTATGTCTCTGACCTGGGGGATAAATGCTGCCTCTCATGCTTGATACCTGTATTGGCTTGACTGCTTTACAGTACCTCCACCTCTCTACAACTGGATGTTGCAGTTGCAGAGAGGAGATTAATTCTAATAATCTTCCACATCTTGTTTGCTCAGTCTGGGACGCTGAAGATCACCCATAGGTGTGCATAGCCCCATCTGGGCTGCAAATGCACTAAATTGGAGCAGTGTTTTAAATGGCTGGGCACCCTGAATATCAACTAAGAAATGGGATCTGATCGTTGATATATGTGAAATTTTCTGATTAATGAAGCTCATACTCATTTTGCTTACTGCACTTTCCAGCAAGTCTAATTTGACCGACACACAAAGGAACAAAGTGATGGCTGCTGCAGTGCAGTAGGATCTGGATCCTGGATGAAGACATTCCCAATCTGTCAGGCTTCAGAGACACGGTGGTCCCCTATGACTGGTCCTTCCTGTGCCAAGGGGGGCGTCATAAATCCAGCACAGAAGTCTGGCCATGCAGATTATTATCTGTTAAAGGAGGCAGCAGGAGATGGAGAAGGCACTGAATTACGCAGCAGCACAAGTAAGCCATGTGGCTCAGCTCAGGTTAAGCGAAGCACAATGAAAGGCTTGGACAAAAATGGTGAAGAGTGGCCAGTCCTTCCTGAAGCCTGTGCAACTGTCTCCACAGGGAGTGTCCAAATTCAGTTTCTATTGAATAATTCTGGGGAGGACTGTAATTAATCCTCATCCTGAGTGGGAAGCACCAACATCCAGTAATGACTTAAGGGAATTCCTCATGACTGGACATCCCAGCAGTGCGTGTTGCAGAGTTTTGCACCTTTATTAGAAGGAGCTGGGGCTGACCAAAACCAGAGTGCAGGTGCAGTTTTGTATCTCTGAGTGAAAGCTCACCTCCACTGAAGAGAGTAAAAAGTGAATGCTCCAGGGAGAATTCACCAGTACATAAGAGGTGACTATTTTTTTCCTTCTTCTACTCCTTGAAAAGCTGGGGCAAAGCAGTGCTGTACCCCTGTGCCACAGAGTACAGGCTGGGCACACACATGCTGCTTTTACGACGCTTTTGCAGTACTGCTCTTGACTCTTCACAGGTCTTTCAGCAGACAGCAACCCAGGATGCAGAGCAGCAGGAAAATAATGTATGAACAGATCCATTCTTTCAGCACCATCACTGTGGACTGGTGGTGAAATTGTCCCCTCTGTAATGCTTAAGGGGTGAGCAGCATTGCTCATACACAAGTATTGCTGTTTGTCAGCATGACTATACACAGCTGCTGCTTTGCTGAGTTGAAATTTTCATGCCTGATATCTAGATTGGCTTGACTGCTGCAATTTGGGAAGCTTTCAGCAGAAATGCTTTGCTGATCCTCAGGATCTGCTGCTGTGGCTTCTCAGAGTGAACAAGAGACCCCTGTTCTTAGGTGCTGCGCTGCATTCTGGGCTGATGCCAGGTGAACTCCTTGAAGAAGGAATAGACGTGTTCAACCCCAGAACTGGCAGGGGCTCAGCTGCACTTCAATGAACGCTGTGTTCCTGGCTTGCTCCCACAGTGCAGAACAGCAGCAGCAGCAGCATGGGCCAGCTCTGGCTTGAGCTCTGAGCCCGAGGAAAGTTCTTTCTTCTCCTCTGCCTGCCACCACGGGAGACAGATGGGGGTGAAGCTGGAGGATGGGATGGAAATGTGGAGCTGAGAGTCGGAAAGATGGGAAATACACTGTTGGGGAAGGCAAAGAGCACAGCACTAGGAATCAGCAGCGATAAAACTGAGAAACCAAATGATGACCTTGGTTGTTGAAGATTAGGTGTAGATTAATATTGATACTTAACCCCCAAGTGTGCTTGATACTGAAATGTGCTGGGGCCTGGGGCCTTACAGCTGCTCTTATTTCCCACATTAGTGAGAGACTGGCCAAATCGAAGAATGCTGAAGTATCAGCACTAGCAAACACATCATGGAATGAAGACAACAGTTCCGATTTCTGAAAGTCAAGCTTCATCTTGTGTCGTAACATGCCTGAAATGACACAATGCCAACTTGGAGAAGGATTTTATTCCTGCACTAATTACAGTGAGTAGTGATACAGAAATCCCTGACATCAGACTTGTGACTGCAGCCTCTCTCCCTTTCTGTTTACCTAGCTGGAGACACCCAAGGTATTTTCCAGGCATGCCAAGTGTGCTCAGCTGTGAATGGGAAACGCTGCAAAATAAGCAGGAGATCTGAAGTGGAAAACAACCTCACCTCACTGGTATCTGTAAAACACTGCTACTACTATAGCAGCACTTAAGGGGAGCTACAGGATGTTTTCACACCAGGCTCCCAAGGACTGAGAAGTAACTCAAAAAAACAGTGACGATATTGGAAAACTCACTTGTTTTCAAACAAACCAAGCACAAGGGAGTTCCAAAAGGCTCAAGAAGTAAAGGTAGATGGAGATAAAGCTCAGCAGT